TTGTTCTGCTTCATCTATGAAGTGTAAGTTTTGGATAAGTTGAAAGATTATTCAAATTTACTCTGATGTGGGACGGGACCATTGGATCTCTACAGTACAAACCATCTACACCCTAAATTTTTCATCTGTTTTAGAATAAATTGTGAAAATGCCTGTGTAGGGCCATTCTTTGGTCACTGTGTGACATAAAATTGGGCTCATCAGATTTTTGAATTTTACTCCCTACCTTAAAAGTTTCACAAATTGTTTCAAAGTCTGGTCACGGGTGTGACATCAGACACAAATATGTTATTGAACCCATATACTGGAAATTCATGCTTTTCTCAAAAGTTCTAAGGACACACACACACCCCCATACTTATTTTGGAGTAAGACAAGTCTTTTTGTGATTTACAGAATTAAACAATGTACACCCTCTGCTTTAATTTGACACTAAATGGGAATTGTTCTGTGGTCAGGTGTGTTTCGTTTTGATCGATCTCATGTGCAACATTTTGTAATTAAAATTATGCTAATTTATATGCACAGAAAAACCAACTTATGAAACATGTTAAGAAATTTGCATCTTTACTTACTAGCCACACTTTAGTGAACAGTAAGCGTTTGCATTACATCACATAAAAAAAATATTTTCCCTATAAATTATTTAGTTTCAATTTCTGAAGAATCACCCTCTAAAGCTCAATGTGCAATGTTAAAATGAAGTACGAATATTGTATGCTTGAGACATTGAAATGGCCAAGTGCGTGGGATGTGTCTTGTAATATAGACCTACTCGTGTTGTTGACAACATGCATGTGTTCGCTATTTAGAGGGTTGCAATTGGGATATGGAAACCTCAAGGAAAACGGGGAAACGAAGCAATTACGATAATGAAGATTTATGTTCTTTCATTGAGTCTTTATAGCTGACATACTTAAATTTCTCTGTTAACTTTCATTTCTTTTCATACTTATCATTTTTTTTTTCATTTCTTTTCATACTTATTATCTTTTTAAAGTTTCTTGGGAAATTACAACTAAACTTACACGTAGTTAGACAGATCCCATGCTTATACACAAAAAATCGACTGATACGATTCGTTATTTATGTGGTTTTCTGATATTTTATGTACTGATGTTGCAGTGAAGAAATAAATGAATCAAATCAAAAGAAGGACTGCTTTATAAATCAAATGCTCAAAAGATACAACTGTCACCAATGTGTTATCATTCATTAATTATCATGATTTATTATAAATTATTGAATATCTAAAGTTCATCTACACTTTTACAAATGTCTTGTACAACATACTGTCTTTTTTTTAAGTCCATCAAATAAATTCTGGAAATCCTTGTCAAAATATGTAAAATCCTGTAACATTTTCTCCAATCGGAGAAAGAGTAACAAGAGGAGGAACAACTCATTAACAATTATCACATTTTCCCAAGTTTTACTTGTCAAAGAAAAATCATTATCATGACATGTTGTAGCTGAGCATAAGACTCCTCTAGTCAGTAGAAATGTTGTTTTATGACTGCATTCCTTAAACAGTTTTATTTTTAGCAAGATTAAATTATAATGCTGACTTGAAACAAAAACATCTAATTAATTACACAGAACAAAGTGCACAAATTGTACAAATAGTCCAAAAACAAAGTTTACAAACTTTGCGTTATGTTCATAAAAGACTTAATCAAAGTCCCTTCCTGTATTGCTAGACAAAAAGAAGGTCCCCAAATTGAAACTGACTAATAAATCGTTCTTAGTTTGTTGTTATTTTCGACACCCCCGAACTTTCATGTAAAATCTTGACACCTGACACCGCCAATCGATGAGTCGAAGTCTACCAGTACACCCACACGTTTTACTCTACTTCCTGTTTTGAACTGGATACATTTTTTCTTCACCAGTTTAAAAAAATATCCTTTATGTAAGTGCTTTCTAGAAACCTTCACTTCCGCTTGTGTGTGGTTGGTAGATGACTGCCGGACTTATAATATAGAGTCTTCTTGAAAAGAAAAGGAGGGTAATGCCCACGCTTACTCATTATTTGAGAGCACAATGAACTTTGACATACCGGTAAGCCTGTGTGCAGGTGTACATAGTACGTATCCATGTACATATACAGTACACAAGATGAACACTATGCATTGTACTGGTGTATAATATGTACACAGCTACTACTGATGCATTTATCAAGGTGTACATGTGTATGTATGTCATCGTCACCCGGTCAGGTTACTGTGAACGTGTGTCAGTGCATGAATCCAATGCACAGAGGGCAACGCCGGACGATATCCGGCTAGTTCCATGAATGTGATGCAGGGGAGTTTGTACTGACTCACTGCACAACAAAATGGGGAACCCCACTGACTGACGAACGAGACAAACACTGTATTGCAGACACACTGTACGTACAGACAGTACAGTTGCGAGGGCCATGAAAAAGAAATATGTGTTTCAATGCGCATTTCAAAAGTTTTATTATGAGTACGACCCGTTCCGAATGTATGCACAAAGTGAATGTGCTTGTGGGACATGCAAGAGAAATATGTGGATAAATAATATACATGTATATTGGTGTTTCAAAAACGATAGTCCTACAGGCTACATGTATGTGAATGACATCCTCATGTATTTAAACACACGTGTCCATTAGGCCAAAATTAGACAAACATGTCCATGATTTCTGCTGATGTTTCAAATAATAGGAACAAGATTTTGAGAGTACTGTGGGAAGACAAGTAAAAAAATTTAAAAGAATAAAAATGTAAATTTAAATGCCTCAAAGAAATTTAGGGGGTTTTATATCAAGTAATCAGGCATACTGATAAACCTTTTTTGTAAATTCGGCAACAGAAAGAAGACTGAAACTTTTCACCATCAAACATTTTTCTATAAATTCCTTTAAACAATATTATGAGTTACTTCTTTGACAAAAAAACACACAACTCAACTTTACTTGATAAACCTGCCTTCGATGTCAGAATTATAATTTTTCTTCAAGATTGTCAACGTGAGCTTCATGCATGGGATGAAAACTAGTCCATCAAATTGTGGCCAACAGCAATTTGGGGGGAAAAATTTATGACGGATGAAAACTGATCTCCCCGAGTTTTGGCACTTGTCTCCGGGGTTTGACCAGGGCTCTGAGTTTGATGAACTTGGGAGTTTGCAGCAGTTTGAAAACCTGGTCTTATCTAATGCATTCATGCCTTGTGGCTGTTTTCGAATAATAACATAGGAGAAATAAGCCCAAATATCCTATTGTAATTTCACTGAATGAATATTTACTCTCAGCTTTTTTTTAAGTTCATCATTCTGTAAGTCAACAACAAGAAGGGATGGACATTTCAAATTCGACTTGACTTAGTTTTGATGTTCCCCACCCTTTCCTGAAAAAAAAACCCCAGTTGTACTAGTCCTGGTTTGTTCTGTAAACACTGGCAGAGGAGGGGGGCAAAACCTTTAAGTAAATGCTCCATTTTATGGTTAACCTTGCAACAAAATTGTTGATGCCTTCAGGCTGTTTAACTTCTTAACATTAACATAAAAAGGGTGTAATGTTCTGCAAAGGCTTCAAACTTGCACACGGGGAATTTGAATAAAGAATGCAAATTAGAGACATTCTTGACAACAAATATATTCTGTGTTTTATGCAAATGCTCTGAGAAAAGACCCGAAAAAAATGGAACACATTCTTTCAGTGCTTTTATTAAATTATAATCTGATGCACTACAATCACAGTAAAGATCTAGGTGTAGCCCTGGTCAATTATAGAGAACTAGCATACACACTGTATGTTTATTGGGACCAAATATGCGCATAATCTAAGCCCAGGCAATGAAGACCTACATTTTACATGCCACTCCTTGAGGAGCCATGGGAACACGGGTATCTATTTGTGGCAATGTGGGGATTGTTTTTCGGCCTGAATTTCTGCCTGGCGATGACAGTGTCAACTTGCCAATAGCAAAGTAGGGGTTGTGCCAGTAAAATTGTGTCAGTTTGTACTGTACAAACGCGAGCTGCACTTTCTAATGATAATGTCTAATTATGGATGCGACAAAACTTTCTACAGAAGGGTGTTTGTCACAATGAAACAACTCATTTAATTATAATTAGCGACAGAAATATTTTAGCAAAATCAAACATCAACTTAACGCAAGCTGACCAACTGAATCCTTTATTTTATGCATTTATCAAAATTCCAAGATGTGCAAAAAAAATGTTGCAAATGCCAATAACATTTAGTGGAACACGTCCTGAATTATGTTGTAGAGAATTTTGTAGATCTATAGAAAAAAAAAATTTTTTTGGCATTTTTTGGGGTGTATGATCATATGGAGACGTCTGCGTGCAGTCAAGTGTAAAAGGTAGTAATTGATGGTTTTGGGTGTTTTATTCTCATTTTCCCATAAAAAATAGGGTAGGGGCTGTCAGAATAGGGTAGGTAGGGAAACCAGAAGCAGAACTATTTTTTTGCCTTATTTAGAATAGATTTTCTCCTATGATTCAAAATTGGAGTTGCAATGATTATTTATCACCCGAGTATTAGACTAACTGCAATAACTGTAACGAAAGACATGAACACAACACATATTACAAAAGATTTGAGCAAGTGTTTTTGGGAAATGTAATTATTATGCCAACATTAAATACAATGATTGACCATGACTAAGTGGTTGTCTAGTCTGTAGAGGAAGCAAAAGGCACATTAAGTTGCCTTGATACATGTACATAACTGTCAATCTTTTTTTAAGTTTTCCCACATGACTCGACTGAAATATAATTTCTGAGATCTGTACAAAATGTTGAAAAATACTGTCAAGTCTACAGTACTCAGTAGCACTATAGTCAGATATTACATGCACAGTCCAGTCAATGTCTGCGGTGTTTGTGTACTGATTGCCAACTACAGCTGTAGTTGCTGTAGTCTGTATGAACAGCGGACGCCATATCAATGAACCACATCCCCTCCATAAACAAGTGACAAAACAACAAGGGAGGCAACTCACCGAGACCGTCCCCCTGCCGCCCGGGCCCTCCGCTCCTCCGGTCCCCGTGGTGTTCCCTTCGCTCTTGGTCTTATTCTGTCCCCCGTCCTGCTTGGGACCCTTGGGTTGTCGTCTGCTCCGGTTGTCCTGGTAGCGTTGGTGGAGTATATCTTTCTCCTGTCGCTCCTGCGACCATCGCTCGTCCCTTGTCGAGTCGTATCGCAACTGCGACAGTTCCTGGTGTTTCTTGCACCGCTCCAGCCTTTCCCTGATCCGATCCACGACATGCTGTTTCTTGGGGGACATGAAATCCCCCATCGTGTCTGCTACAACCACAATGGTGCCGGTTGGGTTTTGACAACTACCCCGAAAAATGGGGTTTTGGACGAGAATCTCGGCTGAGCCCAGCTAACTTGGCTAACCACGTACATGTAATGTACACAGATTCGGTACGTGTGTTAAGTATACTGTATGCATGCAATGTGCAGCGCGCTGTGTAGTTTCCGGCCGGCTATTGCATGCAGCTGACCCTATCACTAGCGTTGGATGTAAATGAACAACATAGAAAAACGCACGCACGGTTATTTACGCACACCGTGTATCGGCGGCCCATCCACCGGAGTACTGCACTCTCGCACGACCGACAGGCGACGGTATATTATTAGCATACAAAATGAATATGTATGATTGACGTTCTTCCATCCGTCCGTAAGTTTCTTCTTCTTTTTTTCGCAGATAAGCTCCGCCCTGGTGGAATATTATTGATGAGTTTTTCGAAATGAAAGTTTGTTAGTGTGTAGCCGGATCTTTTTCCCCGAATGACATCATCTCTCGCCAGAAAATAGGGAAATTGTGTTGCATTGGCTCATAGCAGAGACCTGTACACTAAAAATATTATTTACGGAAGTTGCCACATCATTATGAAAACGCAAATTCATAGTTTTGAATTGAGTCGGCAATACTTTTTTGCTGGGATTTTTTTCTCTGAAAAAAAAAAAAAATCCCAGAAATGCGGTTAAGCATTGCATGTACCACACAAGCGTCATTTATGCCCGCTGGCCATACAGGGCTAGTCAAAAAAGCGGAACCCAAACCCCAAAAACATATTTCATAATTCATATTTTAAAAAAATGTAGCCCCAAAAATAATAATGACTGGAAAGCCAACAATTTCATAAGCTACTTTTAGATGAAGAAAAATGCTGACATTGCCCAATCCGTTCAAAGAATGCCACCATTTAAACGCAATGGCCCTAAACCTCTTTTCTCCCCCCCCCCCCAAAAAGGAGCAATTTATTGTGTATTCTCACTATTCTGACTGTTTGGAACAACAAAGAAAATGACACAGAATATTTGTTTCAACAATGTAGTACACAATATCTTTATTAACAACCCTGGTTAGGCAAACAATATGATTATAAAATCTACTTTTTTTTAAGACAGGCCTTCAAAAGGACTTTGTTGAGTATTTTTTACTTTTAAACTGAGGTTTTATCGCTGGTGATGTTTGAAGACAATCGTGACGATTCTTGAAATCGCATTTTTGGACGAAAGATGGTTTTAGGATCATTGTGTTTCAATAGTGAATTCTTTGAACGGATTGAGCAATTTTGCCATCTGAAAGTAGCATGTGAAATTGGCTTTCCAGTCATTATTATTTTTGGTGCTACATATTTTTTTTGAATATGAAATGAAATTTTTGGGGTTTGGGTTCCGCTTTTTTTTTGACTCACCCCGTATTTCCCCCCGCATATATTTCGTCAGAAATGAGAATAAAAATCCCGAATTCTTAATGCAAGAAATTAAATCTTGCATCACGCGCACTCTGTTGGCCTGAGCAAGTTGGAACATGATTTCAAGTTGTTGGCCAGATCTGTTAAAATATGCTGGCACTTATTGTTATCGTGAAATTTTCAAAGATTGTATCATTATATCAGCAGGATAGTTGTCTACATTGTGTAAACGGTGTTCTTGCGATTGACGTCGTTTCAATACTTTACTGGAAGTTGTTCGGCGTCTCAACCTGTTTGAAAACAATTAGGACGCAAACACCGTGAGAACAAAAGAATCACAAACGTTAATGTCTTAATCGGAAAATGTTCTAAAAAAAGAGTACTTTCTAGCGTTTATTGTTCTTAGTCTATGGAATATCCTCTTGAACAGTTCGACGGTGACTCTCTGAACGCGTGAATGTCCGATTCTTAAACCGTAGAGAAAGGGCTAACGTATTCTCATCCCCCTAAACAAAATTATTAAAACATCTTTAAAATATTTGGTGGGCTTGATGATACCAAACATACTGTTGGGGGGACAACAAATTTGTACAAATTATGATTCCCTTAACAAATACAGCAATCTTTATATTTCCCTTTTGAGGGCTTTCATCAGTACGATCATGACTCGGCCGGAACAGAAATCATGTTTCTGTCCTCCAAAATATCCATTTGCGGTGGACTGCACATGGTGCTTTACATTTTGTATACGAGTGCGCCAGTAATTGCCGAGCATTTTTTTTTTATTCACTTTGATGTGATGTAATTACAAAAAAAATTCGTTTATTGAGAACGATCGTCATCAATATTTTCTCCTTGGGCCCAGCCCCTCTACTACGAAATGTTAACGGATCAAGGATGCGTGCGGTTGGTATACAAACGTGGACTACAACCCCCCAAAATGCTCTCGTTGAAGCCTTGAAAAGTTATTCTCGAGAACGGCCGTTTTTTCTTTATTTTTTTTTGGGGGGGGGCGAGAAAAATGCTTCGCCGTTCCAGTTCTTGTTCCCCCCCCCCCGAGTCCCCACCAACAAAACTACAAATAAAAGTAGACTGTAGAAAATGATTTTTGCCTGCCAAAGCACTAAATGCTGCGTCAGCTTTTCTAAAGTTCAATAGTGGTCAGAGGGCGCTACTCAAATAATACGGAACCATTATTATCGGGAGAACTTTAGAGAGGGCGCTATTTAACTAAATAGCGGGCTGTGCGAGTGCGACCGGTCGGTGGCGCATAAAAAGTTTTTTTTCTTAGAAAAAAAAACAGCGCCCCCTTCTTATGAACTTTAGAGACACTAAACGTGATAAAAGTATCTCCCCGTAATAAACTGATTACATTTCTGTTGATCAGAGGCCATTGGGTTCCATTGCAACAACAACAACAACAACAAAAACAACAACAACAACAACAAATGGGGAAGGGGGTTGTTTCTTTTTTCCCCTGGTCATATCAAAACATTTATCAAAAACTGAAAAACTTAGTGAATGAACAACTCACCAACACAAGTTGAAATAAAGCAAAATAATTGCATGAAACAACATTAAAGTAATAAAACATTAATTCGTAAAGAAAAAACTCAATAAATTATACTTCTTACTTAAAACAACATAAACAACACACTGGTACATTCAAAGGAAAATTCAGAGCACTTATCTACAATTAACATAAAGTTAACTATATACATCAACATAAATCACTGATAAAATAAATGAGAAATGGGATGACAAAACATAACACAACAGACAATTAGAAAAGAAAAATTATCACTAGAAAAAAATCATAAAATGGCAAAAGTGCCTGGAAATATTTATTCTTGCATAATAAATCTCATTTCTATGGAATAAAAAAGGGACAAAAAAATCCATGCACTTCTCACATAATCTTGAAGCTTTTGGAACAACTAGTATAAACTGCTTGTCAATGCTGAAAGTGTGGCATTAAAATGTAGAACCAGTCTGCGAAAGGGGGAGGGTGAAAAAATATTGATTTGGTGAGTGGCTCTTCGTATTATACAGATTTTCAGGTTGTTGCAAAAAAAAAAGAGGAAAGATTAAATGTCTTTTTTGACAAGTTGTGTTTTAAAACACTCTGGTGTTTTTGTGTAGATTTATTTCCCAGGATTTACAATTTATTTCCAAGCCTACCAGGGATTTGTTGAAGTCTATATGGACCACTTATTGTACATTGTACAGCTGGGGTCTTACGAATCGCCAAGTTGTGCCTGTGAAATTAAAGACAAACAAGTTTGAACAGTTAAAGGGAATGTACATCATTGGCTTTTGCTGTAATTTTCAGAAATGAACTATTTTGAGGGGTTAGTATAACAGATCAAATATTGTTAAACTGACATGTTTGAAGTTTTGTGTTCGAAAATGCTGGAAAAACCAAGAAAAACAAAAATGTTCAAGTAGTCTGGTTCCTTGACTCCACTAAAGATAAAATGAATCAATTTATAGATGCCGGAAAATTGTAAGGTAAGGGAACCAGTCTAGCTGGCCTGCACCTGTTCACGAACATGTAACCAAAAGCAAACAAAATTTAGACGGAAAAAATTGTAAATTTGGAGCAGTAGTTGAAAAATAGTTAGGTTTTTCCAACGGTGGTCGGCCGACCACCGTTGGAAATGTATACAAAAATACCATTTTCCCGAAAATGACTTGACACCAGGTGCCATAATTTTACAGGATGCTTTAGACTGTCATTTACCAACATCCTAGTAAGGTATTTCTTAAAAACTTGGTAGTTTTATTTTTCGATGTTTGCAAATGTTGTATATTCCCTTTAAGCTTGGTGAAATGGCTGTGAAAGGATTTCTTTTCTTCCACATGTTATTCCCATGGGAGATGAAGGCTGCATATACCGAATCTGGAGACGACCCGTAAAATAAAATGGGACAAAATATATCACAGAAATGTTTTGTGACATATCCAAGCAAATGCTTGGTCGAATGGCACATTAAAGGCATAGGATCATTTGTTTTTCATGTAATGTGCACATTTCCAATAATAACAACCCCTCAAAATCCCAAGAGAACTGTTCAAAGCCTAACCTGTTGAATTTTCAGCTCAGTGGATATTACACTTTTGCAGAAAAAAATGATAAAGCATGCACAATCTTTTGACCAAGGTACTCGATTTTTGCCAATAGCAATCCTTATGTCCAAAAATAAGCCAATTGCCTGATCATTGGAAATCACCTTCATTTTCTTAATTTCATCTAGGCCTAAATGCCAACAAGCCTGGCAGAATATCTTCACGGGGTGTTTAGTACCAGTACAATCTTTAATCCAAGTAAACTTGTTGATAATAATTCAGTATAGGTTACTTTTGTGATAAATGCAGATGATCCCATATGACTTTAGGAAGAGTGCATGGGCTAGAAGAAAGCTTGTTCTATCTTCAAATCAATTAAGAGGAGAGGGAAATGTTGTGGGGAAAAGTGGAACCTGTTTCTAGAGCCCTGTTTCTAGAAACAGTTTCTCATCGGCCTGTTTCTCAGACCTACCTGAGAAAATCATGCCTACAGTTGAAACTGCTAGGATTTGTTATTAAATGTAAATTGTATTTGTTTACCAATCACACGAAACAGTTACACTCATGGAGGACTGGTTTAAACACTTAAAACTGCCCCATTTTAGTCAATAATTTTGTTAAAGGGAATGTACATCATTGGCTTTTGCTGTAATTTTCAGAAATGAACTATTTGATGGGTTAGTATAATAGCTCAAATACTGTTTAACTGACATGTTGGAAGTTTTGGGTTCGAAAATGCTTGAAAAACCAAGAAAAACAAAAATGTTTAAGTAGTCTGGTTCCTTGACTCCACTATCGATAAAATGGATCAATTTATAGATGTCGGAAAAATGTAAGGTAAGGGAACCAGTCTAGCTGGCCTGCACCCGTTCATGAACATGTAACCAATAGCAAACAAAATTTGGACTAAGAAAATTGTAAAATTGGAGCAGTAGTTGAAAAATAGTAAGGTTTTTCCAACGGTGGTCGGCCGACCACCGTTGGAAATGAATACAAAAATATCATTTTCTTGAAAATGAATGGACACCAGGTGCCATAATTTTACAGGATGCTTTAAACTGTCATTTACCAACATTCTAGTAAGGTATTTCGTAAAAACTTGGTAGTTTATTTTTCAACGTTTGCAAATGTTGTATTTTCCCTTTAAGGATCTTTTGCACCAAGTCATGTCGCCATTTATAAAAAAACAAAACCTGCTTACTTTACCGGTATTACAAAATAAAAAACCTAAAATAAAACACCCATGGAGCAACAATGATAGAAAATAAAATCAGTAAAATTTAAAACTTTGTACAATATGCTTGTGATTATAATAACCTCATGCCTGAAAAATAACACCAACATATAAACACATGACACTTCCTCCTAATTTCTGACATTAATTTAAATTCAACAGAAGTTGAAGTCCCCTTACAAGTCAATTAGATGCAAGAACTGATCTGGTAGAGGTCTGTCTCAAATACAACTGAGAGACTTCTTCAATAATTTCTGCCCTACTTCTGTCAGATGATGCACCAAGACAAATCTGTTAAAAAATACAAGGAATAATAATACATTTATTAGCTTTCGGTTACTAATACTAAAAACCAAACCCACTTACATACAGGTCTAGAAATTCAGTTCAATTAACCAATAAATGTGAGTATCTCAAACAATCTCTGAAAACTTGTATTGCTGTAAGTTTTCAATAAATTCCAAGTGAAGTTCAGGATGATATTTAGGACAAGCAATCCTCTTCTTAACCCATTCTGAGAACTATGGGAGTTAATATCTTATAGAAATTGACTGTTCTTTTTGTTTTGTTGCCACTGGTGGGTGTAGCCAACCTCAAAAGACAACAATTGTGCACTTCTCAGGAAAATTTCATTAGTTTTTGTGTTGGCTGAAAAAGCAAATGCCAATGTTTTCTTCTGAACTTTGATCTTTGTCCAGTTACTGGGGCTTGTGTCTTCATACACAAACTGACACTTTCCAGTAACTAATGAATGTAACAGACACTATCGACAGATTTACTAAGAAGCACACACTGACCAGATCACTGTCTCTACCTTTTAAATTTTTGTTTTGTGATTGTCATTCAACTTGGCAATTGTGTACACGGTCAGTTGTTGCTATGTCAGGCTGAACCTCAACATCAGTTTTATAGTTATCCATTAACAACCCTTTACATAATTTGAGTACAAACCAAATGGGGCGAATTGAAGTTAATATTGGAAAGCAGTCTCAAAGACTGAACTCTGTATTTAAAATACAGCATTTTGTTTAATTATTAACATATTAACAAAAGGCGTTATCGACAATTGGTGCTTTTTGTACCATGGTACAAGGAGGACACTGCAATCTAAATGACATGCTCCAGGCCCATAGTGCAATTTCTAAATATCGGTGAATCTCTGTAATCATCTGGAGGATTTTTGGCTCTGTTTTGGGTGAAAAACTGTTTGTAAATTGCCGTACTTGTTCAACTAAACAAAATGGCAACGTCAATTTCACAACTGGTGTTGATATTTCTTGTAGCAAGTATAACGTCAGTTTATGGCTATAAGGGTAAGTGTTGCATTTATTCAGATTTCTTATTTGTTATTCTATATTTATTGTTTCTATTTGTTTTAGACTTTGTTATACAGGGTGACCAAAAACAAATGCAACCCTAAAACATTTGCCTTTAAATAAAAAGGGATCGGTGGATTTGTATGTTTTGGGTATCAGATTTTAGCGGAGAGCTTTATTTCATTCAAATAATGAACATTCATGAAAATAGCACTTTGGGTTGCTGAGAAAATGCCAATTATGTAAAAGTAGGCCTAGTCATTTTTCATTCTGTACACCAAAAAAATACGACAGTAAGGGATTTTCACTGTACCGATTTGTGCATGTCCTAATCCTTACAAACAACACGGCACATATGGCAAGAGTGCAAATGAATTTGATGGAAATACCTTTTACTTTCCACCTGAACAGGTATCTCATCCTTTCTAGTCCTATTTAAACCCTTGCAGCATCACGAATATGTCAAAATACTGAAGAAATTGCACAAATGAAGAATAATTGCACAGTAGGCCTACAGTAAAATATTTCACAGTTTGCAGTACTTCTGTACAGGATGAAAATTGACAACTTTTACATAATCGGCATATTCTCAGCAACCCAAAGGGCCATTTTCATGATTTTTTTTCAGTATTTGAAAGAAAAAGCTCTTCAGTTCAGTTTCAAACTCCAAAACTTTACTACATGAGAACAAAGAAATATCTCCACAAGAATACAAATTTCAGTATGTGTGTGCATAATCATTATTAGTGTATGCAGGGCCCCAATGGAAACCAGTTTTAAAATGTTTGGGCACACCCGGGGTAAAGAAATGTAATAGACAAAGGAGGAGGAGGAGGGGTTTAGACAACCCCCAACCACCATGTATAGTTTGGCTTGAATCTCCGAACCCATCCCCATTAGGGTTGTAAAGTAACATAACTGGTATCTTTAGCAGTTTAGGGTACAAAAACACCGTTCATTACAAGACCTTTTTTTTCAGATGGGGATGTAAAGTTCCTTAAAGATGACGGCAGTAAGTTAAACTCCGAATATGAAGGGGTGGTTCAGATGTACAGGGATGGTACGTGGGGAGGCGTTTGCTACGATGGTACCATCCCCGAGTTTACAGCCAAGTACATCTGCAGGGCGTTGGGCTTCGAATTTGTCACCAGATGGGTGAATGCGAGGGACGCTTTCCCCAAAAACGACAACAACGAGGTGACTGTAAACCATATTGACTGCAGTGGAGCTGCAGACTTGAGTGGCTGCACGAAAGACTGGAGCGATGACAGGCCCACTTGTGAAATTACTAATCTCCTTGCACTGGCATGCAGCCCTCGGACAGGTATTTTTTGAGCATTTTTTGGGCGTACATTTTTATTTTGAACCACTGTAGGAATGCAGTAATAGAAATGCTTATGATCTCTTTGTCATGTTTCCATCATTTAGGAACCATGATTAGCTAACGTGTTGCCGTTGTTATTGATATGTTTTTATTGTTATTATTATGATCGATAAGTTTTGGTAATGTAGCAGCATTGTAACTTGCAAGCCTGAAGAAACCTGTGAAAAAACTGAGAAGGCAACCCAATATAAGAAGTATATCTTCAAGAAATCAGATAGGGACTGAAAACCAACTCCACACGACTAGGGCAGGAATCGAACCTTGACCATAGTTAACCGATGAGCTAGGAAAGAATCAATTTGCCAACCTAGCTATCCGGGTGTTTTTCTTTCTCAATTTCCTCAACCTTGAGCGATTCTACATGTACTACATTAATTGCAAGCCATTTGAGAGTTGGAATGAGAATGTGCCACGTACAATGCAGATGTCATCAATAAACTTTTATAATTAACACAGTTTGTCAATTATAACTTTACTAACTGAAATAGCAAACCTAGGAAGATCATAGTTCACAAAAAGATCCCAATTTACCTCCAATTCACAATCTACCTCTTACTTACTGTCTAACTACTTCATACAGTGAGCGACCATTGAACTGCAAAAAAAGTTACATTGAAATTGATTGGTGTGATATTTAATTTGCAGATTATGCCGTCCGTTTAATGGGAGGTTCCACCTGGTACGAGGGGCGTGTCGAGGTGTACCATGAAGGCTCAGGCTCTGGGCATCATCACTGGGGGTTGGTCTGCGACGATTACTGGGGAAAAAGTGATGCTAAAGTAACTTGAGATCCATCCTTAAGGCTCATCAAATGACCATTGTTGTGTTTTGACATTTTTAAAGACTTTGTGCAGTACATAACTGTTCCCAGAACTGCAACCTACATCCTGATTTTGAGAACATTGTTGTAATTGGAACGGACATTCTGTTTTTGACGGGAAAAAAATGATGGTTTTTGTATGTATGAACATGATGTACAGGCGATACACCACTTAATGATTTCAACTTTAAACTATTTTGTGCTTGCGTTTGAAATTATGAAACTTTTTGCATTTTGCAATGGCAATGGGTTTATTTGTTAGGAATTTGTATGATAATTTTTTTTTTGACAGAGCTGGGGGGGGGGGGGGGGTTGACACCCCCCCCCCCCTCAGGATCCGCGCCTGAGTATCCGGTGTTATAGTCAAGACCATCACAAGACCAGACACAAGTAACAGGGCGCGATTCTTTGAATAGCTCGTGGCTTGAGACTGGAGTCTTGTGATGGTCGATCGTTCCTGTGAAGGTCTTGTGAATGTCTTGTGATGGTCTTGTGATGGTTTTATGATGGTCTTGTGAATGTCTTGTGAATGTCTTGTGATGGTCTTGTGATAGTTTTATGATGGTCTTTTGATGGTCTTGCAGTTGTGTTGTGGGGTCTTGACTATCAATTGCACAACTGGCTCTTCAGCAAACAAAACTTACAATTTGTACACAGTGTTTTTGTACCTTAATGTATACTGTCTCCTGTCAGTAAAACAAAAATCATACTTGATTTTGTCCTAAAATGCATGCCACTTTTTAAATTTTTTATTTGAATGAAATAGGTGGTATGCCGCCAGTTGGGGTACGGAGATCCTGACAAGGCCCGTTACACAGACGGAGACAAGTACAAGTCAGGATCATCCGGCATGCCTACCCTGCTTGACAATGTGCATTGCTCAGGGTCAGAGAAATCCCTTGCCTACTGCGCTGGCAACAACTGGCACAGCGAAAACTGCTTCTTCAACACAGAACTTGCTGCTGTCATATGTGAAACCGCAAGTACAAAGTCGTCCCACTTGTCACTGTATACCTCCCTAAATATCCCTGCATTGTAGTCCTTAGCTCTAGCCTGCTAGTGGGGGGGGGGGGGGATTCAGCACCCAATGTCTGCTGAACCCATGGTCACTTATAGGACTAACAATTTTTTTGGGAGGGGGAAACAATGTTTTTATGGCATGCCCCCCCCCCCCAACTTGATAATATATAGTGCTTATATAGCGCTTTATACCAAAGGTCTCAAAGCGCTTCACAATTATTACCCCTGTTCATCAGGCCATGAGACCAGTTTCTGCAGCGCGCAGCTCAAGATCAGCACAATCTGGTCTCCTATATACCTTCACAGGTACCCACTTATACTCCTGGGTGGAGAGAGGCAATTGTAGTAAAGTGTCTTGCCCAAGAATACAAGCACCATGTTCCCCGGCATGGGTGTTGCGAGGGGGGGCAAGGGGGGCACTTGCCCCCCCCCCCCTGGAAAAGCCAACAAAAAAAAAAAAAAAAGGAAGAAAAAAAAAGAAAAGAAAAAAAAGAAAAAGAGGCGCGAAGACAAAGTGGTGTAAATTTTATGAGTTGGGGGGCGGGGGCAAAATGTCCCTGCCCCCCTCTAAAACTGATACATCGAGAATGTGTTGAGAAATACAAGCATTTTTTGGCAAAATTTTTTTTTGCCAAAATTTTTTTTTGCCCCCCTCTAGAAAAAATCCTGGCGACGCCCATGTTCCCCGGGTTCGAACCCACGTACCGCGGCAAGTGAGTCAAACACCGTAACCACTGGACCACAGCGCTCCACAACTTTATAACAGAAACTGATATAATCTGAAATCAAAGAAATTGTAGAGGTACCATCACTCCTCATGAGTGTTTCCTTACTCATTGATCACATGGGGCCAAGTTTTTGGGACCTGAACGTGCCATAAAAATGAGTACAGATGTGTTGGTCCTTGGGAGTCATAAATCTTGAAGTAATTAAATCTTCGGTTGGTTTAAAGTAAGACACATTTCAATTGACAGGATTTTTTAATACATGTACTGGGTTATTCACAGGATTGTTGGTTTTTGCCCTTCACAAAGATAATTTCAAAAAACTGCGTGCTATATAGTCATGTAGTAACTGGAGTTTTGTGGAGTGCTGTGGCCTCGTGGTCTGGAGCATTGAATTCGCGGTCTGCGGGTAATTCCGTGGGTTGTGGGTTCGAGTCCAGCCTGCGGCTACTGTGCGTGTGCCCTTGGACAAGGCACTTTGTCACACATAATTGTTTCTCTCCACCCAGGAGTAAATAGGTACCTGTGAGCTAGGGCAGAGTTGGTTATTGTGGTTGATTTAGCTGCTTTGCGCCGAAATGGCAGCACTCGAGCTGTATACTGCCCAGGGAGCTGAGATGGTATTTGGAATGTTCATTGGCCCAATAAGCAGGGTAATAATAAGCGCCTGGTATCCTTTGGCAAGTTGGTGACTCTAAAAGTCCAGTTATTATTATTATTTTATTGGAAATGATACATGCTTTGTGGTTTTCCTCATTTTCATAGGTAAAACAGGAGTACTGAGCACCGCAGCCATTGCAGGCATTGTGATTGGCAGCCTGGTCATCCTGGGCTTCATAGTAGTCCTCTTCTGCATTTACTACAGACAGAGCAAGATGAGGAAGCGCAATAGCAGACAAGCCGCCGTCGGCAACACGGGTGTAGGTCACGGTGGCGTCACTTATGTCAACCAGGGCGGGATGGGCGCGGGGGGCGTGACTTTCATCACTCCTGGCCAGGGGCAGCAGCAGGTGCAGTACGTCATGCCGGGGGCAGCACCCGCCTTTAACCCGCCCCCGTATTCCCCACCCGGGGCGGCCTATGGGGGCGATGGTGGTAACAAGCACGACAGTGCAAATCCAGGCCCAACTGATGACTAAAGTACTAATATACGACTCAGCTACAGCTAGCAATTACACATGTACTTATGGGCAAAACTAAAGCCACTTGCCCCATGTGTTACTGCTGGCTGCAGTTCTAGGTTTTTAGGATGTGCCTATGGCTATATACTACATCAACATCACTTAGTCACTTGATGCAGTTTGAATAAAAGGCACCACAACAATTTTTTTGGAACTCAGAATTTAAAAGAATCACGTTTTATGTAGATATGGCTTTGAGTGAACCTAAACTCTTCTTAAAACCTCAGCCTGACTTGAAGCTCCTGTTTTCCAAATCCAATGTCAAAGCCTTTGGTTATATGGAGTGGACCCAGGCTTATTTTAAAGCTTGCAGAATAGCACAAGAAACTGAATTTGCAGTAGTCCGGTGTTAGTTGAGTACATTTCCATAAGTACAGGTGTAAGGATGAGTTCTGTGCCACAAGTACAAGTATACAAACTTGTACAGGTGCAGGCAATTGTTATTCATGTTACATGAAACAATAGCCTGTACCCATACGAGTACGAGTTTCTCATATCTCATGAGTACATGTACTAGTGCGAGTATCTCATGAGTACCAGAACGAGTATGATCAGTAACTCTCTCATGAGTATGAGAATGATGTATCTCATGAGTACAGGTACGAGTATCTCATGAATATGAGTACGAGTATCTGATGAGTACGAGTACGAGTATTTCACGAGTACGAGTATCTCATAAATACGAGTATGAGTATCTCATGAGTACGAGTATCTCACGAGTACGAGTATCTCATAAATACGAGTATGAGTATCTCATGAGTACGAGTATCTCACGAGTACGAGTATCTCATAAATACGAGTATGAGTATCTCATGAGTACGAGTGCCTCATGAGTACGAGTACGAGTATCCCATGAATACGAGTACGAGTATCTCATGAGTACGAATTCGAGTATTTCATGAGTTCAACGACTTTGGGTATCTCATGAGTACCAGTACGAGAAAATATGTACTCAAGTACTAGAACTGTTCAGTCCTTCAATCCATTCTCAATTGCTTTTATTTGCTTGCTTTTTTATTTACATACATGTTTTAAAATGTACAATTTACAAATCTGTGTAGAAGCAAATTTAATTTGTAAAAGAAATCAATTATTTACTTTTATTTTTACGCTTAGCTTTTTGACTTTTCAGCTTCATAGAAAACATCGTATGTGCTTAGGAACAAAATATTTTAATATTATTTCAATAAAAGTATAAAATCATGGGTAAGTGAAGTACTTTCATATACATGTATATATTGCTTGGTTTATTTGAATAATGAATTATCAAATTTGTGAATGTAGATGTGGCTGTATAGCTCCACTTTCACACAAACAATTATGAATTATACAATGTCATTTAAACTCAGCTATACAAGGTGGATAAAAAAAAATGAAACCGAGATATTATTGCTAATTGGAACAGAAGTAGGGCTCATGTGAATCAAAGGGAGATATCCTCTGTTAGGGTTGAATCTCCTCTTTAAAATTACACCCTGGTCATGTCATATATATTTACTATCGAATGAGCAGTGACCAATTTTATGAAAGGGTCTATTTAGAGACTTGCACCACTTTTCATGGTGAAATGTCTTTTTTTCCCCACCTGCCTTGATTGGCAACCATAGCTTTTCACTCTGTAACAAATGACAACACAAAAACCACAATTGAAAAGTGGCACAGGTCTCTAAATAGACCCTTTCATAAAATTGGTCACTGCTCAGTCAATCGTGAATGTAATGACATGACCATGGTGTCATTTTAAAGGAGAGATCTAACAGAGGATATCTCCCTTTGATTCACATGTGCCCTACTTCTGTTCCAATTAGCAATAATATATCGGTTTCGTTTTTTTTTATCCACCCTGTAGTGGCACTGGTATTGTGTGAAAGCTCTGAAATTTCGAAATCATCCCAACATATACAAAATGAACATTTTATCAAATAATTACATTGTAATTTTTTACTGAAGAAATTGTTATAATTTAACATACAAAATATAAATCATGCAGCACATCTGAATATTATAGTGATGTCATTAAGAAACTTCTAAAAACTTAAAAAATACTGTTAATATTTTATATCTAATAAGTCATACTAATTTTTATGCTAGTTAATTCCTTGGTTAACAAACTGCATGGTTATAGATGTTTTGCCAAGTTGTATTTTATCTCGCAAGTGGCAGTTTTTGATTGGTTTGCTCTGGTGCTAATTTTACAGCCTAATTAAGAATGAGTTGTATAATTACATGTGAATACAGCTGTGAACCTTTTTATCAAGTAGTATGAATATGTGAAGGTCTATAAAATGTACTATAATCTATCAAATTTGAAACCGACTCATAGATTTGTATTAATCAAAGATGTCTCAGTTTTTAGATCCTTTCAAATCTTCGCTGACATCACACATGTCTTCAGATAAAGCTTGAAGTTTTGTAAGCATATAAGTACATTTGTGGCGCTAATGTTTAAGCTGCTTTGATGCTGAGAAAGAGTATCATAGCCACGAATATGGCTAAAAGTACACCATCGGATGCTTGATGACACTGTTCACGGCAGTCACATGCACGACCATGTCAGGCCTGTTGTCATCAGTTTCTTTGACTTGCATCCGTTGCAGATTTTTACAAGCATGGGCTGGGGTGTTTCCTTGTCACTATCCCAATCTTTTTTCCTTTGCCTGTTTTTGTTCAGTCATGCATGGTCCTAAGATGTGCTGGGATAGTAAAAATATTCAGCCTACTTTTATAAAGTGAAAGGGGGGGGGGTGGAAGGAAGGGTGGGTGGAGGTGGGGGAGTGGAAGGAATGGTGGTTAGTGGGGTGGGTGGAGGTGGAGGTGGGGGTGGAAGGGTGGTGAGTGGGGTGGGTGGAGGTGGGGTGGGTGGAGGTGGAGGTGGGGTGGGTGGAAGGGTGGTGAGTGGGGTGGGTGGAGGTGGAGGTGGGAGGGGGAGATGGAAGGGTGGTGAGTGGGGTGGGTGGAGGTGGAGGTGGGGTGGGTGGAGGTTGAGGTGGAGGTGGGTGGCTGTCAGGCCAATCCTCAATAGCCCAATTCAGCAACATATGAATACAGTATACATTCATGTACACTGAGTACCTGTACCTTCAATTGTTTGTTTTAAAAATGCATCAATTGTAAAAAAAACTCTCGAAAATTCATGCACGTGCATCTTGCATTGAGAACTTTCAAAGGCACTGTTCAGTATATGATGAGCAGCAATGCATTAAGCCTGAAGACTGTTAAGTAACTGGTGGTTGATTTCTGGAAATGATCTCCTCATATGCAGGTGGCGGCTCATCCTGAACTGGGAAAGGTGCAACAATAGCGGAGAAATCAGGCGGAGGGTCGTACTGAGGGCCGTCTAGGTATCTGGGCAGTTCGGCCGGCGGTTGGTATCCACACAAGTCTGATTCCATGGTTTCCTGCCGTCCGGAAATAGTCGGTACCCGTCTCCGCTCTCCCACGGTGTCATCTCCTTGTGCTGCCGCATTTGTCGCATTTTCAGCTTTCACACTGGTTACAAAGCAGCAGTATCTGCAGCACGTTATGACGCATGAGAGTATCACAACACCACACACTGGCAGGAAATATTCATACACGGTTGCAGTCATCGTGACACTGTGGTACTTGAATACTTCCTATATGGAGAGTCAAAAAAAAACCTAAAAGGGTTTTATACGAGGAAATTATTTCCACTTTGTTAGGCCAAAAAAAAAAAAATAGGCGGTCTCTGGTCAGACCGAAGTTCCGGAATTGATGCGGCGACGCGTTTTTTTTTGGTGGCTTTTTTTTTTCAAGTTTCAATTGTACAGACAAGGTGGGCACTATTTTGCTCTTTGTGTCCTCATTATACATTGGTGTCCTCCATAATTTGCCTTGGTGCAATTTCCCCATTCCTTGGTGCTCCTTGGTACAAATATTTGAGGAGGTGCGGCAATAGAGGGTGCTGTTGTAGCTTCCGTGTTAATTTGAAGAAAAAAAAAGTGGACGCGCATGATTAAAATCGACGCGCGCGCTGACCAGAGACCGGAGTATTTTATTTTTTTTGCCTTATTAAACTTAATTGAAATGTCTGTTTGAACGGTCATTTTATAAAACTGGGGTCCATCTTTCTATCCTTATTACATCGGACATACATGATTTTCTAAATCGTGCACTCCTTCATGCTTTCTTTCTTAGAGAAACTTCATATCACAAACAAACAAAGAAATAGTTGGAAACCATTTGTAATTCTACTTGAATTTCCAAAGTTCAGAGGTAACATAGTAACAGGAAAAAAGGTCACACTTTGGATCCTATGATATATCCAACTGTAAATCATTGTTGAGTTCAACACATCATGTCAAAATTTACATTCACATAGCAATGTTCTTTGATATTAATGAGAAACAATAGAATCCAATACAGCAACTAAAAGTTTGACTGTTCTAATGGTACGAAAAACAATATGTAGTAAGTTCTAAGAATCAAAGTTCTTCTTAAAAGTTACATGTAAATAATGTATGTAAACCACTCTTCTGCAGCTTAAAACTAATTTCAAACAGAAATATAATTACTGTTTTATTTGATGGAAATTTTGAAGGAGACGAAAATGAGAATATTTCTTACCTTCAAATCAGCTCAATCATATAGATTTCACTTGGGGGAATACATGTGCTTGCATGCCCAGTATTTTTGAGAGATGCCCACAAGAGTCATCAAAGATAATTGTGGTTCACCAGCAGGAAAATGGAAGGCCTACACCAGGCATTTTGAGGAAAACTGTGCAGTATACTTCCTCGTAGTTTGCTCATTCTTCTGCCAACTTATAAATAGAATAAAAAGTGGCGCAATGACAATACGTGTGTTTGTCTCCGCTTAGTACACAAACACAGTAGTAAAGTACTGAACTTTGAACCATGAGTGCACAGTTTCTTTTCATTTGCACATAGCCAGGACACGTTGTGCACCTACTGTACACAACGGTCCAAATGCTGTTGTGCATGACTTTATCAAAAAGCACGTAAGCCTACAACCTTCACTGACTATAAAGATAAATTCTGTTGACAATAAATACTTTGACCTGCTGTCAAGGTTTTGGACTGGTTTTCTGTCCTACTTTACTTTTCTATTCCTTAGAAAAAAAAATCATAGGCCTATTTATTCCACAACAGTAACATTTTGCACTTATAATATAATATTCCCCTTTAAATTGGCCTATTTTTAACTTACAAGTCACAAATGGTTACTGAATGAGTGATTGATGTATCATGTAGTCTATACATTGTCAATAACAAAATGCATAAATTTGAAGCAGATCGACCTAGCTAGACAGAGTTCGGGCACACTTTAGTTAACTAATCTATTGGTCATGACTGTAGTCCTTGCGCGAACTTGGCCTTGATGCCGCATTTATTGAGGGACAAAGCAAAGATATAGGATCTTTGGGGCAAAGGCTGATCATGCTGATGGCGTCGAGTGATACCTGGGCACAATAGACAAACTAGGGCTATATTAAAGTGGAGCGAAGGATCATACCAGCTGAACACATTCACAAGTGTGTAGCTAGCTATAGCCGGTGGTGGAGTCCGGAGTTGCAGTTGATTCGGCGGGCTTTCTCACGTCAAGTGTGACTAGATTCTAAGCCATGGCTTTCCAAAAGTACATCGAGTTGCCCAACAAAGCGAAAATGCCAATTTTGGGGTTGGGTACTTGGCAGTCCAAGCATGGTGAAGTGACCAATGCTGTCAAGGCTGCGCTGGAGGTTGGCTACCGTCATCTGGACTGTGCCATGATATACGAGAACGAAGCGGAAGTGGGTGCCGGCTTGAAGGCCAAGATCGATGATGGCACGGTGAAAAGAGAGGATGTATTCATCACCAGCAAGCTGTGGTGTACGATGCACCACCCCGACGATGTTGCAAAGGCCTGCCAAATGACTCTGGATCAACTTGGAGTGACCTACTTGGACCTTTATCTAATTCACTATCCGATGGCTTTCAAGAGGGGGGATGTACTCTTTCCCAAGGATGAAAACGGTGTGTTGCAGGTGGATGACATTGAGTACACCGACACGTGGCTCGCGATGGAGCAGCTTGTGGAAAAAGGCATGTGCAAGGCCATCGGCTTGTCCAACTTCAACCTGAAGATGATCAAGGAGATTCAGGCTATCAACAAGGTCCCGATAGCCAACCACCAGATTGAGCTTCATCCTTGGCTGACCCAGGAAGAGCTTGTTCGATACTGCCAGGATAACAACATCTCCGTCACGGCATACAGCCCCCTAGGCTCACCGGATCGTCCAGGGGTGAAAGATACCGACCCTAATCTGATGGCTGACCCAGAGGTGATGCGAATCGCCGAGGCCAAGGGGAAGAGCCCTGCTCAGGTCTTGATCCGCTTCGCTCTCCAGCGAGGCATCATCTGCATCCCCAAGAGCGTCACACCCTCCAGGATCAAGGATAACTTTGAGGCTCTAGATTTTGAGCTGAGTGCCACTGATATGAAAGACCTGATGGCCCTCAACAAGAACTATAGAGTCTGCCCGGCAGAATGGATCAAGCATCGTCATCACCCCTTCACCCCACTTGCCTCGTAAATAAAGACAATAGAAGGAACACATCACAGCTGAGATATGGAAGTCTCAAAACTTCAATTTTTACCCCTCAAGGCATCCGTCCATCCATCCATCCATCTGTCCGGACGGGCAGCTTAGTTTCCGGATGATAACTTGAGTTAGAAATGTTGTTTCTTCTTTGTTGTGACTTCTTTTGGGTTTTTTCGGTGCTGACTTTTTTTAGGTGGATTGTTGTCTAAAATTTGCCCAACTCGATGGGTATAGAGGCTATATTCTTCAAAAGTAACTTCCATTAAAAGCTTGCCAACTATCATGAGTTTTAAAAAGCATGTCAAGCAGCACATTTTAAATTCAAATAATCTGTAATATACAATAAGCTCCTTTTATGGTAAATTTGGTGTCAATTTTGATGAATTTTGAATTGGATTTAATTTCTTAATGTTGATTTTTATGTATTTTGTTTTTGTTTTAATTTATTTTTGGTGCTATAATTTCATAATTCTTAATTGATATGTACAGTGTATGTTTATCTTTTTAATTGTTTTTAATTTATAATAGTATTGTACTGAGGTCCCCCATGGAAAGCAGTGCTGTGCACTGATTGGAGTTTACCCTCATTAAAAATGACATAACTTAAAAGTTAAAGAAAATAGCCCCCAACAAGCAGCTTGCATAATAGTCTACAAATATTCTTTTACTGAGCAACTGCCAGGTTTCGTTATGTGCTTCAGTTGCATTCCTGAATATCAATTATCATATATAGAAAGAAGGTAGGGTTTTGATTTTTTCTACCCCAAGAAACTGTTCAAAATGGCATTAGAATGAAGAAAAATCTTCTTTTGATTGTAAAGGTAGTTTTTTGAGCAAAAAATAAAAACATTTTTGACTCTAATTTGATCAAAACAAAACAGGGACCCTACACTTCACGATCACCATTTTTTTATGGTAGAAACAGACGTGTAGGCCAAGGCTTACGTAGTTTAGGACACTTCTAAATCTAATAAGTTCTAGGCCCTCCTAATATTTTTCACATTCAAAACTTAAGTTTGCAAATGATTGTCAATGACTTGCAGCCTCAAGCAGTCTGTTTAATTTAGATTAAATCTGGGATTTTATGTTTTTATCAGTACTGACAGTAGCTAGCCCTGGTGGACTCCCTTTCCTCCCTAATGTAGTCGTATTGCAATGAAGACTTCGTCCAACCTGGGCTATGATGACAGTAGCCTACTGTCTTTGGAAGAAAATGTTACTTTTTTTTCTTACCTGTTTTTCGCACTAGCTGCGCAGTTAAGGGACGTGTGACTGTAAGTCACAGCAAAGTCTTTTCATTCTAAGGAATGGGGTCCTTAACTACACTTTTACCTCCTGTTTGGTACTATATGTAGCTCACTCCGATATAAAAGTCCTTGCACCTTAAAAATACTGAGACTTTTTTGAAGAAAGATGTTCACACCAGTGGCCCGTGGTCATCGATCAACATTTTTTCAGCATGCCGCAAAACGCCGACAGACGACAAAATGGCCGGTCCGCGCGCATGCGCAGCCTGTCCGTCTCCCCCAGAAAGTTTTAAAATACATCCGCCGGCAAAGTTCACCAAAGTTTAAAAAAAATTAATATTTTCAATGACTGTCGGACAGCTTTGTGTGAATTGTCTGGGAAGGACATAAGATATGTTTGGGAAGGACATGAAAATCCACGTTCGTTTGCAAAAACACGGCACTTTCGCGCAAGACTTAATTTTATGTGGCGCATGGATACATGCACCTCAAAAACAACAAGTGGCACAACCGTACCAGCTGATACCAATATACTTCGAACCAATGGAGAAGATATCCGGATCTTCTTTCTTCCCAGAAGAATCCGGATATGGTTTCGAAATTTGAATCGTCCCTAAGTACGCGCGAGCCGCGAGGTGAAAAAAAAAAACCACCGATCAAGGAAACATGCTAAGTGCAGAGGATTGGCGACAAGCTTTTTTCTATGCTTTAAAACCCGTCTTCAAGACTTGGACTAGTTGGAGGGGGCAGGGGAAATAACTTCATGCTCCGATCCTTCAGGAAAACCGAATCATATAGATATGATCTGACACCAAAGTTACAAGTATCGATTCATTTGTTTTGGGAATAAAGAGTTTTATAAGTGTTTGGTCCACGCTCACCTGAAAAGTAAATTCAAATGAAGGATTACTGCAAATGAATTATTCCAGAAGCGTATATTTAATTTAAGGGGGAAAGCACACGAAGAATAAAGTCGCTTTTTTTCCCCCGAAGAATTTGCATGGGATTGGGAGTGCCCCAATTAACCTATTGATTTTGGAAGCGGCAGTATCACAACCGCTATGGACTGAACTTGTAACTTAGAAATTCATATTTTTGGGGTTATTTTTTCCTCCGATCGACTATTACATTCAGTTTCTTGCCAACGATCGAGGGTTAATTGTTTCAAATACGTGTTTTGAGTTCAGGATTCTAGATTATAATGTAATGTCATCTGCGTGAAGTTGAAGTTAGATAAGGGCGTGGCACGATGTGGGAGCAATCATTTTAAGCAACACTACCAGTGTTTTCCATCTCTTTTATAGGTCCGACACACACATCTTCAAATCATCCCAAGCCAGATTGTGTAAAACACAAATATTGCTAAAAAAAAACCTCTCTCAAAACATTCCCTTTTAAATTCCCCTCATAATTCAACCATGCTCTTTACGTTTTAAAAACACAAAGTAAAACAACAATACTGAACTTTTTGCGAGTCATCCTTCTTTGAATGGTAAAGTCTCAAAATTTTCTTTCAATAGCGCATCATTCTAAAACGGGTCTTGTGTTACTCTGTGTGCAGTGTGTGTTAGGTAAAGCTTCTACGCTTCACTTGGTGGTCGGTCGGTCGGTCGGTCTGTTCCCGAAAATTGACCCAAATTATGGAGTTCCATATGTTCCATCGGCGTTGCAGTTTTTGGCGTCCCATTATAAGCTCTGGGTTGGATCATTTGATCGATTACATGCAAAACTTTCATGCAGGACTTCTTGCAACACGGCCAGAGCTTATTGTGCACCCGCACTTGTGTTTTTAAGCAAGCAAATAGGCAGCTATTTTTTTTTGGAAGTTGTGGTTTTCCTTCGCAGCAGCTTTGCAAAGCCCTGGTTCAAGTGTAATTAGTTTATAAATTAGACTTAGGTGTTAGCAGCACTATTGGTTAATACATGTAATGGCAATTCAGGTGTCGAGAAGAAAAGTTACTTAGGAGTTGTGCAAACTGGAAGGGATGCGTGCTTTGTTGGTACTTTAATATTTTTTTTTTTTTGCGCACACACAAGTTGTGTTTTAATTTCTGAATTACCAATAATTATACTTCAAACGCAAGGGGCATCAGCAGGATAAACCGGCGCGCCAACCGAAGTCAATTTGCCAAGTTTTGACTTGCGTTTATTTCACAAAAAAATAAAGGTATATGTTAAAGTTTAAACCCTTAAATAATAATGTGAGACTGAACTGAAAATATTTTACTTCAAAGAACATTGTGCTGTAAAGAAACATCCCCTCTGGCTCCCGAAACATTAAATTCCATTATAATGCACAATCACTACAAGGAACGACCACTAAAATGATCATTTTTTTCATGGACCTCCATCATGTTCGTTAAAATGGCGTTCTACTATAAATGTTAAAATACCTTCACAGAGCACAAATGAAACAATTTTTTTGCGAACACACAAGTTAAAGGGAATGTACATCATTGGCTTTTGCTGTAATTTTCAGAAATGAACTATTTGGGGGGTTAGTATAATAGATCAAATATTGTTACACTGACATGTTTGAAGTTTTGTGTTCGAAAATGCTGGAAAAACCAAGAAAAACAAAAATATTCAAGTAGTCTGGTTCCCTGACTCCACTAAAGATGAAATGGATCAAACATACCAGAAAATTGTACGGTAAGGGAACCAGTCTAGCTGGCCTGCACCCGTTCATGAGCATGGAACCAAAAGCTAGCAAAACAAAATTTAGACTAAAAAACAAGTCAGGTGTGTTTACAAACACAAATGCCCCGCAACCGTGACTGTTTCCATGACATAACACCACTCTAACATCAACTTACATGTACCTTGGTCAAATGGAACGTTCATTGACAGCATTAGTGTCTTCTGTAGGTTTTATATGAATTAATCCCTAATCCCTATGATCTCAGAATAAATACAAGATTTCTATTGTTTTAGCCACTGTGACCTTGACCCTTGACCTTTTGACCCCCAATGCGATAGGCTTCTTAGGATTGCCAAGGACAATCCACAAACCAAATTTGAAATTCATATGTAAAGTATTTCTCAAGTTATCGCGCTGACAAAATTTCTACTGTTTCAGCCACTGTGACCTTGACCCTTGACCTTTTGGCCCCAAATGCAAAAGGCTTCTTAGAATTGCCAAGGACAATTCACAAACCAAATTTGAAGTTCATATGTAAAGTATTTCTCAAGTTATCGCGCTGACAAAATTTCTATTGTTTCAGCCACTGTGACCTTGACCCTTGACCTTTCGGCCCCAAATGCAAAAGGCTTCTTAGGATTACCAAGGACAATCCACAAACCAAATTTGAAATTCATATGTAAAGTATTTCTCAAGTTATCGCGCTGACAAAATTTCTATTGTTTCAGCCACTGTGACCTTGACCCTTGACCTTTTGGCCCCAAATGCAAAAGGCTTCTTAGAATTGCCAAGGACAATCCACAAACCAAATTTGAAGTTCATATGTAAAGTATTTCTCAAGTTATCGCGCTGACAAAATTTCTATTGTTTCAGCCACTGTGACCTTGACCCTTGACCTTTCGGCCCCAAATGCAAAAGGCTTCTTAGGATTACCAAGGACAATCCACAAACCAAATTTGAAGTTCATATGTAAAGTATTTCTCAAGTTATCGCGCTGACAAGATTTGTCCGGACACACACACCCACACACCCACCCACCCCTACTTGTTTCACATGACTAGTGTGGACTTTCCATTGCTTTCGTGTAGTTAAGAAAAACCAGTGAAAAAACTCATTTTTCTCAAACTGTGAAAACTCTTTCAACCCAATTTTTTTTCTATGATTCCCTTTAGTGTTTCTCTTCATTCTGCTACAGATAAACCTAACCCAAAAATGCCTCTAAACCTGTTTTCCAGAAATGGGGAAACACTGTGTGGACGTGGGGCAAGTCCACACAACGTCGGTGCTACCTACATTATGTGGACGTCTTTTGTTCGGAAGTCCACACTGCGTATGTAAGACAAACTCACCCACACACACACCCACACACCCACCCACCCACCCACCCACCCACCCACCCACGGAAGGACAAGGCGGAAACAGTATGCCCCTTCGGCTTCGCCGCGGGGCATAAAAAGGTAAATTTGGTGCAGTAATTGAAAATTAGTTAGGTTTTTCCAACGGTGGTCGGCCGACCAGCGTTGGAAATGTAGACAAATATACCATTTTCTTGAAAATGGCTTCACACCAGGTGCCATAATTTTACAGGATGCTTAAGCATGACATTTACCAACATCCTAGTAAGGTATTTCGTAACAACTTGGTAGTTTTATTTTTCGATGTTTGCAAATGTTGTATTTTCCCTTTAAGTAGAAGACCATGAACCCATGACTACAGTAATAGACAACTATTCCACAAAAGAAAGAAAAGCCAAATAAATGTAATACCTCTACTACCCAACAATGCCAATATTAACAAACTGAAAGACTTCAAGTATTTCAAAAGTTAAAGTTTTTTTAAGTACACAAATTTACAGAGCATTAAACCTGAACAGATCAGGTTGATCTATAAAGGAACAACCCTTTTACTGTTGTATTCAAAGCTTTGAATGTCAACATTGCAGGATAATAAATAACGTTATAATTTCTTGTCACTTCAAAGAAAATGGCTCAAAACTGATTTTAACAGGTCCTTCACCGATACCCAAATTACTCATATTAACATGAAAACCAAACCATTTTGTAGAGAAAAATGTCTTATGAATAAGAGAAATACATGTAACCACATTTGAAATATTCTTCAGTGTGAACAAAAATGAGTCTAGGTATGTCAATGCTGACAAAATAGAGAATAAACCCTGATGTTCAATTTGCGTTCAGTTTGGCAAGGTTCAAATATTTTTTTTATCCAAACAGAGATCTGGTTTGGAATCGGCAGCAACTTGTAACATCAAAGGGATTTGCCACATTGCTCGTTAATTGCCACCAAGCATAATAGTTAAAGTAAAAGTAAAGTTTGTTCATGAGCTAATGTGGCCCAACAGGCCAGCATTTATCCCCAGTTTCAGTAGCATGAAACCACTGAGAATATTTTTACTCCCCCTGGATGGGATGCCAGTCCATTGCAGTTACTCCTCAGTTAATGCCAATGTAGCGTGAATATCCGACTCCATGAAATGTGGACTCATTGGTAGTACTGCGCACACGTGAGTACGATACTATGCTATTTTTAGGATCATTTCGGGAGAGTGAGCTGTCACGTGCGAGGGATCAACCAATAATAGGGAATTAGGGGTCCGATTTTCACAGGAGTCGGATTTTCATGTGACACCATTACCCATTTATACTCCTGGGTGGAGAGAGGCAAGTGGGGTGAAGGGGCTTTCCCAATGACGCAACACACGGCCAGTAGCTGGATTAAACGCCCAACCTTCTGATCATGAGTCACAAACCCTTACCACTAGGCCACACTCCCCACACCGAGCATAATAAACCAAAATTATAGGCCTCTGTAGGACCCAGTATTGCAACGATCACATGGAGCTTTAAAGGCATATTGGAACATTTGCATATATCCCAAAAGTAACCTTCCAAATCATTATCAAAATACTAACTTGGATGAAAGATTGCACTGGTTCTCAACAACCTATGAAGGAATCAAGAAAAGTAGGTGATTTCCAAGGACCAGTCAACTGCCGGTTTTTTTTTGGGGGGGGGGATAGAGAATGCTTTTGACAACGACATCATGTTTTGTGATCAAAAGGTTGTACATCGTTTTTCACTGTTTTCTCAAAACGTAAACTATCCGCAGAACTGAAACCTCAACATGTTAGGTTTTGAACGTTCTTCTTTGGAGTTAGAGTGGTGTTTTCTTATTGGGAAAAAATAAAATTCCTGAAACGCAAATGATCCAATATGGCTTTAAAGTTCAGGGAACAATTTCTTTTTTGGTGACTCTTCCTGAGGATACTTTTGTTATGGCAAGATGAAAGACTCAATCACGTTGGCAGATCACATACGCAGAGTTTGGTTGGCACCTCCGCATCCTTGCACTTCTCAAATTGTGAGTAACTCGTCATGCGCTCAAAGCTGAGCAGCTGGATGTGCAACGAGGACTCGGTCTTTTTGATCTGGAGGACTACGAACATGACTTCCTCCGCGTTGCCAGAGTTCCTTCCCGACTCAAAATGAAGGTCCATCTTCAGGATTGTTTCATCGGTCTGGGTAAATTTTCAAAACGACAAGATTGTTGACCTTTTGTTCAAACTTAAAATTAATGGGGTATTTTTCAAAAGGATAATTCACATGAGGTATTACTCAAGTTTTGGAAGGCTCATCCACTCAGTTTCTGTTATTAGGACCAATTTGGGCACGCTATCACTTCTATCACGAAGGCCCCCTTTAATGGCAAAAGCATTGTGCTAGCTATTGTTCAGATAATCCATCGCAGGGCATGGCTTTGTACAATAGCATGCACAATGGTTTTTCCATTGAAGGGGGCCTCCTGAGTGTACAGTGATCATGGCCCAGATTGGACTATGCTGTGAGTCTGACTGTTAAAATAAAGTTGAAGTACCCTACCTTTGGATAACTTTCTTTGACGTTCCCAAACCACTTCAACTCCAGCTCTTTGCAAGCGCCATACCCCTTCCTGTTGGTACCGGCATTGGCATTTTGTAGTATAACCTCATTGATCTCATGCACAATGGCTTGGGCTATCTCAGCCCGGCTACTGTCATTGGCTACGGCTTTCTCGTAATTGTCACATATGCAGATGTTGGGATCGATTCGTGGAATCGAGTCGCAGGTCCTGTTGGGCAACACAGGTGCTAAGAGTCCGTCTGGTGATAAGTCATACGCTGCAAGTTCGGGAGCGATGGTGACAGGACCACCTGGAGATAGTGATTGGAGCATGTAGTGTAAGTCTAAGATGCTCACCAAGCGGTCTTGGTTGAGCGACAGGGCTTTGAGTTTAGCCGGTCCGAGTTGCTTGGCGACATTTTCAGACATGAGGATGATGAAGACCGGGTGGAACATCTCGATTCTGGCCTCGATGGTTTTCCCCATGAAGGCTCCGTAGGCGTTCCCGTGGTCTGCTAAGAGAACAGTCACCATGTTGTCTTGGGTGGAAAGGAATTCAAAGTAGTCTGCAAGGTCATCGTCCAGTGTCTGAACCCGCCTTCCGGAGTCCTCGTGAGCCACGTTGGCGATGGTGAAGTGAAAGAACGGCTGCTGTGCCGCGTTGAGTTGCGCCTGCTCCTTCTTTAGGAACTCAAACGTGTAATGATGGTGATGCTTTTGGTTGTAGCAAACGACAGAGGGCCCGTGGAATGTATCCCGGATGCCGTTGGCTTTTAAGATCTCGCAGCTGGCGAGGGAAAAGCTCAGCCCATCTATTCCAGCTTGCTGGAGGACGTCTTTCAGTTTCTTCCAGCGGACATCCTGGTTCTCGCTTGGAGAGTGGACCACCATGTTCTTGGCGATACCCCATTCCCAGGTCCAGCAAAGATCCTCGGTCCACATGGTCCGATAGCCGGCTTGCTTCATACTCCTCAGCAAGGTCCCCATTTGCACGGCTTTCGGCGGCATATCCTGAACCCCGAAAGGATTGTTAGGATTGTACAGCTCTCCAGCAAACAGAGCCTGTAGATTCTCGTAAGTGCGTCCCTTCAAGGACTGCATAAGATTGAAGTTGAACACAGACGCATTTCCAGATTTCCTAATCCGACGCAGTTTGTGAACACTCTTGGGCAACGAACGGAAAAAGTGGCTGTGCGAGACCGAATCAAGTAAGTACAAGTTGAAACTAATCTTTGACTTCTTGTCACGAGTTTTAACCTTGGGTTTTAGGAAATGCCTCGGTAGAATGAGTAGCTGCTTCGGCAGCGAGTCCTGAAGGTCAAACTCATAGTGTTGGTTGACATAATCTCCATAGATTTGCTCTTCCATTGATCCTGTTCCCGCTCTCTGTTCATCCGTGTTATCTTCAATCTCCTCTTTCCTCGGGAGACACCGGATGAAACAGAAGTCGTGGTGATTTTGAGGATGAATGCTGATTAACGACTTGATTTGGTTTTCAAGATCCAAGGATTGACCGTACTCCTTCCATTTGAGGATTCCGAGGTCGGGATCGATGGTGCCCAGGGAAAACCCTGCCTCGCAGACTTTGGAATCACAGTGCACCTCGTGGTGGTGTTTGTCTCTGGTCTGGGTATAAGGTCAAAGAGAAGAGGCTTATTAGTGCATACTTTTCTGAACAACGTGCCATCAGGATTATAACTATGAATTTCATATTGAATTAAAACAGGCTAGATGAACTTGGCCAGCTTAGTTGTCGACTGGTAGCACATTTTTTTCTAATAAGGTCATGGATTTGTGTTTTGTTTACAAATAAGATGACAAATTTATAGGATGAAGCACTGGCTTTATTTCTTTTAGATTATGAAATTTCATTTGAAGACATGACTCGAAAGAAAAACAATTAAAAGGGGAGGGGCAAAATAGGTGTAGTGGGGAGAACACTTTGGAAAAACTTCGGCAAAAACATTTCCAGATAGGGAATAGTTACAGACCCGTCCGTTTTAGACCAACTCACCGTAATTTGGCAAATGTTGAATGGGCCTTCCCCTTCACACTTATCAGGCGGCTCGGAGGAGAACAGATCGTGGGCAAGCTGGCAAGAGTTGGGCAGGGGCTTTATCCGTCGGCAGTGGACGTTGTCATCAGGGGGATCTGAGGGGTCCAGACGAGGCACCTCGCACTTTTGGAAACGTCCACCCTATAGGAGAAATGAAATAAATCAAATTTAAGAATACAGAAAAGAATTGTAATTGGAGGATAGTTGTGTTAGGGCCCGTCTCAATTCATATCCGGAACAAGTTGCAGACATTGTATTGAGTATAAGTTGCATGATTCTGAACAACTTCCCCGCAATCTTCCCACAATGAAATTGTCAGTATCGGCGAGTCAAGCAGTTGCTTACGAAAATTTTCTGGGACAAATGCAGAGCTTGTTCTGGACATAGGGAACAATTGTACCCCCAACTTGTCCAGAACTCGTCCCAGATATAAATTGAGACGTACCCTTAGCATGGGCATCGCCAGGATTTTTTCTAGAGGGGGGCAAAATATATTTTCCCCCCAAAATTCATGTATTTCTCAACAAATTCTCGATTTATCAGTTTTAGAGGGGGGGCAGGGACATTCTGATCCCCCTCCCAACTCATTAAATTTACACCACTATGACTTCGCGTCTCTTTTTTCTTCCTTTTATTTTTTATTATTATTTTCTTTTTGCTTTTCCAGGGGGGGGGGGGGCAAGCGCCCCCCTTGCCCCCCCCCTCGTGACGCCCATGACCCTTAGTCAGGCAGAAACACATGGAAAAGTAAGGTAATTCACTTAAAAGGACAAACAAGAATAAAAGTTTGCATTAAAAGCAAAATAACCGTGAATAAATAAAAATATCTTGACTCTCTATAATGTTGAATAAATGAAAGCAACAAATATGAACCTGTTATATAGCTCACAAACTTGATCACCTTTGTTACCTCAGGCATGTCAGGCATTAAGTGTGTTGGCAAAATGCCATTCAAGAGTCTTTGTCATACTTTTTTCCTCCTGTTGTGTTGCATAACATGGACATTTTACCCACAATCTTTTTGATTTAAACTGGGTTTGGAATCCAGCGACCACCACATGCAATGCCGTTCACAAGTGTGAAACTGTCTATGTGGACATAATGCACAAGGACCCCCTCAACATTTGGCTGCTGTTCATAAGGACGTAAGGACCCAGAAGAAATATTTGTCAAGTATGCTTTACGAGGCCGGGAGGGGGTAGGGGAGAGGGCTTTTCCAATCCACAATTTTCCCAACTTGGAAAATTTCCCAATCCACACAGGAATTCTTTTGCTGCACAACTGTGGCAAACTACCTTTTGAAATACCCGATGGGCCCTCTGACCCATTAGCAGGTCGTCGGTGTGAACCCACCAAGTGTCGCTCGTCTCCACAGCCCCATTCTGGATTCCCTGCAGCAGCAGGTGGCAGGCAAAGACCACCAGGACAACCAGGCCTAGCTTGAGCAGGCACTGACTGCTGATGCAAGATCGTCGGCAGCGGAGAGCAGACGGCATGGCCTGGAGTTGAAGCTGCGGTGCTTGTTCGTCGACAGCGAGATGGATCAGGCTGGGATGGTAGAATTTAGCCATTCACTGGTTGGGAATGGTCGCGGGATGTTGCCTCCATGCTAATGGTAACCTGGAAAGCAATTGTTTCAGTTGAGAAAAGGTCATATTTTTTCCCTTTTCTTTACACAAAAATGAAAAAGGAAAATTATGATATTGTTCTTGCTTTTTTAAACATAGTTCTCTTTGTATGTACAGGTTGCCATCATGACATACCTATGGTTTATACTGAAATATGAAATAAAGAAAAAGCAAATCCTTAATGTATATTTCAATTATAATCCTATCATATATTCATAATGAAGTGGGAATTTTGAAATCACAGCTTATTAAAGACACTTCTTTTTAAAAGGTATTATTTTTAACTACTACTTTTAACTAACTGGTCTACTTTTTATGTAGTTTTGATATTTTGTAAAGCATTTTGAGATTTTTATGTAAAACGCTATATTAAGAATAAATTATTATTAGGATAAGTATTACTACTACTATTACTGTAATAGGGCGACAGGTTTTGCGAACTCCGTCCACAATAGGGCGATACACCTTATTGAGGCGACAAAATAACTGTCGCCCTTTTATGAAAACGACCCTTAGGACAAGGAATTTTGCTGTCGCTAACCATCTAGATCGATTCCTCTTGGTCCAATTAGTATAAATACTAAATTTCGTGGAAAAAACATAAGGTAAACTTGGGTTAGGTGACACTTTAGGTTTGTGCACAAGTCTATGGGAAAGTCACCCTATTGGGGCGAAAAGAGTAATTATTAGTCCTATTATTATTAAAAAAGTATTTATTAATAATAGAGAAATTAAAGAAACATGACGTACAAAGCTGCAGCTATCATCAGGTGATTACAATTCAACCTGGATCAACCTGGATCAACCTGGATCCAGGTCTAACAAAGTTGGTTGGGATTTATTTTAATTTTTTTTTTTAAAGTTAATCAACAGTTACTTCATCCATACGCCTACATATAAGTATAACTATACAAACCTAGCTTTGATGGTTGTACGTGCATTGCTAGCCCGACTGCGTCTGGCCGTACAGTACTATCATCGCAAGCACTGCGTCTGGCCGTACAGTACTATCGCAAGCTCTAGCTTGCGATAGTACTGTACGGCCAGACGCAGTCGGGCTAGTGCATTTCATGGCCATGGGAATAACAACAGCTGGCCTGTGCCTTGCATGTATGCATGGCCTGTGTGTACGTGTGCGACGAATTAGCACAGCAGAGTGCAGTGAATCACAGAAATTTGGTAGGCTGCCCCGTCTTAAAAAAAACCCACCATAATAATGCCACGATTCGTAACTCTGTGGTTCAGACAACTCACATATATCCATTTGAACTGGTGACACAATCATCTCCATCCAATAGCTTATGATTTTGTCCAGCAAATCGTGCTGACTAAAATATTAGAGAAAATACTGTTAGTGTTACTTAGTGTTACACGTTTTCTACATCATGTTTACTACATTATTTGTACATATGCAAAATGTGGTGGCGCTCTTCATATTTTTTGGGTTGGCACCTAGACTCCTGATACATTTTGTCAATACAATTTACTAAGAGATCAGTCTATATGGATTAGGTCGCGCGCTTTACGTACCGAGCTGCTGGCGCGCCATGTGCCATGTGTTGTTTGGTTTCTGTGCGCGGGAGGTGATCGGCGGTCAACTTCGGTATTTACAGTTAAAATCTACCAAGGCCCCAGCCACATGCTAAAATATAAACGTTTAACTGTTTAACGAAAAGTACTTTTTCTATATTCACTTTAGATTTTTGGCTGTTGTTACCATCATACATGACAACGTCAGCGTGATATGTTGAGCCTACTGTCAGAGTAGTATAAATGTGGCTGTTGTGCCCATTCTTGAAAATCACGCATTCTTAAGAATGTGCGCACATTCTTAAGAATGAGCGCGCATTCTTAAGAACGAGCACGCGTTCTTAAGAATGAGCGCTCATTCTTAAGATTGGGTGGGAATATCACGTGCACAATTTATGAATTTTGCCCAATCTTAACAAACATTGCACGACATAATTATGTTAAATGAAATGTATAGCGGTTAAAATGGAAACAATTTATATAAAGAGGAAAGAAATTGTTCTATGCTTCTGTACTCGTATAACTACGATAATTTGAATCAAATTAAACCTGTTATTATTGCTTTTTTCTGCCCACTATGGGAAGTTTTGTAATAACGGAGGACTGGGAACTAGTCTGGGAAGTGCTTTGTTTAGGCTAGACAAGTTACAAGTCCCTGTATGTATCATATGCATGCCACGAAAAAAAAACGATGTCCAGAAGCTGCCAAAATTGCTCTTTTGACTAGATAGAATCCAGCTCTGCGACGTAATGGTGGGGTGTGAACAATAAATTGGTGGCAATTTAAATGGGAAATAGCATTAGCACTATGGGATGTCGCAGTATTCATTCTCATTCTTCACATTCTTCATTCTTACGTCCCCCCCCCCCCCCCCCCCCCCCGCTTTTATTATCCCAAAAATCAGAATTCTTTCCACTAGTATTATTATGTCTCTTATTTTTTCCTGGTCCCCCCCACCCCCCATATCAATACGCCTATACTTATCATATCCACTCTACTTTTCAGCGCCTTACGTGCGTTGCAACAGTATAATTATTAAGAATCAGTGAACGAGGATGCAGCTAGACTTGCCAAGCGCAGCCGGTGCTCGGCATCGACTAGACCGTTATCTTGTCGCGCATTCTTAAAGGGAATATACAACATTTGCAAACATCGAAAAATAAAACTACCAAGTTTTTGCGAAATACCTTAATAGGATGTTGGTAAATGACAGTCTAAAGCATCCTGTAAAATTATGGCACCTGGTATACTGTCATTTTCAAGAAAAGTGGTATTTTTGTATCAATTTCCAACGCTGATCGGCCGATCAGCGTTGGAAACAACTGGCTTTTTTTTCAAATACAGGCCCCAATTGACCATTGCACTTGTTTGCAATCGATTACAAACCTATGAACGGGTACGGGCCAGCTAGACTGGTTCCCTGACCTTACAATTCCCCAATGTATGTAAACTGCTCTGTTTCTTCCTATATGGAGTCAGGGAACCAGACTACAGGAAAATGATCGTTTTTCTTGGTTTTTATAGCATTTTCGAACCCAAAACCTCCAAAAAGTCAGTAAAACTATATTTGCTTTATATTTCCAACCCCCCAATTCCATCCATTTCTGAAAATTACAGCAAAAGCAAATGATGTATATTCCCTTTAAGAATGTGCGCTCAATCTGGAAGAGTTATTTTTTGCGAAGATTGAGCAAGGATCCAGTTGCACATTCTTAAGAATGTGCCTGCCCATTCTTAAGAATGCGTGATTTTCAAGAATGGGCACAACATGGCCTATTTACTGGACTGCCTCCGTAAACATAGGCCACACATCCACATGTACAAAAACGTGTCGCACTTTGCCAAATTTTGGTTTTCACATTTAGGCTTAGTTTGTAGGATTTTTTTTGCTTTAGAAGCATACTCACCCTCTTTATAGGCTAGTCAGAAAGTGCTGCCTTTTTCAGATGTCAAATTTTTGTGAAATTTCATGTTGAAATTTTGATACGCAAACGTGTAAAAATGAATCTGGAAATTTCACGAAAAATATACATCTGAAAAAGGCAGCACTTTCTGATTAGCCTATAAAGAGGGTGAGTATGCTTCTAAAGCAAAAAACCCCTACAAACTAAGCCTAAATTCGAAAATCAAAATTTGGCAAAGTGCGACACGTTTTTGTACATGTGGATGTGTGGCCTATGTATACGGAGGCAGTCCAGTAAATAGGCCACATTTATGGGGCTAGGGTATTGTGTTCTTATTCCTCCATGGTTCTAGGGGTAATGTCGATCCATGGAGGAATAAAAACACCTCCATTGTCGATCATGATCCTGCCTTAATCATGTTAATTACTTTGGCCTATTTATTTGTTACTTTGTGGTAGTGTGTGAAACACTATGGGCCTCCAAATCCTGTGATGATAATTCATCTATTTTTGCCTTTTTTGAAAACTCATAGTCATTGCATTACCGTGACAACATGTCCGTCACAAGTAAATCAAAAGTAAAAATAGTCTGGTCACATTGATATGAAAGATATATGAATTGGCCTATGCAGTATGAAGTTCCAGAAAGTAATTTTTTTGGTTTTGTTTTAAATCCATGCAGAATTTTGAATGGCGGTGTTGCATTTCTACAGTAGCCCCGGCATACAGGCAGGGGCAGCCAAGGCGTGTCTGGATCGAGTGAAATCACTGCTCAAAGACGCAGGCCATGTGGAACTCAAGACGGAGATATGCTACAATGTGGAAGTCCCTGACAAGGGTATGGAGTTTTAAGATCAAACATAAACTCAAACCAATTTGTTTTTTAGAGGTTGTAGTTTTTAAAAGCTGGCATCTTTTTGTAACTAAAAGTTGTATGACCATGTCCATACAGTTTGTGTATGTGATATTTTGTGTGAGCGAACTTCATCGTAAAACATTTGAGATCCACTGGTAAGCATTTGGTACTTTTTTTTGTATATAGCCGGGTTTAGCCACCATATCCATCCACCCATTTAGAGCTTGTAAACATGGGCTACGTGCTCCTTTAAAATTAATAGTTGACATAATCAAAAGAACTCCTAGTTGTTTACCATCTACAAATATTTTAACAGCGGTGCAATAAAGAATGCTGACATCACTAGTTAACGTCAAATTTCTCTTCAATTGGAAGATTCTTTGAATAAGGAGGACCTTCAAGTGCTACACTGGATCCTTGCCACGCCATTTGAGAGCAACAGTTTGGCTTCCAAATCCTTCTTGGGTGATGAGAAGTCTTCGGAAGATGATGTGATCATTGAAATAGGCCCACGGTGAGTCGCCAAGTTATATATTTTGACTTTGTTCATTTAATTCACAACCAGAAATGTTGGTTTGAATCCAAACTGAAAGAGGAAATTAAATTGGCAATTTATGACAATTTGTCATACTCTGGAAGCCAGCGAAATATTTTTTGTGTGGTTTTGTAGACTCTGACAACCTAAAGCACATTAAACCTAAAATCACTTTTGGAAATTCTTACAATAACATCATGAGTCATTTCAAACGGAATATTAAAAAGTATACCTTGAGAATCACGATTGGGGTGGGGGGGGGGGCTTGGTTTCTTGCCAACATTAGCTGGTTTAGTGGAGTAAGAATCATGAGGTCAACCCTGTTTTTTTAGGGGCATGTACAAAACAAAAACTTGCTGGCAGTTTTACTGTTCAATTAACCTTAACCCCCATAGAAAGGGAAAAATTTTAAGAAATTGGAAGACTTACGACTGTCAATGATATGGCATTATTCTACTCACAGACTCAATTTCTCCACGGCGTGGTCCACTAATGCCGTCTCCATGTGCCAGTCTGCTGGACTCGATCAGATCACGCGCATTGAGTGCTCTCTCCGCTACTTCTTGAGAGCGACAACCGCCGATGACGCCCCCATGACAATCCCACCGGACGTTGTGAAGGAAATCACTGGCAGTCTACACGATCGCATGACGGAGTGTCGATATGCCAAACCACTAGACAGCTTTGCAATTGAGGTGAAATGCTCAGTCATGCCACTCAAATTATTCAGCTTTGCAAGAATTACCAGCAATATTTGTTAATGTGTTTATGTTCAAATTACTTAACCAGTTATGTTATGCCCCAGCTAGACCATGAGCCCAACTTAAGCTGGGATTGTCCGACTTAAGTGTTCCAGTTGGAACACTTTAGTTGGGATGGTTCTAACTTGAGTTGGGGCGGAACCGATTGCCTAGTTGGGGCCACCTCTCCACTTTAGCATAGCTGATGCCCAATATATATATGAATGATGCTTGGTATCGACAACTTCTGACCAAAAGCTGTACAAATCACTGAAAAAAAACTGACTATAAAGAAAAAGATTTAAGAAAATGTGTCATTGAAGTTTGTTCTTATATCATATTGTGATACATCAGTATGATCATTAAGATGCATCCAAGTAGAATTGAAAATGGAACCTTAATAAACTATGCATTAGGCTTTTTCTCACGCATTTCGATTTACCTGTTTTTCAACAGGTGAGCCCCGAGCCCATATTTGATGTCAATGTTATGGGAGAGGGGCGGAAAGCCCTGGAGAAGGCCAACAAAGAGTTAGGTAAGATCACGGAAGAAATCACTTTAGAAAGAATTACTGAATCCTGATTGCCTTGAGAAATACACTTGGTGATGAGGGCTGGAGGCTACCATTTTCAAGATCACGAAAAGTTGTGAAAGTTGATTTCAGGCATGTCAAGTGATAACGCATCTTTCGATGTTGACTGAATTTGATATATCTGTTGTAAATAGAATTTCAAACAGCCATACATTTCTTTGTTGCTTATCAGGACTTGCTTTTGATGACTGGGATCTGGAGTTCTACACGGATCTGTTTCGGAACAAGGCAAAGCGCAACCCTACGAGCGTGGAATGCTTTGATCTGGCACAGTCTAACAGGTAAACACACACATTGACTTTTGTCCGTTTACACAACTAAGTCAGAGTGCCAACTCAGAGAAAAACCACGTCCAAAATCTGAAACAACTTTTTGAAATCTGTTTGACATTGATAAAGTCAAATGGCGTATTGTGGAACTGTTGTTGGCCTGTGGATTGACAAGATCAAGCACAACGTGTCAGAACATTTTCAGAACCATTCTCTTAGTTTGAGAAATTATTCCCACATGGTGTTCCGCAAACCTTTCATTTATTAGTATCTCCACCATGCAAAGCCTCAAACCTTACTTACACAACATGTCGGTGTCCAAAATTATTGAAATGTTTTTGATGGATGTAGGATGTTATGTCAGAAGAAGATTTAGATGTAGAATATAGATTCCAGGAGTTTGACGTTTTGCACAAGAACTCTAGTCACAAGCTGTGCTTCAGAAGATATTCCTATTATGAATATCATTGTGAGACTTTCTTTTCATATTCCCCTTTACGTTAAGAATAGATCTGAACTTTTGTGTAATAACAGAATTCTTATATTGCTTGTATTATAAGGGATTATTATATATTGCTTGTGTTTCAGTGAGCACAGCCGACATTGGTTCTTCAAGGGACGCATGGTGGTAGACCAAGAGGAACATCCGCTGTCTCTGTTCAAGATGGTCATGAACACTCAGGCCACCAGCAACCAGAACAACGTCATCAAATTCTCAGACAACAGCAGGTGAGCCTGTGAAATATTGGCACTGTAAACTTAGGCGACAGAGGTCTGTAAAGACCAATGTGGGCACACTATCATTAAGGGTCAGAGAGGAGAGTATCAATTTAATTTCAGCTAAACAGCTAAAAACAGATTAAAAAGAATATCATGAAGCAGATAGGCCCCAAAAACAAAAAGTAGTTGGTCTCTGGTCAGCGCGCGCGTCGATTTTGATCATGCGCGTCAATCTTTTTTTTCTTCACATTTTCCGCGGTAGCTACAACAGCATCCTCTATTGCCACACCACCTCAGATTTTTGTAGCACGGAGCACCAAGGAATGGGCAAATGATGAAGGGCATCAAGGCAAATGATGGAGGACACCAAGGTACATGAGGACACATCAAATGAAAAATAATACCCACCTTGTCTGTGCAATCCAAGCTTAAAAAAAATAAAAGCAAAAAAAAACAAAACCCAAAAATGCATCACTGCATCAAATCCAGAACTTTGGTCTGACCAGAGACCAAATATTTATTTTTTTGGCCTTTAACTACAATTCATGAATTCGTTTGTGATAGAAGTGAAAATCTGAGACTTGAGTGATGAGAGTAATGATACAGCCTGAAATGATAGCGAGAATTGGATCGTTAAATCCAGTTTTGTATCATTGACAGTGCAATCCAAGGATACAGGGTACAGACACTGTTGCCAGAGACCCCCGGCATTGGTGCTTCGTCATTCAGGAAGCAAGAAGCTGAGAGACATATCATCTTTACCGCTGAGACTCACAATTTCCCAACTGGTAAGAAAATGTGTCTAGAATATGTAGTGTTTTTTGATACTTAGCCCTGAAATCAGGCAGTGCTTGAATTGGATAGGGTATTTGAACAATTTGCTTGCCCATTATATTTAATTACAAATGATTATAAGGTCCGAAATTTAGTGAAGCAGGATTGAACCTGGGACCTCTTTATAGGTGCATTACCAACTGAGATATCCAGCCTTAAGTCGGCAGTCTCTCACTTGTGTCTTTGTTTAAAGGTTTCAAGTTACAACTTTATGTCAAATTGATTTTCTCATAGAAATCATGACCCTGTCGGTTATTGAAGCGTGTCGATGCAACATATTGACAGTATAGTCTAACAGATATTTGCTGTCCAGAACTGTTCACTGAAAATCATGTCTTGCCAGTTTGAATGAAACAGAAATATAGCTGATTCAATGCAAAGGATTATACATAAAAAGGGCCTTTGATTTTTGCCATTATTTTCTAAAAGCCATGATCAAAGAAAGATTATAGAATTTTTGTCTTATCTTGTCTTTTTGTCTGAAGGCGTGGCACCGTTTAGCGGGGCCACAACAGGAACTGGTGGGCGTATACGGGATGTGCAAGCGGCAGGCAGGGGCGCTCATGTTGTGGCCGGTACTGCAGGGTACTGCTTTGGAAATCTCCACATTCCAGGTGAAAAATCGATATTTCATTTAACAATAACCCTCTAAAATCCTTCATTTCCACAAGAAGTTTAAAGGATTTTGCAGAGTTGAGTTAGACAGAGCCAAACCACTCTATCTTTTCATAGACTTGTTGACACTTGAAAGGTTTAGGAGTTAGATGGAATTTGTATCAGTTGTTTTGTTTATTGTTATTTTCTTTGCTCCCGTTTTCCAGACTACGAGCTTCCCTGGGAGGACACCTCATTTGTGTATCCATCCAACATGGCTCCCGCCTTGCAGGTTGCCATCCAGGCAAGCAACGGAGCCTCCGACTACGGCAACAAGTTTGGGGAACCGGTGCTGACCGGTTTCGCCCGATCGTTTGGCATGCTGGTCGGCAACGGTGAACGGAGGGAGTGGGTCAAGCCCATCATGTTCAGCGGTGGGATTGGCTCCTTGGAGAGTGGTCATGTGACCAAAGAACAGGCGGAGCCTGGTGAGTGGTAATTTTACTTCTTGATCAAATTTCTAAGCACAGCAATCAGCTGTTTATTTCAAAGAAAGAATTTGCTTAAAGGAGTGGTGCGATTTCAGTAGTACACCTGCTCACTGAGGCTAAAGCATGTCTTGATGAATTTCAAAGACAATTTAGGTTAGCCAAAATCTGCAATCGTTAGCACATTTCTGCTTCCATTTAAGCAGCTTTTTGAAGTTGTTCCCTGATCACCACACAGATTGACCGTTCACATTCATTCTATTTAAAAAAAAAAAAAATAGTTGGCTAGATTTCATCATGTGTGAAACTCGGTTGTTGCGAAAATATTGGTACCTTTTTGAATTCTTTGAACACATCTCGATGCGTAATACTGTTACGAATTGTAAACAACCATGAAACCTCACAGATCTGAATTGAAATTTCATCACAGTCCAACTCACTATGTCTCCCCCAGGAATGAAAGTGGTAAAGCTCGGGGGCCCAGTCTACCGCATTGGTGTTGGTGGCGGAGCGGCCTCTTCCATTCAGGTCCAAGGGGATAACACGGAGGAGCTGGACTTCGGTGCCGTCCAGCGAGGGGATGCGGAGATGGAGCAGAAGATGAACAGGGTGATCCGCGCCTGCATCGAGATGGGGGAGAAGAATCCTATATGCAGTATACACGACCAGGGCGCTGGGGGAAATGGTCAGTATATACTTCTTTTAATTAACCCTCCCAACTTTTTTCACAATCTCCAAGAAGTTTGGGGTAGAGGTCTCAGTTAGTTAAGTGAGTCGAATGAGCTGCTTTACCACACATTTGTTGATTTAGAGTATTCAGAATTATTCATGGCAGTGTTTCATATAATATTTCAATTATTCTTTCATAAGGCAACGTCTTGAAGGAGATATCAGAGCCGGCCGGTGCCCTCATACGAGCCAAGGAGTTTCAGCTAGGGGACCCAACCATCAACACTATGGAGCTATGGGGTGCAGAGTACCAGGAGAGCAATGCCATTCTTGTACCAGAGGGGGCGTCAAAGACGCTGAGAGATATCTGCTGCAGGGAGAAATGCTCGGTGTCGTTTGTGGGTGACATTACAGGGGATGGTAGGGTAAGTTTTTTTGTAATCTTGTGAAGATTTGAAGTAAGTGATTCATTCTAATGTCAGTACTTTGTGTTTACTTGGAGTAAACGATTGTGTGGACTTGTTCCACACAGTAGCATGTGATGTAAAGTTTTTAAAGTTGCTCTCTGGTCCTTTACACAATTCATCACTTGTTGCTTTTACAGATTTTAAAAAACAAAGATAGGGAGAATTCCAATCTTTTTTCACCTTATTTCTCTCAGATCCTTCAAAATCTAACAGTAGTTTTTGGATGAATTTGCAAGATTAAGGGATGTAGAGTTTAGGCACCATTGTTTAACATGGGGCTTGATTCCCAGTGACAGATAAGTAAAAAAAATGTGGTTTTGGGAGGATTGAGAAAGAGTTTTGCCAAAAAAAGAGGCAAGTGAGTTTAGGTCAAGTCAGTCGTCTCAGACATTTTATCATTGGTATTTAACAATCATTTTGAATCTTGTCATTTTGCAGATCCGTCTGGAACTAGAAGATGATTTGGTGGAAAATGGTGGAGTGAATGGGGAGTCTACGAATAAGAAGATGCGGTCGTGTTCTTACCCAGTTGATCTGGAGCTGGAGTGGGTCTTAGGATCAATGCCAAGAAAGGTCAGTTCTGCCGTCAATTTGGTACACAGCTGTAATGTTGTGATTGAATTATATGTATCTAGCCCGAAGATGTGTCGACTGAATCATTTCACTCTGCGGTCATTTTATCAATTTCCCACATTTCATCTCGGGGCAAAAACCAAAACTTCACTGAGCTAAAACTTCAACAGGTTTGATGTTGTGCATCCTTCTCAAGATTTTGTGCAATCGTGTTGCTTTAAATGAAAACAAAACACACTACGAGCAAATGATCCTAAGAATGCTTTGGATTGTAGCTTTGTAGACTCCAGTGCAAAAAGTTGAATCAGGGTTATCCTTGAATATTTAACATAGGTTCTCCATATCATTTTTCAGAGCTTTTTTGCTTTGTTGGGACGAAAATTAGGTAGTAGTTCATGTTAAAAGTGCCTCAAGACTCTTCTAGAACGTTTGTCAACGAATTAACAACTTGGAAATATCTTTGAAAGAACCCATTGATGACTTGTTTCAAAACCCATATTAGGTATTCAACATGGAGCGTGTGAAGCCCAAACTGAAGCCGCTAGACTTGCCTGCAGATCTGACGGTCAGGGATGCGATCAATCGAGTGCTACGTCTGCCATCTGTGGCCAGCAAGAGATACCTCACAAACAAGGTGAGCTGTTGACATCTTGAAGAAAGATTGCAATACTCTTGAGGCATATTTCTCTTCCCTTACATTCATAAACTTGTACCTTTTTTTGGAAAGCTGTATACCTAAACTGTAAGATTAGATTTGGAAACGTTGTACCCTGAACAAGTTTGCCAAGGAAGGAAGGTTGACCGTGTTTATTATTTTTTGCTGCTCAGGGCATTTCGGTTCTGGCTGCTTTCTGGCCACTGTGGTCACTGAATGAAATCACATTCGACCAAACTCTGAAGTAACCACTCTTATTTCCTTTTGGGGTACCCAATATATTTGAACCTGCCAGCTGACCCGTGCAGGCTCTGTGATTAAGTCATTGAGACATCTGCACCGGTAGGCGTGAAGTCAAGGGTTCGAGTCCCACCGTAGAATGCTAGTGAATCTTCTTTCTCACAAGCTCTTAGAAAGCACTAAGCATGGGCTCCCTACACAAGTAACCCCTCAACGGTTAAAAAAAACCTGGAGACCACTTGGAGAAATATGTGAATGCATTGTTGATGACGCCTGATGCTCACTCGAAGATGCAATGGCTTTGTGCGCATTCAGAGTAAACACACTTATGTGAACTTCATGCTATACGCTGGGCCCTCAAAAGTAAAACAGCACCCTATCTTGTTTGTGCACGTAGCCCAAACAGTGCTTTACATTGGGGAAGAGCAAAAAAAAATAACCCCAAAATGCTTCATCAGATAAATAACAGACTAAATTCTGTACCTCTTACCTCAGGTTGACCGTTCAGTGACAGGACTGGTTGCCCAGCAGCAGTGTGTTGGCCCCCTCCACACCCCCCTCGCCGACGTTGCGGTCACAGCCTTGACTCATTTTGACACCGTGGGTTCGGCCACGGCCATCGGCGAGCAGCCGATCAAAGGCCTGGTTGATCCTGCATGTGGGGCCAGGATGTCCGTCGCGGAAGCACTCACCAATCTGGTGTTTGCGAGGGTCTCGTCTCTGAAAGTATGTGTCATTTGCACTTTTAAGCACGGGTTATAATGGGGATATTCCTCCACACATAGAGCAAGTGGCCCGCATGACTGCACAGCCTTTGTGTTGTAGCGGGACTGCACAAAAGCAGCAGCTGTGGAACTACCCACTAGCCGTGTGCCACGGCATACCACAGCTGGCAACTGCATTCCAATGAGGATTAGCGGCCGCGGCCATGACCGCTTCCCGGGCCCATGGGGTTAAAAGGTCATAATTTATTGTTATAACACATTTCAACATGAGAATTAGAAAGGTTGATACTCCTAGATTGTTTGCAAATCATACTAGCCATTCTTGTTGAAATAGTTTTGTAGAAATTTCTCACCTTTTTCACAATTCAGTTGCTCTCCAGATTATCTCGGTTATTTTTTGACACTTCAGTTAATTTAATTTAAAGTGAAAAGCAAACTGTTTGCAAAACATTCTTGTCAGTCTCATAAATCTTTTAGAAACATTATCTCACATTTTTGAAAAATCAGTGACTTTTATAGTGATCAACATGCTTTTGATATAGTCAGGTAACTTCCAAGCATATTTGAAAAACCTAAGAAGCAAATTTCTCAAATCAGCAAAACCATTTCTGAAAAATGGAAGGCTTGCCTTTTTGGTTTATGATTTACTTATCAAGAGCTTATATTTGCCAAGTTTTGCATCCAGATTCTTCATCATTATTGATGAGAGTATGAAACTTGATGCAGCCATTTAGTACAAATAATTAACATTCCAATATGTTTTTTTTTTCTCAGGATGTGAAATGCAGCGGTAACTGGATGTGGCCTGCCAAGCTACCAGGCGAGGGCGCCGCACTCGTCGACGCCTGCGTCGCCATGTGCGATACCATGAAACAGCTGGGAATAGCCATTGATGGAGGGAAGGATTCCCTCAGCATGGCCGCCAGGGTTGCCAAGGAAACCGTCAAAGCCCCAGGTAAATACTGTGTTTTGTTAGTATGTCATCAAGATGGGCATATACCCTTTTTGTATAATAGTTACTAGACTGTTGTGTCATAGAGTGGAGTGTCATGGCCTAGTGGTTAAGAGCACCGCACCAGACTCATACTCTGGTGTTTCAGAGGCAACAGTGGCGTGGGTTGGAGCCCGGGTCTGGACACTTGTGGCCTTAAGCAAGGCACTTAACCATTATTGCTTCGTCCTTCGGGTGGGACGTAAGCCGTAGGTCCTGTGTGTTGTGTAATGCAATGCACATAAAAGAACCCAGTAACACTTATTGCTAAGAGAAGGAGTTTGCCCTGGTGTTTCTGGCCTTCTGTTAAAATTCTCTTGCGGAGTATTTAGGAGAAGAACTAACCAAGTACCAAGTAATGGTCACCTGATCTGATACATGTATGTGAAGACAGGCAATGTAGTGCATACATGTGTAAGTAAATATTGAAATCAGAGGTCGTAAGGACAGCATTGCCCTGTCTGTTCTCTGACTCTGTATTTGAGAAAGATGGTGAGGCAGTATGACTGAGTGGCTAAGTACTTCTGACTCAAGTTCCTCGATGCTGCATTGCCAGTTTTCGTGGAGAAAGTTTCAACTGCATTTCATTGCATTTTCTTGTCTATAAATGGATTAGTTTAACATTTTGTATAATGTTCCATAGGTGCGCTGGTCATTTCTGCCTATGTTGGATGCCCGGATATAAGAGCCACTATCACCCCAGATCTCAAGTGCCCGGGAGGCTGTGGTGAGTTTGATGATCCTGTTCTCTACATATTGAATCGGGGTCGCAAATTGAGTGTATTATGCTGTCATGCCCTTTGCAATGCACAATTCCTAGCCAAAATCACCTGAGTATAAATATGCAAGCCATCAAGGTCGTGGTGCATTTCTGACAGTTATTTTCTGAATGACGATTTGATATTTTTTCAAAGTCTCTAAAACAATTGTTGAAATTATTAAAACAAGAGAAACATTTTGGGAGCTTTGCTTAACTTAAATTTCAGGATTTGTTCCAGAATTACGTGAACTTGATTTTTCATCAACTACTACTGGATGACTGGTAATATACATTATTGCAGTCGTCACCAATCTCTTAAGGTGTAAGACCTCTTTTGCGAAAGGCAGTTTCATTTTAGGTCGTCAGTATTGAACACTTACCGCTTTAATTCTTTCTTCAGGGAGTATTTTGTTTGTGGACCTGAGCTGTGGCCATAGTCGTCTAGGGGGCTCAGCCTTAGCCCAGTGCTACAAGCAACTCGGTGACAGCGTGCCAGACCTGGAGAGCACGGCCGTGCTGGTCAATGCCTTCAACGTCACCCAGGAGCTCCTTGCTGGTGAGTTGAGCAGTTCATCCAGTCAAAAACCGTTCAACTGTCCAACAGACAAAACCCAACTATCTGTTGGAAAGATCAGCAACAAATCAGGGAAAACAGAAACAGAAGAATTCATGTAAATATAATTTGAAACATTCTTCCGAAATATTCAAGAACATTTTATGTTCAGAATGTTACTTTCTTTTTTTACAGAGGGCTTGTTGACAGCTGGTCACGATGTCAGCGATGGAGGGCTTATTACCTGCCTGCTGGAGATGACCTTTGCAGGGAATTGTGGGATGGAGGTCAACATTCCAAACAACAACAAGGGTCAGTCCTGTGAATTTTTCTGTGTGAAACCATTTCTTAGGCCAGTTTGGAAAAATAACATGAGTTTCTGCAGTGGCAAAACTGATATTCATACTTATTCTACCAAAAATCTAAAAAGTTTACTTAAATTGATCTTTCATTGTAACTCATTCAAACTCCTTAAGCATTTTTGCCAGAATCCCTTCTGTATCTTTAAATATAAATAAAAAAAGATAGAAAATGAAGGATGAAACGTATTTGAAGTAAGTGAATAAACAAACATATTCTTCATCGTGATTTGATATGTATAGCGTCGTCTTTGGAGCTGCTTTTTGCGGAGGAGCTGGGTTTGGTGTTTGAAGTGTCGGCCCAGAATGCCGAGGCAGTGTGTCAGAGGTACGCTGGGAAGAGTGTGCTGTGCTCTGTGATTGGTCAGTCTTGCGGGCAGGGACCAGACTCCATGGTAAGATCAGAATTTAAATTTGTTTTCTCCAACAAATTTGATGCAGGCTAAGCATTTAGGTATTTCTAAAGAAGCAGACTTAGCTTTGTGACAGAACTAAATTTTATTTGCTGATTTTAAGGTACCAATTTTAAAAGAAACAGTTTTCAGGAGGCATATTGAAATATATATAAGCACATAAGAAAAAAGAAAACAAAATCTCACTAAAAGTTACAACAGGTTTCAAGGAATTTGTTTGATTCAGAAATTGACAGGTGGATATCTGAGATTGATACAACAGTGGTTGCTCATAGTGCTGTCTGTTAAAAAACCTGTAGTATTGTAAAGTTAACATGCTCTTCTCTGATTAATGGTAAATGGTCAGACCAGTGTAAGGCTGCATTCGAATCCACTTTCAAGAGCTAGGTCTAGGTCCACGCCCATTGAAAATACGCGGGGACGCGCTGACAATAGACGTAGCCGTAGCTCTGGAAGCCCGTTTCGGACACGGCCTAAGATTCAAAGTTGAAGTCAAGGCATCGAAAGTTATCAAGTCTCAAGTCCAGAGACAAGATATCTCAATGGAGTGAGACAAAGGCAAGCCTTGTCATTGTTATCTCCAGTTACCTGAGCCGGACTTGTGACAGACTTTTGATTGACTTGACTACAACGTTGGCAAGATTGAGAGAGAAGATGTTGAAACTTACCTCTTGTGTTTATAATAGGTTCGAGTGTCTGTGGATGGCAGTGACGTCCTGACGGACAAGATGACAGTCCTGAGAGACGCTTGGGAGGAGACTAGCTTCCGCCTGGAGGCCCTGCAGGCCAATCCAGAGTGTGTGACTGAAGAGAGACTAGGCCTTGGGCAGCGTGTGGCTCCTCCCTACAAGCTGACCTTCGACCCCAACAAACATAAAATAGATGCAGGTAAAACAGACGATATGTTTTTGAAGTTGTTTCAATTGGATTCATTTGCTACTAATATTAAAGACATAGTCCATCATTTGTAATTTGTGCATTTTGTTCGTTTGAAGCAACAAATGTGTTCAAAATCTAATGAAGGATACTGAACAACTAACCTGATGAAGTTTCAGCTCAGCTTCAGCTGTATATTCCGAGAAAAACAGCATTCTAGGATCTCAATTTCAAATCCAAAGTTGCTTAATCATGTTTTGAATTGTTTTGAATTGCAGCTTTACGCGATGCCGCGCACTGGTCCGACGAATTATAGCAACCCGGCGCCTGTGCGTCGTGCCAACGCTTACGTGCGCTCCGCCGAATAACAAAACGAACTACTAATTTAAATTTTCCTACGGTGCTTCTTAAGACACACCGTTGGAAATGCCTTCTTTCGTTGATTTCTTCAAAATGAGAGCTTGCCAGAAAGAATAATTTCTCAGGGAGTTTAGTCCCCTTACTATCTTTCAACCAGTATGTTTTTCAACAATAATTACGCCAGTTACTTTTTTGGATAGCTGCAAATGATGGACTCCGGCTTTAATCGTAGGTATTGCGCATATGGGAAAAAAAGACATGTTCTGTCAAAATGTGACACTTCTGGGCAAGGCTTGAAATGGAGATAAAACTAGAAATCAGAGTCGGGTGATTTTTCATTCAGTTTTTGCAAATATGTGATTCTAACTTTATCGAAAATGTAGCTCAGACCGTTTCAGACCGTAGTTTTTAATCTAAAGGCATTTAAAAAAAATAATGTGTAGAGGTGTATTGATTCAGTTTTCAGCTCATTTCCCAGAAGAGTTTACTTTTGACTTAAGCTTTTTTAATTTCTGAGAAACTAAAATGAGAAATGTGTTACCGCATTCCCTATGCAGAGTTGGCCAAACCAGGTTTTGTTCGTCCTAAAGTGGCCGTGATTCGCGAGGAAGGCAGTAACGGTGACCGCGAGATGGTTGCCTCGCTGTTTGCTGCCGGTTTTGACGTCTGGGATGTCAACATGCATGACCTAGCGACGGGGAATGTCACCCTGGACCGGTTTAGGGGCGTGGTCTTCGTGGGCGGATTCAGCTATGCGGACGTTTGTGGATCTGCGAAAGGTAAGCGGACAATTCTACATGGTAATTTATTAAAGTGGAGGATTTGAACTATCTGTGATTTAAGTGTCATGGTATATGGGTTTAAACCATCAAACCCTAAGGAGGACCATGGTGTTTATGTTCTTGAGCTAGAGACTTTACAACACTTACCACTCTCCAAGAGTATAAATGGACACCAGTCAGGTAAGGCCAAAAAAAAAAGGTTTCCTGTTTCTGGTATGGAGCTTGCCCCAAAAGTGGTGCGGCGACGCGGCTTTTTTTTTTCTTTTTACCTGTTTTTTTTTTTTTTTTGGCTTCAAATGTCGGCTGATGACTGCAAATGGTGCCCGACTAAACTTAGTGCAAATATATGGGAGTCCAGAGAGGCCACATAAAGCTTATTCTCGATCATAACCCCATCTAAAAACACATTAAAATTGTGCAGCAGCAGGATTCCAGTCAAACCAGTGAGTTTGGCGGTTTTGAGACATCATCTTGTATTGAAAAAAAAACTTTTCATTTTGCCGACGCGCATGGCTACGGCGACGCGCGCGCATACCAGAAGCCGGAGACTCTTTTTTTTTGGCCTAAGAGACAGATTGCAATATTGAAATGCTGTGGAAAACTGGTCTCTTTTCCTGATAAACCGGGGAAATAATTGTGAAGCGCTTTGATGCATAAAAGCCTGGTAAATAAGCCTTATAAGCAACACGTACTTGTTGAAACCCTCCTATGCAAACATACATTCTGTGCCATGTTGACTGGCTGTGACTGTTTATGTATTTTGATACAGCTATGCTTTGACTGTAGGTGATTGACAAGCCAGCTGCGCCAACCACTTGTCTGCTTTAGTCTGTTGACTGAATTTGACTATAGAGTCACAGTGCTTGCTTGAAATATGGCAGGGGAAGAGGATTGATTTTTTGATTGTCTGTGACTCTTCGGATAGCAGGAGGGTTAATGTATTGGGTGTCTTCCTTCAAAGGCAAAAGTCGTCAAGTTTTATTGTGTATTCTTAAAGTTGCCAATTTTGTAGAGTGTGTTTAAAATACCTGTAAACATTTTTTAGTAATAACTTCATTTGTTTCTGACAGGTTGGGCAGCGGCGATCTTGTTTAATCCCACTGTGCGTGCTCAGTTTGATGCATTCCGGGCTCGGAGTGACACTTTCTCATTGGGCGTCTGCAATGGCTGCCAGCTGATGGGGTTGCTAGGCTGGGTGGCCCCGGACCATGGACAAGGGATGCCAGATGCAGGTAAACCCTAAAAAACCTTTAAGATCCATATCTGCAAACTAATGCACTTCTCTGTAGTCAAAGCTGCAAATTTCATTACCTCCTACAGAGCAATAAATTCACATTACAAAAACATTGAACATTCAGGAGAACAATGTAGGGCTGCATAGCTCAGTTGATACAGCACTGAAACTTTTTCTGAAGTTTCCAGGTTCAAGTCCCACTCCAGTCAATTTCTTTATTCAACCAAATATTGGCATTTCTCTCAAGTTACACGCTGCACCTTGAAACGATTCAGGGAAAAAATATTGATGTTACCTATAACTTTTTTTCTTTCTATTTCTCTTTTCAGATTCTGCTTCCTCGAAGCAAGGCGTCTTCCTGACACACAACAAATCCGAGAGGTTTGAGTCCCGGTTTGTCAGTGTGGGGATCAGTCAGAGTCCGTCCATACTCCTACAAGGCATGGAGGGGTCTGTTCTGGGCATCTGGGTTGCCCATGGAGAAGGTAAAAAAAAAGGAAATGCAACATAATTATCGCATAATTGAGGAGGCTTTTGCAACATCCAATTCACTGACTCAAGTATGCCAATGATGCTAGTAAGTAAACAGTGTAAAACAAACTTATTATTTGTTGGTGCAGATAATGTTGCCATAGTTTGTGAGCATATTCAAATTTAAATTCATCCCAAGTAGAAGAAAAGTGAAAAGCTGTTAGTCAACCCTTACATAAGCATTTCTTTGTCATCTTTCATCTCCCGTTACTTATGGCCTGACATGTGACCTGGTTTGTGACTTAAGTTTTGATTGACTTGTGAAGAACTTGACTACAAGTTGGTCTAAAGATTCTCTGTCACCCACCAAATTTTGAGACTCAACCATGGTTTTCTTGTTTTAACGCTCACCCAGGCCAAATGAAGTTTGCCTCAGACGCCATCCTCGACCAGGTCACCCAGAACAACCTAGCACCCATTCGCTACGTGGACGACCAAGGCCAACCCACCACCCAGTACCCACTCAATCCAAACGGGTCCCCTGAGGGCGTTGCAGCCCTGTGTTCCCCAGACGGGCGACACTTTGCCCTCATGCCCCACCCAGAGAGGTGCACTTTCACCTGGCAGTGGGCGTGGATACCGCAGGAATGGCAACGGGAGGTGAAAGTGTCGCCCTGGATGCACATGTTCAAGAATGCATGTGCCTGGTGTCACCAAAATGCTTAGGGGATTTGGTTGGGTCTCCTGGGTATGTCATGGTTGCAAAATTTATGGTTGCACAATTTATTGTTGCAAAATTTATGTTGCAAAATTTATGGTTGCAAAATTTATGGTTGCACAATTTATGGTTGCACAATTTGTTGCAAAATTTATGGTTGCAAAACGTATGGTTGCATAACTTATGGTTGCATAATTTATGGTTGCACAATTTATGGTTCTAAAAGTACATTGCAAGTGGTTGAAAAACTAAAAGGGTTAAGAATCATTGAAATTTTGGGAGGGAAAAAAAGCACTAAAATGCAAGTATTGTTGCAGCTTAAGTCAAGCTGTAGTTTTGTTTTTGATTTAAGATAGGTAATGGATCCAAATCAAGGTTTAAATTAAAGTGAATTTTTCATCTTAAACTAGGATTTTTCTTAAACGGAGTATAATTTTAGATGGGTTACTTTATCTTTTGAGATGAGGATACATGTCTCGATTAAAATGGCAGCTATATGGATTGGACACTAAAAGATGGAAAACCAGCAAGATTGTTCCAAGTATTAGGTTACATCTGTCGATGTAATCATGTCAGTTGTTTTGAAAACCATTACAGGGTGTTCTCATATCAGTTTTCTGTAGCCAGTAATACCGACTATTTTTTCTAAAAGTTACTGAAATTCATTTTATTAACTGAAATTCCAAGAGTTGTATTCTTCACCTGTCATTTGTTTTTGAAACGAGATGTCATGACAAGACCTTAACATGTTCAGAAAAAGAAGTTAATAAAAGTACTATGGTACGGATTCTTGATATCTGGTAATTATCATTGTGTTCTTTATCGATGCAAATTAAAGAAAAAAATTAATGTACCAAAACAAAAGGAAACCCAAAAAATGAAAACAAAAGGAAACCCAAAAAATGAAAACAAAATGTACAAAAAATTAAAACCAAAAGAAATGAGAAAACAGATTTTTCCAAAAAAGTGAAAAATTTATTCGAATACATCTTTGGAATAACAAAGGCACTTAAAGGGAATGTACAACAATTGCTTTTGCTGTAATTTTCAGAAATGTAAGGAATTGGGGTGTTAGTATTTTATAGCATAGCAATTGTAATGTCAGGGTATTAAAGATTTAGGCAAATTAGGCAAATTTCCACTAAAAGTCCAGCTTGGTAACCATCATCTTCAGATTCAGCACCCCGGAATTAGGTATAATAGCTGCGTTAACAACTTCTACTAAAAAATGCATCTTCTTGCCCTTAATAAGCCCTTTTTTTGAAATATCGCCTAGACTAAAATTGAAATGCAAATTTTACAGTTTTTGAAAGTAATTTCCACAAAAAAAAATACAAAATGATACAAAAGAAATTCAAATAATATACAAGAAAAATGATGACAGACGGACAGTACATACAAAATAAAATTAACTAAGGACTGATATAATTTTATAATTTCTTTTCTTTTGGACAGAAAAACAATAACACTGACTTTCCCCATTTTCAAACTTCCTTACAGTTTTAAACATTTTCCATTGAATAAAAGTTTCTGATATTTGGAATATATTCAGACAACGGATACTCCAGGTCTTTGCAGCAAAAATCAGATCGCACCCAAATTTTTACATGTACAAAGTAATTGACACAAAACAAACAAAATAATACAAAAGAAAATTTGAACATTAGGCCAAAAAAAAATAATAAGTCGGTCTCTGGTCAGCGCGCGTCGATTTTAATCATGCGCGTTGATTTTTTTTTTCCCCAAATGTTCCGCGGTAGCTCCAACAGTGCCCCCTATTTCCGCACCTCCTCAATTTGTTTTACCAAAGAGCACCAAGGAATGGGAAATTGCACCAAGGCAAATGATCGAAAGCACTAAGGCAAATTATGGAGGACACCAATGTACATGAGAACACCAAAAAAAGCAAAATAGTACCCCACCTTGTCTGTACAATCCATGCTTGAAGAAAAAAAAGAGAAGAAAAAAAGAAAAAAAGAAGCCGCATCGCCGCGTCAATTCCGGAACTTTGGTCTGACCAGAGACCGAATATTTTTTTGGGGGGGGGGCCTTAAACCATATACATTTTGTAAATGATATTAAAAAGAATACACACAAAACAATTATGAGGACTGATCTGATAAATTTCATGAATGGTTCATTTGAGAGATCGAAAAACAATAACCCTTTACCTTGCTATTTGAAACACAAAGAAGTGAGATTCCACGAACCATGAGCATGGGGATTGTACAATGTTGTTTTCGAACTTAAAACAAAATTTGTTCCTATTTCAGTATTATACATCAGTACAGCTGGCATTCAAACGGACAAGACTTATTTTGCAACGGAGAATACACTAGCAAGATTGCTGGCATCTGTGTCAGTGTTTATCCGTAAATCCAACAACTCTTGTCTCAAGACGTGTGCCTTGTCAGAAGCACAGACTTCAAGACGTGCGTCAGAATTACACCATTTTCTTCTTTCACCCTCAAAATCCCCTCTGACCTGTTTCAATTTATCCTCGCCGGAAGGCCCTGCATTGGCGCCATTGCTGGTAGTGGCTTTTGCATCATGGCCCTGCACTATGGATAAGGAGCTGGTGGCTAACAGCTGCTGCATTTTTGAGGAAGTGTGCTTCAGTTCCTTGTCAATGGTTGCCATGGTGGTTCCCATGGCAGACCAGATTTGATTGGCTGGTGGGAGGGGCTTGATGATGACATCATCGGGCAGCTGCTGGTACAGGTGCTGGCAGAAAAGGAGAAGGTCTGACTGATTCCTGAAAAATCAAGTGAAGACATGAATAATGCATGAAATACTGAAAGATCAAACCGATCCCAGGGTGGAAATGAGGTTACAATCTCATTCAGAGGGAGTTAACTACATGAAATAGGCTCCTCACAATATTTAGGGTGTACTCCCTAGCATAAAAAAAACCTTGACAAAAAATTATGCCAAAGTCAAGGATGATAATGCATGACATCTATTGGTTGTCCTATTCAACAATTGTTTCAAGATTTTTAATTGAGTTAATCACATGACCATCACAAGTTTATCACCAGTCTATCACCAGTCAATCACAAGTCAATCACAAGTCCATTACATGTCCATCACAAGTCCATCACAAGTCCATCACAAGTCCATCACATGTCCATCACATGTCCATCACATGTCCATCACAAGTCAAGCACAAGTCGATCACAAGTCAATCACATGTCCGTCACATGTCCATCACATGTCTATCACAAGTCAATCACAAGTCAATCACCAGTCAATCACATGTCCATCACAAGTCCATTACAAGTCAATCACAAGCCAATCACATGTCCGTCACATGTCCATCACATGTCCATCACAAGTCCAGCACAAGTCAGTCACAGATCAATCACAAGTCATGTCATTAAGTAACTGAGCCTGAGCCATGACAGAGACTCCCTTTACAGTTCGCTTAACCTGGGACTGGATGACGTGTGATGGACTTGTGAATAACCCAAAAATTACAAGTCCAATTATCACATACCGACTCCACACATTTATTGCCATCTTGTTCGGCCCATCCCGAGACACAATCTTGACCCTCGTCGTGCCAAGAGCTCCAGCGGCACTTATCATCCCATCATGCATTGTAACATCCTGGAACCCCATGGGGCCTTTCAGGGTGCATTTCACACACTGCAGGTTGCTGTGATTGGAGGTAAGTAGCAGGGGCGTGGCTAGCTGGAGGGCGTCGAGAGCTTGTATATCATGCCGACGCTCAGAGTCTGTCACAAGGAAAAGTAAAATGTTAATGTGAGGTTACAATGATCATTGGGGAAAAGAAATGCATGAATTCATATCCCCCCCAAAAAAACTTTGCAACTTTGACATTACTTTTATCCAAAGATGTCACAGTGTGATTTTGAGTGGTTTGATTGAATTTTATAGATTCGGGACAAAATACCCCGATCACTAGCATTTAAGCCGGTGTTGGTAACAAAAGTTAGCAAGCATACATTGTTCTTTTTCTCCAAAATGTTTGACTTCTTATAAAAAAAAAAAAATTCACTTTAAAATTTAAGTTTTGGAGATTACCTTACTTATCAATTGCAATGCATTATCATGTGAGAGCACCACACATATGGAAATCTCTTATGCATAATACTGAAAAAAAAATGCAAAAACTCATCACCTGATTTTTTGCGATCCAATGGATTTATCAGTAGTTTTCCACTGGCCACGTCACAAGCTTGCAAGGAGGCAGTGCCACAGGCACGCCGTCTATCAACGAAGCCGTCTTTGTCAACTCCTGGCCTGGCCTTGTTTTCTTCAGCCGTCACAACATCATTGTGGTTTCTGACGAATGGTTCTCTCCAGTTCAGCACCACAGTGCACGTAACAACAGGTTCAGAGACAAACTCTGGAACCCCTGTTACACCAACTACTGTGGTCTTGGCTCTAGACTCCAAAACAGCTGTTCTCGAATCTTGGTCCAGCTTGATTCTCTTTGCCATTGGCTCTCCGTGGTCTGATGCAACTGCGGAGGAGACTACTGATTTGAAGTTGCAGGTGGATGTGCTTGAATGGAGACTAGTTTGAGGAGTGCTTGCAGGGATCAGTGATATGCATACATCAGAAATAGCCCTGGAAAAGTGAAGAAATAGGAGATTTCTACTACTTGTTCCAAATTATGATATATCTTAACTTTTCCTTTAAGTTTCTCCTTTTCAAGTTCAATAGAAAGTGGTGAATGAAATTTAAAAGTAATATCTACTGTGAAATCTTGATAAGCCAAACCTCAACAGAACAGGTTGAAAATTTTACTTAAGCAGAGTTTTTGAGTTGAGTAGGGTTGTATAATTATCATTGTTATACTACTGAAGGCAGTGGATTCTTTGTTTGACTTAACAGGTGTTTTGAGTTATCAGAGTTTGACTTATCGAGATTTTACTGTGATGTATCATACCTCAAACAATTCAATTTCCTTAAATAAACTCTGCAACTCTGTTGAGCTTTAAGGGATGTTCAGAATTAGAAACTTAAAAGTCTGCTTTGTTCAATTACACAAAAATATAAGTTAAAAAAAAAATAAAAATAATGAATCCTCCTTTTGTGAGCAGGTGATAGTTACCTGTCAGTTGTGTTGGCTACCTCTGCGCCAATGATCCAGCGATCGTCAGCAACACGCTGCCAAGTACTCAAACATTCCAGTGTTGTGTCCTCGTCGGTGCTAGGAGTTTCTTCCCCGACTACGTCTGTATTGTCTTCCCCAGAGAGGTCACACAAGCACGTCAGTGAAGTCTGTCATGAAAAATACCAGATTAAAATAAGTCTGATGAAAAAAATTCCATAAGTAGCACTATAGACATATCTATGGAAATAAAAATGTGAGGATGAATACTTTTTTGGGCCTTAATACCACATTAAATTACGGAGAGGCAATAAACTGATACATTTGTAGATGCTCTAGTGCCTCTTGTTCGTTGTGACACTTCAACTTTTAAAGAAAAATGACAAGATTGCCACACTTGCACGTTATATTAAAACCATATGAACAGACAACTAGTTCAGCAGTCCAGAAACCCAGATCATAATAAATAAAAATACATTATTTGTCATTTCTTAAATTTTGATTGTTTGCCTTAAAAAATCCAGTGTGCAAGACATCTCCTCAAAACTTGAACCAATAAATCATAAAAAAGACTGATTTTTTTTTAAAACTGATTAATTGTTTGGACAAGAAGAATGACACACACACCCATTTACTCACATCATGTGATGGTAATGGCGGCGTCCGTTCAGCCATCTTGAACAATGCATCCTGGGATTGCTTGATGAGCTGTGCCTTCAGAGCGCACTGTGATTCTAATGACCTGAGAGCTGCCATGCCGGTCTACACGATAATGAAATATAGTAGAAGAAATAAAAGGTTAAAGGGGAATATACAACATTGGTTTTGCTGTAATTTTCAGAAATGGATGGATTTAGGGGGTTAGTATTTTATAACAAATATTGTAACACTGAAGTTTCGTGTTCCTAGATGCTGGAAAAACCAAGAAAAACATGTAGTCTGCTTCCCTGACCCCAGACATCGGGGAATTGTAAAGTCAGTGAACCAGTCTAGCTGGCATGTACCGTTCATAGGCGTGTAATCGATTGCAAACAAACCAGACTAAATGGTAAATTGGGGGCAGTATTTGAAAAAAGCCAGTTTTTTTCCAACGCGGGTCAGCTGACCGGCGTTGGAAATTGATATAAAAAATACCACTTTTCTTGAAAATGACAGTATACCAGGTGCCATGATTTTACAGGATGCTTAAGACTGTCATCCATTAACGGTCCAGCAAGGTATTTCATAATAATTTGGGTTTTTTTTTTTTTATGTTTGCAAATGTTGTATGTCCCCTTTAAAAAAAAATTGGAGTTTTGGGAATGACTAAAATTGGGAATGACCAAAAGAAGTGATGGGAGCATACAATACACAACTTGTATTACTGTAAAATGTTTTACTGCAAGCTACATGAACGTTACAATTACCATACCTGTACTTGTGATTCCAGTGCTTGCACCGCCGACTGCAGATTGCCTGCACAAACTGGTGGTCCGTCTGTAATGGTGTTTCCATTTTCCTTATTAAACAAAAAATTAATAAATAAATAAACTATTGGAAAAAAAATCTATTTCAAAGTGAATTGTTTTGAATCATTAAAAGAAAACCCAATAAGAAAGACTAATTCAGCTTGATAAAATCCTAAACACAATTGAGAATAAATAAATAAAAAAAAATTACAACCCACAGTCTGAACAGTCGGAACACTTCAAAAACTCAAAACTTTGTTCAGCAAAAGGAAAGTCATACAGTGTGCATAAATATGACTTAATTATCTGTATTGATTTCAAGTAAAATTGCACAGAAACTTAAGAAAAGAAAAGTTTTCGATTAGATATTACCGTGGGAAAAATTCTTACCTCGGAAGACCAGTTGCACATTCCAAGGTCGGTGAGGTGGAAACGCTTTTGAGGGGCGTCTGCACCATCTCCAAGAAGAAGAAGCTGCTCTGATCCAGAGAAGAGAAAATCATCCACGAGAACTGTGTAGAAGCCTGTCCATTCTCTGGCCACCTGTGGACAAATAAAGGTAGGATTTCTTGTCATAGTTTGTCACAGTATTTCTCTCTTTTTTTTTCTTGGGGGGGGGGGGGTATATGGTTGGGTCGCAATGAGGTTTGTTTTTGTTACAATGTTAACAATTTTGCAATAAGAATATAAATGCAAGTATGATAGAAATTATGACAATAAATAGATATTACTTTTTGCATTAATATTGAACATTTTTGAAAGAGTTTCTGTAAATGAGTTGAAAATGAAACACAGTTAATGTGTTTATAGAAAAAGAACACAAGGAATAGGCGGAAACTGGAAATTTCAAGTAAGTCAACAAAATGTACGTGCCTCAAACGTCTTCCTCCACACAGCACAGACCCTACCGCCAGCGGACTGCACCAAAATCAACTCCTCTCCTCCCGTCACCGTGGCAATGGCAATCTTGCAGGCATCATTAAATGTGATGGAACAAACTCGTCTGACCATCCCTCCACAAGCTTCAACCAATTGGGACTGGTTTGTAGCAGCAAGAACCAATGAACTTCCCTTATCTACGCTGCGGTCACTATTTCTGAAGAAGCTGCTTCCTAATTGGCTTACACTACCTTGGCAAAAATGGAGACAGTTGACAATGTTTGAATATTCATGAGGCATTGGCGCAATCTCCTCTGCTATTGGTACATTACGTTCTTCAGTTTTATGCACAGGCAGCTTAACCACTGTCCATCTGTGGCCAAGGTTGAGAAGCATCTTCCCAGCTGAATGTTCGTGATTGGAGGACTGCTCCGTTCCCATGGCAACCGCATCACCACTTACCACACCGAACCACTTCAACGATTTTGAGGGTTTAGATAAATCTTCATCCAACTTCACATCATCAACACTGACTTTGGTTTGGTTTGATGATCCAAAAGCTCGTGTGAAGTAAACACTCCTTTGATGTTCCCAACAAAGTGTTGGTCCGTTTCCAAGAAACAATTTCGTTGACTTCAGCGAGTATCCCAATGTGAAAAACCCACGCAGCAAAAATGTCTTCTTTCTCAACAATAAGAACACGACTGATACGCGCGAGCGATACTTAGATATCTTAGAAATCCCAGCCCCATCCCCAGCAGCAGAAACAGGCACGTTGTATTTTTCCCAAACTCGTTGTTCAACAACAAGGCATGGAATTTTCAAGCCAGTCCGACTGTCAGTAACTTTGGCCAAAGCAAGGAGTCTTATGTCGGTGCCATTGCCGAGTGTATGCGTCACTCTGTCACCGCGTGGTTCAAATTTACCGCTCCGCGGAGAGAACTGAAAACTTTCCGCCAATAGCGTTGCCTCACTGTCCATTGTTTCCATTGCCATCGCGTCGCTTGTGCCATTTTGAAGCAGAGGAGTATCGATTTGCATTTGCGAACCCGGAAACGATGAAATTTTGACAAGTTTACCATGAACGGAAGTGTACACAGCAGGGACCGACATTCTGCTGAAGTGACTATCACCAAGCAAACATACAGGCGTTCAAATAGATTCTTTTGACGGGTGGAAACACATGACAAAACATTTTTATTCGGAGTAATTTTTTTCTCCTTACACGCAGACTTGCCATTTTCCAAAATTCCCGGCATTTAATGGCGATCCAAATTAGCGCCCTCTATCGACGCTTCCGTAGCTTTTTTTTTAATGGTGTTCTAAATAGCGCCCTCTAGTTTGAATGTTTACCTTTTCCATCATCCATGACCGGACCCAATTTGTACCTCAAACTATTTTTGGACGATATCTGTATGAGGTAGCGATGAACGACGATTTACCCACATAAAAAGAATAGATCGCACCAAATCAAAGTCTGTGCTTATTCGCCGGTACGATTTCATATCTCCATCTAAAGTTCAAAAGGTCATTCAGCGAACGTTGCTGTGATATTAGGAGTTGCGTTTCCAGTGTTTCCCGCTGTTGAATAATCATATTTTTAGCATATGATCAAGGGACCATATGATCAAGGCAGATCGGTTGATAAGAAGTTGTCACGTTGAATCCTGACGGCAGTAACACTCAGACAACATCAAAATGCCGGGACCAAGGGCTCTGGTAAGTATAGAAACAGAAAGTTTGTCGGGAGTTTTCAATTTCATTCCACACATGCCTAGGCATGCTGGGATTTAGAATTAGGATTGATTTGCCTTTTGTTATTTTGCTTGTGCTGATGTTTAGAGTTGTACTGTTTTCGATTTTTGCAGCTTGATGAGGATATGGTGGCCCGTTTCAGAGCGGAATTCTTTGAGCAGTACACTGACGGTTTGTATTACCTGAGAGATGTGTTTTCATACAATGACCCCGTCCATCATTTTTTTCCACTCTTGTGAGAACTTAACCCTCTGGACATCGAATTGAGCTGATGTGGCTCGATGGGTAAAATGTAGGACTACAGTTCCGGTGAACCGTGTTCAAGTCCCACACATGTGACCCATATTTGTGGCTCTGGAGGATTTGTTTTAAAAGGGCAGTATAGTGGACAATTGCATTAGGCGGTCCCTTGAATATGATGTCACAATGACCATGTCACTAGCGCAGAACGAGACAAATATTTTTCAGGGTAAACATATTTAAGTCCCAAAAACATTCTCCGCAGATGTCGAGTGGAAGTACTGGTACAAAATTTAAAAAAAATATATGGTTCATGGTTTATGATACACTGCCTTTCATTCAATATTAATAGCTTTTCAAGACATAGTTGTGAAAAAGATCTCTGTAACTATATAAAAAATAAACAGTCCTTTTTAACTATGAAAGTACCCAATTCATGGCATGTTAATATAAAATGAAATCAAGAGAAAAGATTTTAATCTAAGCGTTTACTTAAATCATCAGCCCCAGAAAGTCGTTTTTCTTATTTCTATCCAGGTGGGCACAATGAGGCGTACGATCCCCGAGACGTTGAGGTACTGCGGACCAGCGACAAGTATGTCCACAAATTCCTGATGATTGCCAAGATGGACTTCAAGCTGACAGGGGAGAAGATCAACACGGTTTTCAAGTGGAGGAAGCAGTTTGGATTGAACGGTGGGTTTGAAAACAAAAAGTAAAGGGACAAACCTGTGTTCACAGGAATGGAGTGCCCATCTCTCTTTCATTTAGCGATTGGGCCAGACTCATATGCTGCTGTGGGGAGATCACCACACCTCCTCCACAGCGAGTCTGTTACCTTCCCAGCATTGAATAATGCCGGTACCCATTTAACACCTGGGTTGAGAGGAGTAATTGAGGTAAAGCGCCTTACTCAAGGGCACCACACGCATGGCCACGGCGGGGCTTGAACCCACAACCTCACGATCATGAATCCTGTGCCCCACCGCTAGACCACATGTGCCCTTGAAAACCAAGGGAAATATCAGATAGATAGAACAGAAAGAAAGACTATTCTCTTGCAGTTATCAGAGTCGGGATTTCCTGGTGTTGAAAATGGTATTACAAGAGGAAAATCTGACAACCGTAGTTTCTACCAAATGCATCTTCAACAAAAGACTTGGAAAATGTCAGAGACAACATTGAAAAAAGATTACCATACACATGTACATCCAGCCTTTTCACACGTTATCAGAGATGGGATTTCCTGGTATTGATAATGGTATTTCATCAACTGTAGTTTCTAGTTCTACCTACAGGCATGCAACTTTTCCTTAGATCAGCTATTTCCTTGTTTAAAAACACATCGACTTATATTGCCATTAAAATTGAAAAAAACTCTGGATAAAGTCTTGTACAGCTTGGAATATACTCATTTGTTAATTCCTAGTTTCGTGCTTGTACTCGGTGGGACTTGAGGAAATAGTCTACATACATACATGTGCTCTCTGACTGTTTGTAACCCAAACAGACAAATCGAACACAGCTCTTTCTAAATTATCTCAAAGCTACAATGGGGAAAGCTATAAATAATTCTTATAAACAATTCAACGGGGTTTCAAACAGAGTTGGTTATTTTTACTTCCTATTTTGTCACACAACTACATGTTAAAGTATGGAACTTTTTAGCAACGTGGACATGCTGTTTTGTAATTTTCAAAGCTAATTTGGATGTGATATTGACTTGTGCATATTAATTGCTACAAATTCATGTTTTCATTGCCCATTTTGTTTTTGTTTCAGATATGACCTTTGATAGTTTTGATGAGGAGGTGCTAACCTCTGGTGGGTTTTATTCCCACAACAGGTGCAAGATTGGCAGAAGAATAGGTAACGACAACTAATATTTTTAATTTAAGAATTGATGACCAAATTGTGACCATAAGAACAACCAATCAGAGTCATGATCTGTTTTTACTTAAACACTAACCCCTTGTCATTTTTGCAAGGATCGTTCCTCCATAACGAATACAGGAAACAAATTACACATCCTTTGTACTTATAATTTTAATAATAAGTAATAATTTTGGGTATCGGTCTTCCTTAATCCTACAAAATCCCTCAGACATCTTGGTGAAATTGTGAAGGGTCTAGAAAATTTAGGGTTAAAGGATGAACAAAAAAAGGAGAGGGGGTACTTAAAGCATATCTACCTTACTTTTTGGTGAACAATCTTAACTCGTATTACTTTTTTTATTGGTAGTGTGGTTCAAAATTTGCAAGTACAAGAAGGACCCGTCCAGGACCAACATAGTGAAGCAGTTCATGGCCTTCTGGTTGAACAAGATGGAGAGTGAGGCGATGGGAGAAGACGTGGTCATCCTCATGGACATGACCAACGCTGGCTTGAGCAACCTGGTAGGTTCCACTCACGAGTGTTGTGAGACTCGAGTCCAGGACTCAGTCTTGAGTCCGTCTTGAGTCCCAATTTTGGTGACTCAGACATGACTCAAGTCGCATTGGCAAAATTAATATTCAGACTCAAACTCAACCATCATGACTCGGATTCGACTCAAATGATTTGTGACATGAACTTGGACTTGACCCAAGTGACACAAGACTCAGACTTGACCCAAGTGACACAAGACTCAGACTTGACCCAAGTGACACAAGACTCAGACTCGTACTCAACCCAAGTGACTCAAGACTCAGACTCAGACTCGGCCCAAGTGACTCGAGACTCAGACTCGGACTTGACCCAAGTTACTCAAGACTCAGACTCGGACTTGACCCAAATGACTCAAGACTCCGACTCGGACTTGACCCAAGTGACTCAAGACTCCGACTCGGATTTGACCCAAGTGAGTCGAGACTCGGACCCAGACTCGACTCAAGTGACTTGATTGCAACACTGCAGCTTTGAAAATTGTGACAAGAAATCGTATTTTAAAAGTGACTCTTAGAAGACTCTGTACATTTCCCAGCATATTCATAACCACTGTTCACCATGAGATGATTGTTCAATGTCAATTTTTATTTTCTGGTAACTGTTTTTTGGAAAATATCAAAAAAAATTCATTACAAAATTGCACTTCACTAAAAAAAATTGTTGCTGAAAAAAAATGTCACGGAAAAGTCTGGTACGTGTACATAAAAAAAAAAAGGTTAATGCGGTACCTGCTGCTGTGTACATCAGATTCACACCAGCGAACCGATCCCGTTAGTTCGGTGGTCGAGTGGTAAGTCATCTGCACTAGAAAGCAGGAGGTCGTGGGTTCGAGTCCCACCCAAGTGATTTTTTCCAACTTTCACTCAGGAGGTAACATACTGAGTATACAGTGTTTATACGTCAGTGAAGGGCAAAACCTAATTTGATAAAAAAAAATCATTGAAGTAATCCTTTTTTTTTTGACGATGTGCTTTTTTATCTTTTTTTTATGATAAAAGAAAAAAGTTTGTAACAGATAAACAAGGAACAAAATATTGTTTTTATGAGAAAGAGGAAGTTTGTAATTCTCATATTGAAGAGTAATATCATGATTTCTCTCCCTTTTCAGGACATGGATGTGGTTAAATTCATGATCACTTGCTTTGAGTTGTACTTCCCTGCGCTTGTTGGTGAGATCATATTCCTTTTACAATGCTAACACAACACCATTCATACTGTGTTTAATATTAAGGGTACTACCAAAAATACCTCCAGGGGACAAAAAACCAACAATATAGAAATGGCTCAGAATAAGTTTTTCCTGCTTCTTCTGTGAAAACCACATCAAACAATTTCCGTTGAAAGAGACTGTGCAACAAAAAAAAAGTTATTTACAAAAAAAATTCCCAACGATTCACCTGGAGCAAATCGACTTCAAATGCATTCATATCATGCAAACAGAAATTTGTAAAGAAATTTTTGTAGCATTAAATCTTATTTGAGGAGAAAATACCCTGCTATTGTCTTCAACTGATGTTTTGTTCCCTTCTTTGCAGGAATTATGCTGGTACACGATATGCATTGGGTTTTAAATGGTGAGTGTGCATTGTTTCAGTAATGCATCGTTTTGTTGAATTTGTTTTTATTTCACTTAACCTAACTTAACAGTGTTCAGGAACTAAAGAACAAAATAATATTTGAAAAGAAAAATACATTTTACAGTACAGAGCATCGTTTAGAAGGAAGTAAAAATAATAAAAGAAGGTCAATACAGCACAAGCATGAACTTCATGAGAACAATAAAAAGTTTGTGAATTAATTACATTTGTTTCCTTTTATGGTTATACTCCCCAGTGTATTGCATTTTTTGGTCTTTTATGTAAAGCTTTATTTAGATTTATACCAATGAATAAATACCGTAAATTTATACATTTATACTAACTGCATATATTTGACTCGCTATATACAATGTTTTAGAATTCACAAAATCTTAATCCTTCTATACAAACATACATTCTGTGTCAAGTTGTCCTTTCAGTCAAAATCAATCAAGTGACTGTTTTCAACAGTTAAGAGCTCCCAGTTTACATAAAGCAGGATTGACCGGCTGTGACTGTTTATGTAGCTTGCTACAGTTATGCTTTGACTGCAGGTGATTGATAAGCCAGCTGTGCCTACTTCCTGCCTGCTTTTGTCTGTTGACTGAATTTGACTAGTCAGAGTGTTTGCTAGAAGTATGATATGACTGTTATTGACTAGCCTGTGTAAAAGGCATGGCGGGGAAGAAGATTGATAATTTTTTTGAATTTTGACTGTCTGTGACTGTTCAAATAGCAGGAGGGGTAACGTCTGTAAATCTTTTATACAGCTATTTGGAAGATCATAGAGAAACTGCTATCCGCAGAGTCGAGGGAACACATCAAGTTTGTGAGAGGGCCAGGTATCCTGGAGCTCATTGCACCAGATCAGCTTCCACCGTATATGGGGGGCACGGTGAGTCATGACTGCTTATTTATTAGGGGTAAAGCAGTGTTTTCACCAGCTATCGTAGTCTGAAGGGAGTGAGCAAAATGGGACCAAGTAGTGGGTTAGAAATTGTTGTTTCTTCAAACCAGTTTTGGATGAAGTGCGGTATTCGGAATGGATGACGGATAAACACGCAATGAGCAAGGCCGGAAATATCTGTCAGTCACCCGCTCGCAGCGAGCGAGGCCGGAAATATCAGGGTGTGCTACCCCCAGATGACGGCCTGAACCCGTCTGGCATTGAGATTTGTGAAAACAATCCTGCGCCTGGGTCTGATGAAAGTCAAAATTATCCCGGCGCGAACTGGTTAATGATTTGATAAGGTAGATGTTTTTTGATGTAATGGAAGCTTTTGGGATATTTTGTGTAAGTAGGGATATTAGCATTGGGGACATTTTTTTGCATCAGGGAGATGAACATTCTTGATATGATGAGTGGAGACAAATATTAATTAATTGTCTTCAAATACAAAATTAAAAATGCTACTACATTTTCAAACTTGTTTCTCTTGTCATGGCTATCTTGAAGGTACAAAATAGTATAGAATTCCCAATTTTGGACGAATAGGCTGTCCGAAATCAGAAAAATAAGCATATTTCATTGAATGTTTCACGGACAAATGTTGAATACATATTTTATGAAAACAAAAAAGTGAGATTAGGTTAAGCCAATTGCTGGAAGGTCTTCATTGGTTGTTGTTTGTCCTTAAAATCTTGGATAATGTAAGAATGGCGCTCAATTTTTATGCTTTATTTAGCATTTTTGAGATGACATCTAGTTGATATGGACATTTATTTTTGATATTTAGATAAGTTTTAGATATGACTTTACACTGCAATTTGTTTTCTTTTCACAGGACGAATGGGAGTGGACATGGCCACTACCGGAGGAAGAAAAAGACGTCCTGTTGGAAATTGAAGACAGTGACGACCACCAACAACCCCCACAGGACGACAGCATGTTCTCCATCCCCAACGGTGACGTGTCACGGATGGAGGACGGGACCCCCGAACCTTCACCCCTCAACTCGCCCAGAGCCAAGAGGGTGCACTTTGCCCCGGGGACTGGGGGGCAACAACTGGGCGTCGCGGATGAGGGGGACGGGCTCACCAGTGAGAAGAAGCGAATGGTAGGCCACATTTTATTGGTGGAAAATTTAACGGTTTTTGTATTAAGGTTTCTCATTCTAAACATGTCCTGAGCACGTTGAAATTTAATTAAATAAATTTCATTCAAAGTTCATTTTTGTAGGAGTGGGATCTTCAGTTATTGCCATATCTTTTTATCAGTGTAAGTTCTTGTCATAAGTTGATATTTACGACTGTTTCACTAACATGACTACTACAAAAAAGTTAAGTTGCTACTTTCCTTGCCTACTAATCATTGAAAGTATATGTATGAAATACATACAAATGAATTAATAGAAACAGTGCAATTTAAATATAGGTGTCATTTAAAAAAAAGTTTACTATTGCCTTTCTTTTGACATGGCAACTTGACAAAGTTTTACCCAAGACTTCAACTTTCTGCTCATCTTGCGTTTTGTTTGTTTCATGTTTGTTCTTGTTGCAGCCAAGAAGAACGCCCAAGAAGCAGAAACTTAATATACACAAAGGAGCTCTCCTAACGATCAAGTGAGTTAAAACAGTTGATGAAGTTTTACAGAGACCAAATAAAGTCATGCTGCACACCATTAGTGTTGCAGAAAGTTCCTGGATCTGTTTTAGTTTTGGTAGAGTCAGTTACAAATCCAGTCACAAGTAAATTACAATTACTTCACAAGCCCGGGCCCAAGCAACAGGCAGTGAACAACGGAATAAAGGAAGGCCTTTGTCAAACTTTTATTGGAATAGCTTGTAACTTGACTGTTGTGCTTATAAATATAACACTTTATACCAATGTCTCAAAGAGCTTCGAAATTATTCCCCCCTGCTCATCAGGCAATTGTAGTAAAGTGTCTTGCCCAAGAACACAAACACTGTGTTCCTGTCAGGGTCCGAACCAATTTACCGTGCATATGAATCGGACCACACGGCTCCACACTAACTTAAGCCCAAACCAATGGATTTTGTAGCATTGAAACATTTCAAATCATTCCTTCCCTCACACGTAGGCCTGGCGATCAACTTGTATTTGAAGAGCCCTCACAGCCTACCGACAATGAACCCTCCCTAGTAATGAGTCTGACCAATACCACCGACCGTAAAGTAGCATACAAGGTAAGGGCCGATTAACACTCGGCATAAACGCAAAGGCAAATTGGTGACAAGTCCAGTTTTTGTGCTGTGTATTTGCGAAATTTGAATATACTTCAACCCTGGGCAATTTCACTGTGAATATTTTGCGATGTAAAATTAGCTTAGTATTTAGCTTAAGGCTGCCGTTAAGGAATTTATACAGGAAAATCTACGGATAACTTTGTTGCTGTAGCTATGATAGAACACAAAACTCACAAAAGAGTTTTAGTTTTACATTGTATCACTGCAACTTCCACTCATTACTTACCTCAATATGCAACCCTTTAAAGGCGTATAGGATTTATCTAAAAAGTAACCTACCAAATTTATTTTCAAAAAGCTGCCTTATATCAAAGATCGTTCTGGTACTAAACACCCCATTATATTATTCTGTCTGGCTTGCTGTCATTTAGAAAAAATCAAGAAATGTAGGCGATTTCCAAGGAACTGTCAGTTGACTGAGTTTTTGGAAATAAAGAGTTCTATTGACGAAATCGTGTTTCGTGATCAAAAGATTGTTCGGGATTTTTCACTGGTTTCTTGAAAGTGTAAAATCCTCTGAGCTGAAAGTTCAACAGGTTAGGTGTTGAACATTCTTCTTGCTTTGATGTCGAGTGGTGTTATTATTGGAAACGAACAAAATGCATGAACAGCAAATGATCCTGTACACATGTAAATCTCACCTTTAACGCTCCTCACTTGCAGATAAAAACCACAACTCCCGACAGGTACAAAGTCCGTCCTAGCGCAGGCCCAGTCAACCCCGGTGCGTCCATCAACGTGACCATCACGCTGCTCTCCGGAGACAAGGACTCCGTCTCCAGAGATAAATTCCTGGTGATATCCACGGAGCTGACGGAGGTCTTGCGAACGCCGGGCGAACTGACCGAGTTCTGGAAGAAGGTGGAACAGGATGATATCATCGAACACAGGTACAGTGTTGAGTGAGAGTGTCGCTTCGTGAATCTTCTTTGTTTTTTTTTAGGCTGATGGTAACTTGGGTCTCAGTGAATTATTCCTACAGCTAACATGCAGCGAATGTAAACTCACTGGATTTGGTCAGGTAGTCATTTGGCTCAAAATGGTACGTAGTGGAATTTATGGTGCATGGGCTCTGTGCGCAAGTACCCCCTCAACGGTAGGAAACGGAGAGTTGGGGGAGACGACTGGGGGAGACCTTACGACGCTTTGCCCACAGCGCCTGACGCTCACATGAAGATGTTATAGCTTGGTGCACATTCAAAAATAGTCCTGCGTACTTCGCATTATACGCACGTGAACCAGTACACGCATGCTGTGTGTCTCGTCCATGGGGATTGTGAAAGTCGTAAATAGTGCCCTCTCTAGTTTGCGCACAGAACCCATGTTGCCCATTGTTTTGATTCGTCTACTTTAGGGAATTAATTCTGTAGTCATATAGTTCAAACAAGTTATGCGTTTTGTTTGTTATGACATTGGATAATGAGCAAGATTGGATAATGAGCAAGATCTGTTTAAAGGGAATGTACATCATTGGCTTATGCTTTAATTTTCAGAAATGAACTATTTGAGGGGTTAGTATAATAGATCAAATTATTGTTACACTGACATGTTTGAAGTTTTGTTTTCGAAAATGCTGGAAAAACCAAGAAAAACAAAAATGTTCAAGTAGTCTGGTTCCCTGACTCCACTGAAGATGAAATGGATCTTTTTACAAATGTTGGAAAATTGTATCCTAAGGGAACCAGTCTAGCTGACCTGCACCCATTCATGAACATAAAACCAATTAGCAAACAAAATTGGACTGAAAAAATGGTAAATTTGGAGCAGTAGTGAAAAATAGTTAGGTTTTTCCTACGGTGGTCGGCTGACCACCGTTGGAAATGTAAACAAAAATATAATTTTCTTGAAAATGACTTCACACCAGGTGCCATAATTTTAGAGGATGCTTTAGACTGTCATTTACTTACATCCTGTAAGGTATTTTGTAAAAACTTGGTCATTTTATTTTTCGATGTTTGCAAATGTTGTATTTTCCCTTTAAGCAACAAGTATTAAACTTAACATGTACTAAACCAACTGGCGTTCACCACCACACAAATTCTAGTTGTATTTTTCGAACTTGTATTGTCAAGCGTATGGATAGCAGATATCGCCGTCCCAATGACTGATCTTCATATTTGTGATCCAGGGTTCGATGTGTGTTCCAGGCTTCAAAGAAACCAGAGATGGACATAGCTGAGCTCAAGAGAGACATGTCAACGTTAAAGAGCAAGGTAAAGAAGTGTGAAAAAGTCTTTGTAATAGACCTAAGACGTAACGACGCTACGCATTGCTTACATGTGCGCTTTCCTATGAGAGCCAAGCGTGACGTCACTACGGCTCAGGACTATTCATCAACTGTGATGATACAATACAGACTTTTGGAACTCAATCTCACAAGTTTTGGAAAGGTAGTCAGGGTCTCCCAGGGTGAGAGACAAAACTTTAAAACGGTGGTTGTGTTTAAAAGTCCGTAACTTGAAAAGTACATGAGTGATTCGAATGATTTTTGTACTAAAAGAAAGCTTATGAATTGGGCTTTCATATCCTAGATTTTGAAAGTGCTACATGCAGAACTTCACTAAAATAATAGCCCCGACATTTGGGTTTCGTGTTTTTTGACTCGCCCCGTATTTGCAGAAAGTTACAGATCATTGCATATTAGACCTGTTCTAATTTCCCCATTTCTTTCGCGCCGAAGTCAATTAATTTGACTTTGTTTAATTGGCTCGGCAATAGCACGGCATTTATAACCATTTGGCTTAGCAAATTGAGTTTGGCACGGCACCATTCCTTGACTCGACAGGGTCTGCCCTGCTATTGTTCCAAACGGAAGTGGCACGACACTATTCTTAACGCTGTGCCAATGCCGTGCCAAAGTTCATGCAGTTCAAAGTTGGGGCAAACATTTTAGGAATGCACATTCTCAGAATAACCTCTCTCACGTCTGCATGACGGAGCGTGAATGTGGTACAAATACTCAATAGTGCGGAAAGTGCATTTATCCAAACAGGATCATGCATATATCCAAAAAGTAACCTACCAAATTATTATCAAAAAGCTTACTTGGATCAAAGATCGTATTGGTACTAAACACCCCATGAAATTATTCCGTCTGACTTGGCTGTCATATTTTAAAGAAGAAATCAAGAAATGTAGGTGATTTCCAACGAATGAATTTCCTCAGAATAACCTCTCACGTCTGTATGACGGGGCGTGAATGCGGCACGAGTAATCAATAGTGCAGGAGTGCATTGAGCTGCTTGAAAAATTCTTCAACAATAGCAGGCTACTCTGCAAAATTTGCAGCAGAGACCACTGACCATATTTAACCCTAACCCCTAGTAGTTCCTCAGGCCTACCCTGCTAAATCCAACAGAGTCCAACCGGAAATTCTTGCTCAATCCACTGTGCCTTATTTTCAGTTGTCTGCTGAATCCAACGGAGTCCAATGTGGCGTGACAATGCGGTTCAGTTGCCTGCTGAATCCAACATTTTGCATGAGGAATGTACACAAGGGGTTTACTGCTCAATCCAACAGGCTCCATCGGGTATATGATATAGTTGGATCCTATTGGATTCAGCAGGTTAAACATTCAACAGTGTGGACTGATTTTTTTTCCTCTGCAGGTTGACAGCTTGACGCAGCAAGTCGCCACGATCACAGACAACACAACCAAACTGCTACGACTGGTGCTAATCCAACTTGTGCTCCTACTGTGCCTTGCCATGTATTACTTTCTCTTCAGCCCTAGCGGCAGTGTTGAGCAGCCGGCGATGTCCGGCGCTGAGGACCAAGGAGATTACTGCCCAGCGGTGAGAGACTGAGATTGTTGCCTACTTACTGGAATTTTTCTTCTGTAATTGGACATTTGCTAGAACAGCAGTGGATCAAATTTCTGCATTGATTTGGGTGAATCTACGAAAGTTTTGAATAGATGAAATAATTTGAGGCTGAACTAACTGGGCCCAATTTCATAGCACTGGTTAACAGTTGGAATAAAAGTTGTGCTTACTATGGCAGAAAATCATGATGTTGCTTAAGCACTATTTCATGGCGTGGATGTGCTAACGGTTGAGCGCGCACGCAGATTTCTGATTTAAAGGGAAATTACAACATTTGCAAACATAAAAAAACGAAATGATCAAATTATCACGAAATACCTTACTGAATTGTTAGGGACTGACAGTCTAAAGCATCCTTTGAAATCGTGGCTCCTGGTGTGCTGACATTTTCAAGAAAACCTGTATTTTTCCAACGCTGGTCGGCCGACCAGCGTTGGAGAAAACTGGCTTTTTTTCAAAATTGTTCTTAATTTTTCATATTTAGTTATTCTGACTTTTTTTGCAATTGATTTACACACCTCTGAAGGGTACAAGCCTGCTAGACTGATTCTCTGACCTTACAATTCCCCAAAGTGTATTAATTGCTCCGTTTCATCTTAAGTGGGGTCAGGGAACCAGACTACAATAACATGATAGGTTTTCTTGGTTTTTCCAGCATCTACAAGCCCAAAACGTGAAACAAGTCAGTTTACCAATATTTTCTATAACATATTAATCCTCCAAATCCATTTATTTCTGAAAATTGAAGCAAAAGCAAATGTTGTACATTCCCTTTAAGCAACTTTTTCCTCTGTGGTTAAGCGTGCTTTTGCTGTGCTTACTGCTTAATGGTCTATATGAAATAGATGGAGGCTCAGCCAGCACAAAATCGGCTGTTAAGCAGCGCTATGAATTTGGCTGCTGGCTATGCAGAATGTCAAATTTTAAATGTTTGGAATGTTTAGCCATGTCCAAATTTACTGTTTGCGGCTGTGGCTTTGACCATTACTCACTACAGTGTATATCCCCAGCCACAGACTTAATACCCATTTTGGACATATTGTACTTAGAATATTGGTTGTTCTATTCGGGTCATTCTATTAATTTGGGTCCACTGTTTTTTTCACGTCCCTGTTACATCTGACATCTACGATTTTATAATTCTGATACACTCCTTAATGCAGTTGTACCCCAAGAGTTATTACGAACTTAGCAAACTACCTACCCAACAAATAAAAATTGTTTGAAGTTACCAAGGTTACAGGAAGTGGACAGGGAAAAAATGTGACACTTCGGAACCTACGTTTTGTGCGATGGCCCATTTGGAAACCCTCGCCCAATTAGGAACAGCCCGCAAAACCTTGCTTTCCCAATTGGGAACTTTTGCCAATGGGCAAACTAATAAATCTTATACATGACATTGAAAAAAAAAAAAAAAAAAAAAAATTGTGAACAGTATTATCATTTCAAAGATCTGTTGATCCTTCCAAAAATGGGCCAGACTTTTGTGCAAACCGTTTTATAATACAGAAAATTCAATGTATTATGCAATTGTTTATACTGTGCATGAAATAAGCATTTTGTACTCAAATCTGTTTTTTTTTTTTTTTAACGGAACTTAGTGAGAATATTTATTTGCAGTTTGATGAACGGATGTACAGTGCTAATATGTGTGTTTATTGCCTCAAAATTTGTCTGCATTTTAATGCTCAGATTGGCAAAGGTGTTTACATTGATTGAATTTACTTGTTTTTGATCAGGCAGAGAAAAAGAATTGTGTGTTTGCAGTAACGACCTTAATATTTTAGCCACAAAAATATCCAGGTACGTCAGGTTACCGTAAACACCATTTTATTTTTTCATTCAGCCTTAGTTGATGTGTATTGCCTGTTCATTGTTATGAGGTTTTATTATCATTCATTTGTTTTGTTGAAAGTTTAACGTTAATTTGCAACTTTAAGTAGGAATTTGTGGCAAATGGAGTAATATTTGAAACTTGCCTTTGAAAATGTAATTTGGGTCAAGGATAACTATGACTTTGAGGAAGTATTGAACAGCCATATACTGCATTTAAATTTTGTTTACAGTTACGTTGTTCTTTTTTCCAGACCTAGGCTTAAATTTTGACAGACCTAGGCTAGGGATTTTTGTGAAAATACCAACTCTGCCAAAGCAGTGAACTGAGCAAGTTCGGGTGAGGACCATTAGTCAACTAGTGGTTGATTCACATGCGCACTCATAGCCCCATAAATGTGGCCAAGTTACTGGACTACCTCCGTAAATAAAGGCCGGACTTGGAACATGTACCCGAAAATGTAGTCCAGTAAATTGGCCACATTTATGGGGCTAGCGCACTCATAGCAACATGCATGTGCCTCTTGTCAAACGATAGGCCAAACGTCATCTAGAAACGTTTTGGTCCCGACTCCCCATTGTGCTTTATAATGCGCACAGCTATTGGTAACCAGCGATGCAACCATGCCCGTGGTCCAGTTCCACAGTCATAGTTGACTATAGTAGTCCAACCATTCTTCATTCGAGTGAAGTTAGTCAAACTATGGTTAACTATATGGCCCTCGCCCGACTTTGCTCCTTGTTGAAACCCCATCCCATTCCCCCCCCCTGCCAAAAAAAAGGCTCAAAATGCTTCAAAATTAAAAAACAATATTTCAGTGTAGCGATGGCAATGTATATAAAAAAAATTGTACTTTGTAATTAAAGTTTTGAGCTTGCAAAGAAAGAACCTTGAAACTTACCTGCAAACATCTCTTTGCAAAGTCCTCTTGCAGCATGTGTCCCAACCTAGCAACAGTGCTTGAATAGCGCCCTCGTGCAGCAACTGCACATTATGTGCATTGTGCAAAGAATAAATATTGTTTTAAGTTTCATTACCCTTGATGATTTGAAGGTTTCTTTTAGTATGAAATGTACTGTATGCATCCTGAATAATTCCTAGCTTTTTAATTGCCTGAAAAGTTATATAACATACAGTTGATGCATACATGTGTATTTGTATTGAGATGCTTTGTTGAAAACATATTGAGTTAAGTTTTGCCAATCTCAATTTTCATAATTTTTTGTATTATTTCTAAAAAGAAAAGGAAAAAAAAATAATTGAAAAAAAATTGTATGTGTAGATTAAATCCTTCAATGGGAAGTGTAGATATCAGTCTGTATATATTGCTGTATAAATTTCACAATTTAGATTATTTTTGTACATGTATTAAATATTGATTGGAATGTAAGTTTCAGTTGATGTGTGTTCATGTATATTCCAGAAAATACACCTTGCCCGATTTAAAAAGAAAAATGCACTTAATGTACAAACAGGACATGCAAAATGTAAACATATGCTTATGCCACAATTAAAGAAAAACATTTGAGATAAAATGTCTGTGAAAATGGTTCTTTATATGTTGTGAAACTTAATACGATGATTTCCAAGACCTCCAGATTAAGATTTTGACATGCTCTAAAAAGAAATTTCTAAAACATTTTGCCCATGTAAAGAACTTTTCAGTATCCCACATCAAACGGAGTGCTGTGGCCTTGTGCTTGAGGGCATTGGATCCGTGGTCTGCAGGTAAAGCTGCAGGTTGTGGGTTCGAGTCCAGCCTGGGGTCATGGTGCGTGTGCCCTTGGGCAAGGCACTTTGTCACTCATTGCTTCTCTCCACCCAGGAGTAAATGGGTACCTTTGAGGGCAGAGATGGTTATTGTGATTGAATTAGCTTCCTTGTGCCTAACAGGCTGCATCGAGCTGTATACTCCCCAGGGAGCTGAGATGGTATTTGGAATGTTTAATTGGCCTAATGATCAGGGGTAATAAAAATATCAGAGCCGGTTATTATTATTATTATTAAACAAACCAGAAATTCAGTAGGCACACACTCTGCTGGGTTAAATACAAATTTAGGTCATTTGTTTTTAATGTCTTATTATTAATTCCAAACAAATATATTGCTAAACATCGTTATCTCCAATTGTAATAATGCACAAAACATCAACATCATGAGTTTTTAAAACTACAGAATATATGATTGTTTTCTTTTTTTCGCATGAAAGCGGTTTCTGAATCTGAAAGACCCATCAAAACTTTTTGACAATTTCCAGCACTGCCAACACAAAAAATGGCGGAATCTCGGTATTACAATCAACTATATCTGGTTTACTATTCAAATTATGCAATATTCAACATCCAACAAGTCAATGCAGCAAAAAGTATATGTACATCCATGGATATGGTCGTTTGAAGTGGCCGTAAGTTCTTCAAGAACTTCGTTTTTCATTAGTTACCTGAAATGGCGTAATCTCGGAACAGACTCTTTCAATGCCTTCACTAGACCGATCTATTAACCCTTACGATCCCCATCCAGTCAAACTCCAACACCAGGGTTTGTTGGAATCTGTTGGAGTGAGTACTGCACTAGTAAACTGATTATGCTTTACATGGGGTTAGGCACACCACAAATAAACAGAGTCCAACTGTTTATGTGTACAGTTCACCATATGGTGTTGGAATTTGCAAGGATGAGGAAGGTTCCTAGTAAATCAGCCTAGGGGTTTGGGTTAAGCCCCGCCCTTGACCAATCACAGCCGCGATTTATGTCTAACATGCGTGCATGCGCGTATGATGCGAGCTGCTGCAACATTCAGTGTGACACAGGAAAGGTGCACGTGCTGCTTCCCCCACCATGGTCAGGACCTGGTAAATCGGTCTATTATTGGCCAAACATGGAACCTGCAGGAACTCGAAAAAAATGTGCTAAACTTGCAACTTGTACTGGAAAAAATAACTCTCTTCAAGTTTTAAACTGCTAATGCTGGAAACAGCAGAAGGATTTCATCACTTCCAATTGACAAAACTGATAATTCATAAAATCTTGTGTAATCACTGTCATCTTGAAGAAAATGTTTTGTGTGTTTTGTCTTGTATTGTCTTTTACATCTATATTCTCCACTCAAGTTCCATCAACATCTTTACCTTTTCCTCACTTTGTTTAAGTTGTCAAACATATGCCAATCTCTCAAAGTCAAACATTTATACAAAATAAAACTGTAAGAATAGAAAGAGACTTCAGTTTTCTTCTGCGTAAAAGCATTGTTTAGAAAGGAAAATGTGCCCTGAAACAAACTGGATATTTCAATGAAATAACCAAAGTAAGGTCTCCAGAATTCTATTCTGATTAAAAGGATGATTTGCATACAATGCGCATTGTAACATTTAAGTTCATGAAATGTTTGACAATGCATTTGGTTTTTTTTCTCTCAAAATTTTCTTATATTTTAACAATCAGTATAAAACATCACTTCATTATTGATATACATATTTTGTTTTTCTTGAAAATGTAAACATAGATTCCGCTTACAGACAATCATTTCCACGTCCATAAACGTCTTCAAATAGTATTAGTACTAAAAATCATTCAGAATGTCGTTTCAAAATAAATAATGGGCAAAGTAGGAAACTTACAAAATAAAACGTTTCACAACGAGGTGATAAAATCATACAACTCACACAATACTGATATAACCGAACCCAAACTTTGACCATTAAAATTTGAGCTTGAACTTTGACCTGTGCCAATGACCAGCCAATCCCATGATTGAAAAACATAAAACAAAGCCACTAGATCGCAAAGACGTCGCTCTAAGCTACTTTGTAGCTCACCCTTTTAAAACATATTTGGACATGATTTTTCTGTCGTATAATTATAGCATCTGTGATGAAAGGTGGGATATATGGGGCAAGACATGCATATATGTAAAAATACATAACGGTGAGGACCATTTCAAGAATTCTTCTGGACACAACTGTATTTTAATGGACTCAATGCATGAAGTAGAGGGCGCTTTTCAGCCACTTTTGAGAGCCCTGTGGGAGGGGCACTAGTTTGTACTTGTATTACATGCACCCCGAGGACAGACACACAAGGGAGAACAACAGATTCTTTGATGTCCTCTAGAGTTCATCTTTTGTTGAAGGCGGTCCTCGATCGTGAGTTTGTGTGCTTAGTCTATGGGAGAGTGTTATATTATAAAGACAAAGGGAAAGACAATGCCTTGTTCTCGAGAGTTATGTAATCCACAACGACATGCGTCTGAATGTGCAAAAACTTGTAGCCCCTTTATGTGAGCGTCAAGCGCATCAGCAGGAATTCAACTCTCCCTCGGTAACCAATTGAGTGAGTTCTTGAGCATGGAGTCTATAACCTTAAATCTGGCCGCCTATTTTTAAATCAAGAAACTTTATTATTCCCAAATTATCCCGCCCAACATTATTTTTTTTACCAAAGACTGGCTCTACAAGGGTCCTTTTTCTAAAGCTTCAAAGTACAACTTAAACAGAGGAAATTACTTGCCAAGCAAAAAAAAAATTAAAAATAACCTAAAACCCAGATTACTAGCCAAATATAGTGTGAAATTGCTTATGATCAGTTCCCTGTTATATAATTTTTTGCTCAGCACGTAAACTTACTAAGCAACATCGCTTCATTAGACGCCCCATGGATGAAGGCCCATACCTTTTTGTCACACTGCGGCCATTTTGGGTCCGGTTCCCAATGGCAAGACAATACTAAACACTCAGTCAATAGTTACTCACCAGCCTACATATTTTTTCAACACTCACTTCACAGCCTTGTACATTAATATTGATGATGCCAAAAGAAGTTGCAGAGATGTTGCAAAATCAAATCTGAAAACTTGAAACCAGACCCCCAAATTGTCCAAACATACCGTCTACCGAGATTCTATTTTGATGCTCAACTATTTAGAATTTTTAAAACATTTCACACAAAAGCCACAAAGGACGTTAATTTCAGCTAAAAATAGTACTATTTCACTTCTGAAAAAAAAAGCAACACTCTTATCCACAATTTAAAAACAAAGGAACAGAATGAAAAGTTTAAAAGCAAAGTTGATAAAAAAAAAACCCAAGCTGTTTTTTGAACCATTTGTATCCCAAACAAAAGTTGAAATGAGCTCTATATATGCTGTGGCAAATTATCTTTACCTCCCAGGCAGTCTTATCAGAATGCAGCCATCTTGGCATAGTTCCCTATGACCACACCCATCAAATGCATACACTGTCATGTATGCACCAGACTATTTTAGACACAAGCCTACTTCTGGACCCCATCTCAAAAACTGGCCAGGATGGGTTCTACATGTTAAAACCACTATTGTAATTTCGCAGAATGTTGGCAGTTCATTTCCTTATTTTGTTCAGCACTTGAGGTGTACAGCTAAAGTTTTGAATTCGATGACAAATACACATTTTTCTGTGGAAGAGCCCACAGATTTCGTTAACAATTATCAGTGGGTACAAACAGGGCCCAATAGACCTTTTCCATTCTGCAACCATATTTGAGGGATCTGTTGCCTTTCAAATTCAGCAACAATGTATCTCTGTGGAAAAGCGCACACAACCCAAAGATGGCAGCCATGCAAATGATCTATTGGGCAATTCCACGGTTACTCACGTTACATTTTTGATGTACTTTTGAGTTTCCTTGGGCTGTAATTACCTTACTGAAAAGGTTATAATAAGGGAATAAATGTGTGCTCCGGAGGTTTTTATCACTCGTTTAATACCGCTTAGAGTCTGGGTGCTGATAATTACCCGAGCTGGAGGCGAGGGTAATTATCAGCACCCAGACTCTAAGCGGTATTAAACAGAGTGATAAATACCGACCGAGCACATATTTATTCCCATTCATAAATACCTTATCCGTAAAAAAATGTCAAATAGTTCGTTCAAAAAATCCCGATTTTGTTCAACAAGTTCACTTCATGCTTTTTGAAACATCCCTCTAGCAAAATAATGGAGTGTTCAGCTGGCGAGTAAGATGTAAACAACCCTTTTATGGAGATTGACGCGCGCGTAACATGTTCTGCGCGATGTCACGCAGAACGCACCTGGGGCGTTGCGTTTTGAATTTAGAACTATAAAATTCTGACTCGCTTGTAGTGTTGCGCATGCCTACGTGAGGATTGTGAACGTTCAACCAATGACATGGTAAGAGGCACTGGATTTTTAGGAGTCCACATTTTATTGTGACACTGGAAAAGTGTTTAAGACCAGCTAGCCATGTCTTTATCATCCGTTTAAGACCGGCCACGTGATGGGCTCTCGACCAATAGGAATAGCTCAACTGTCTGAGGTATTTATGAATAACCGTTATCCCCATGGTAGATAGAGTAGTCCTAGACCTACCTAAGCACCAAAGATGACATCCAGAAAAATGTGTTATGTATGATAAACAAGACGCACAAAATCGGTTACTCACATTACATTTTCGTAACGTGAGTAACCGATTTTGTGCATCTTGTTTATGAAACATAACACATTTTTCTAAATGTCATCTTTGGTGCGTAGGTAGGTCTAGGTCTACTCTATCTACCATGGGGATAACAGTTATTAAACCTTTTCATTAAAGGGAGTATACATCATTTGCTTTTGCTGTAATTTTCAGAAATGGATGGAATTGGGGGGTTGGAAATATATAGCAAATATAGTTACACTGACTTTTTGGAGGTTTTGGGTTCGAAAATGCTATAAAAAGCAAGAAAAACGATCATTTTCCTGTAGTCTGGTTCCCTGACTCCATATAAGAAGAAACAGAGCAGTTTACATACATTGGGGAATTGTAAGGTCAGGGAACCAGCCTAGCTGGCCCGTACCCGTTCATAGGTTTGTAATCGATTGCAAACAGGTGCAATGGTCAATTGGGGCCAGTATTTGAAAAAAAGCCAGTTGTTTCCAACGCTGATCGGCCGATCAGCGTTGGAAATTGATACAAAAATACCACTTTTCTTGAAAATGACAGTATACCAGGTGCCATAATTTTACAGGATGCTTTAGACTGTCATTTACCAACATCCTATTAAGGTATTTCGCAAAAACTTGGTAGTTTTATTTTTCGATGTTTGCAAATGTTGTATATTCCCTTTAAGGTAATTACAGCCCAAGGAAACTCAAAAGTACATCAAAAATGTAACGAAGTAACCATGGAATTGCCCTATTGTAATAGTTTGAGCATCACATGACATAAAACAAAGATGGCCTCCTTGACAACCGGCAAAGTGCTGCCTGTTATATAAACCACTTCATTTTGATAGTAAAACTTTTCCCAGAAATCCCTACCCATGCTCCGCTCAAGTGATTCGACTCACAAAACATGCCATCACCTCAATAACATGCTCTGGCTCAAGTTAAAAAAAACAAACCAGACGACTCACACAAACTGTCCAGATATACATGTAATTCACACCAAAGTAAGACAGCTGGGCCCAATTTCTTGGCCTACTTACCGTAAGCGAAAAATCCTTGCTTACTGCAGCAGAAACTTCCGTGCTAACGGTAAGCTTATTTCACCGGCTAGCGAGAAATTTTGGCTTCTGCGCATGCGTACATCCAGTAACTAAGGATTCTGTGCTTGAAGGGTTAGCACATAAGTTTTCTGCTAGCGCGGTTAGCACAAAATTGTGATCGTAAGCGCGGAATTCTGTGGTTAGCAGAGCCAAGAATTTGGGCCCTGTTGTATACTGCAATTTGCACATTTCCATTTAAATAAAAAGAAGAGAGAAACAAAACAAAAAAAACCAGAAAAGAAAAATTTGGAAGTCTTCCTGATAAAGTTTACCCGAAAACTCTCTTTGGCTGTTTTTTGGCTTGACATATAAATAGTGATTGCACTCATCGTATGATAACTAAATGATTCTGATTTTTTTAATAGAATATATATACATCTAAATATGAATGCCCTTTGATCGGAACGATGAACAGAGTCCTTGCATTGCAAAAGCCCATGCCCTGATCAAACACGGGGAAATGCAAATGCAACAGCGCCCTCAGGAGGGCACAAAGAGAGAACTGGAGCCAAATTTCATCGACCACTCTTTGTTGATGTTTTGAATTAAGAAAAGGAATGAAATTTCTGCAGATAAATATTGTATGCATACTTATGTAAAAGATAATGCCATTGAACAAGTACTTGTTAAAAAAAACTGTTTGGATGACATTTTTTAAGCTGGGTTGAAAAAAAAAATTCTAGTTGCTCCTTGGAGTAGAATCCTAAGACAAACCTTGCAGTGTAGACCAGATATTTGCATAATACTGCTTGAATACAGCCCAAAATATAATCACAGATCAAAGATTACATTTGATAGCACAACTGTCTTCCTTTTTAAAATAACCTTTTTTCAGTTTTAGATTTCTGTTCGAGACTGCACTGCCGTTTTTGTTATTTTGGGGATCGTCTTTTCTTAATTTCTGAAGAAGTTCCACACATAAATTAATGAACTCTGGCTCAAGTTCAAGTCATCATACCTCCATCACTGACATACAATACTCGTCAAAATGACAACGGACAGAATTAAATCTTGTCCAAACTATATCCTAACTCTTTCAATAAAAAACTGTCAGAACGCAGTAACGACGATAAAACGTACCAAGTTTTGAAGCAGAACAAAATTTGTCTGCAACACTCAATAATTTCATAAAAGGTCAACAGCAATGCACCAGTGATGCTCGGAACTTGGAAGTGTTTACGATTTAATAAAGACAGTCGGTTTCATAAAGTCAGGCCTCCTTTATGAACGGCCGTTCTTCGGTCGGTGTTGCTCGGTCCCGGATCGCCGACGTTGACCGTGAAAACATTGTCTTTTTTGTCGCAGTTCAGTCCGAGTGAAGGAGCAGATTGTCTCCAGAAAGGGTTAGCGGATCCTCTGCCGCTGTTCTTGGGCGGTTTTTCCAGCTCCTCGCTGTCCGATACCGTCCGCTTTTTACGCTGCTCTTCTAGGGAAAGCATGATGAATTCGTCAAAGCTCTGGTCCAGCGTCCGCTGTTGCGGTGACTCCTGTTGGGTGAGTTCCAGCCCCGCGTCTGTGAACCGATTCGGCTGCGACACACTGCGCATCATGGGCTTCTCGTCCACGGTCCTTGGGGGCGGAGGAGTGCGATCGCGCGTCAGCAAGTCACTGGACTGCGACTGCCGCACCAAAGGTCTGCGATAACGCGGCTGATCCGTGGAGCCTGGAGTTGATAACACCTCGTCCGAGTTGGTCGTCGTGCTCATGACGTCAGTTTCCGGGACACTTTGGAGTTCGCGCAGCATCGGCGTGAAGCTGGAGTACCCGGCCAGCAGCGACAAGTCGTGGGTCTGCTGCTCCCCGCGAAAGGGACTCTTTGGAAACCGCACATTTCCAGGTTTCGGCAGAGCCGGCTCGAGGGGAGGTGGGACCTCCAACGGCAGAGACTGCTGCTTCCTGTGAGCCAACTCAACCTCCAGATTCTCAAACATCCTTTCCACATCCTCTACAACTTGAGCTTTCAGGTCTGGACTGATGATGTTTGGTTCCGGTTGATACAACCGCTGACTGGGTTTTGCATCCATGTGCCCGTTTTCTTTCTTCGGGCTAGTGAGTTGAACCTTGGCAGTTTTGACAGGGCTCCTCCTGTGCTCCGCGTCACTCTTGTGCTTCCCTCGATCCTTCTCGTTAGTCACATTTTTTTCCAACAAGGGTTGGTTTTCTGTAGGTTCTGATTCACCACTTTCCTCGCTTAGACTCCTCTGCCTTTTGGCTTTCTGTTCACTAGGTAAGGAAATCCCGACATGTTTTACACCAGCAGTCCTTTCTGAGACCAACCCATCCACCAGGTGGATCCCGTTGGTCTTTGGCCGATTAGCGTCTTCCGATTTCAAAGAATGGTTTCGTCTGAGACCCACTCCCGAGGACACTGCTGGTATGGTCTCCTCAGCGGGTGTCAAACCGACGTCCTGAAGCGGGATAACGTTGGACATCTCGTACTGTTCTGGCAGCTCGTCGTATTCACAATCAGACACCACTCCCATGAACTGGGTGATGCCTTCGCGATCCACGTCGCCTCCTTTCTCGTCCATGGCACGCAGGAGGCTCGCGTGATCTGTCCGCGGAACGTGCTTCGGCGAAGAACTCTCCTCCTCTGCTTCGCTGGTCCCTGACTGATCAATAAACTGCGACGATTCACTCACAGACGTCCCCAGCGACAGCCGCGAGTTGTGCAACGAAGACCGCTGGGAGGAATGCTGGGAGCTCTTCCGCAGCTCCTCGAAACTGAGGTTCAGGTAATCGTTCTGGGAGTGCGGCGAAATCGCCCCGGGGCTGTTATTCGTGCCAGCACCCGCATTTAACCCATTTGCCCCGCTGTCCACTTGGCTCGTCTCCATCTGCAAGACGTCGCTGCTTGACATGCTCGGCGAGTGGGTGCAGCTCAGCGCTTGACCCCTCATCGTCATGACCAGCGACCGGAACAACTGCCAGTCGCCAAAGTTCATTCCGAGCACCTCTTTGAGTTCGTCCAAGTCGCACTGGAGCAAGACGTGCCCGTTGACGTTGTGCTCGGCTATCCGAGTCTGGTAGCGGGGGATCGAATGCTTGTCGATGCCTTCCAGTTGCAGCAGACGATCACAGACATCCTTGACTGTAAGAAAACCCGGACTAGGGGTTCCACTAATTGCTGGACTAGGGATCTGTCACAGATAAAAAAAAAATACATCAAATGTTAACATTTGTAACTTAACGCCTCATACCAAAACTTGGTGAAAAAGCAATTGTCAAAAGTAGGGCACAATGTCATGGAGCTATTCAGTAAATTTATAAGCAGAGAACTATTCAATTTAAATATAGTTTACATGGTATTTTAGCTGGTAGCCTATTTTTGCTTAGCAAAACTTTTGTTCCTGTGCTCAGCACAACTCTCAGCTTGGCAGCGTCGTGACATTGGCCCCACTTGACATTAAGCTGGGATTTCTTTTGCCTCATTTTTTCGTGTCATAAAATGCAGTCTTCCAAAACGGGAGATGGAATGTTAAGATTAACGGGTATATGTTGTTATATTTTTTGTCAACAGCAGTGACATTGGCCCCACTTGACATTTAGCTTGGATTTCTTTTCCTTCATTTGTTCGTGTCATAAAATGCAGTCTTTCAAAACGGGAGATGAAATGTTAAGATTAACGGGTATATGTTGTTATATTTTTTGTCAACAGCAGTCAGGGCAGGTTGGGGAATAGGGCTAATATTAATCGGTTGTTTCATTATTTATCACAAAGAATGTGAAAAAATTTAAAGCGTCAGTATTGGGAAACTTTATCACTAAGGTCATAGAGAGGAATATAATTCAATTATAAACAGAAAAATTGTAATTAAACAACATCAAAGTTCACAATGTATATCGTCTCAATCAGGAAATGACAACTGAAAAAAATTGAACTCAATCATTTCGTGGAGAAAAATATTGCTTCTTAGAAAATAAAGAAGATCCTTAAGTAGGAAAGATGATGTTTTATTTCAACTTTTTAAACTTAAAAGTACATGTAATGGCAAAAATATGGTCCATTTATGCTTGTGGTGGGACTTAAATCCGGATCTCCCACTATTCGGTTTTGACTTTGGAAATGGGATATTCGAAACCAACCTTAAAAACATTAAGCCTTTCATATTTTGTGTAACACAGGCTAAAGAAAAACAACTGTAACTTCCCCCAATTTGCTCCATGGTCTCTGATTGTAACTGCATTCACTGGCTAGTGGTTTTCTTGGTATATTAATATAGCCTGCCCATTTGACTTATCAGAGAGTTCCCACCTATTTTGTTTTTCAACATTACGGCTCTGAAGTTTTTGTTGTAAAGGCCCAGTGGTCATTGAATCCTGCAAACTATACCCAATCATTGGGAGGGCATTGCATGCAGCACACCACTCGTCACATTTTGTTGGCATGACTGTGAGCTGAATGGGAGCTTCCTGTGAAATCTGATAACCGTTTCTTCGGTTTGAAAAAAAATTAGGATAACCGGAGTTTGAAATCTCTGATTTCTTCCACCACTAATTGGTACCAATACTTGACTTATCCAGTTAAATTTTCCTGTGATTAATACAGTAAGCTGTACGGATCTCTACGTTTGGTTAAAACAAGAAGAAGAAATGTTCTTAATATGGCCAAAAACAACACACAGGGATAAACTAAAATTAGATGGGTAGAAGAGGTTTGGAAACCCAAACTCTGATCAGCGGAAATCACAGAGACTGTAAGATAGAATTCACCAGCTCACGATCTGAAGAAGGGTCGAAGAAGTCACACAGTTAAAAAAAAAACTGGAAAGTTTTGGAAGTAGGATTAATGGGCTGGTCTCCACATCAACGGATTGGTTTAATCATTGGGTATGTGGGGAACCATGGAAGGGCTACGGTACCAAAGTGTAGGGGGGAAAAGTAGGGCGGGGGACCAGTCAAAGGCGGGGGACCAGTCAAAGATACAACATTCTAAGAGGTGGCATATTACCTTCACTACTGGTATTACAACAATTTCAGGCTGGATACGAAAATGTGATGAAACGAAACAAAACAGGTAATTCAGTTGTGAAAAAATGCTCAACAGGAAAAAATAAGGTCAAGCTTTGACACTTGCAAAACATTAAAAAATGAACTTTTTGAAAAATCTCATTTCGGGCGGCCATGTTGGGCTATTCTATAACATGAACAGGGAAGTGTAAAAAAGAAAAGAACAGAAATACAAAGTGAGAACCAGACAGTTTCCCCAAGACCAATAAAACGATGATTTGTGAAAGAAAATTTCATTTGCTAAATCTAAGAATGTCTGTGCATGTCATGCAGGGCAGCTCTATTTTGGGGTACGAAAAGTACTTGGGACCCTTCCTCCCTCCCTTACACCAACAAAACAACTCAAATTATAAAATTTACATAAACCACTCATACATATTCATGAGGTAACTCATTTTCCCTATTCATGACCCACCTTTTTCGAGAAGGGATTGATAGCAGCCATCTGGTAGCTGAGGCGGGAGGGCGTGTCGCTCAGGGCGGAGTAGACCGATGAGCGGCTCGAGACCTGATTGGGGAAGTTGCTGCCGAAGCTCTGGGGGCGGGGCAGGGCCGAGATGTTGGGCAGGGCTCCGGCCATGTCCTGACTCTCCAGGGAATCTGGGAAGGGATGCATTCAGTTTCAAACGTTCAAATTTAACCAACATTTTCAACCATTAACCCTCCCTCTCATGCTGGCAATATCAACAAAGCACTCCCAGCAGTCAAAATCAATCAATTGACTGTTTTTAACGGTTGAGTGCTCCCTGCCTGCATAAGCAGGATTGACTGGCTGAGACTGTTTATGTAAAGTGATACACCTACATGCCCTGACTATAGGAGATTGAAAAGCCAGCTGTACCTACTAGTTACTTGCTTTTGTCTTTTGATGGAATTTGACTAGTCAGAGTGCCTACAACAAATATGATTTGACTGTTGGTGACCGGCCAGTGTAACAAGTTATAGGAAGGGAAGTGGATAAAATTTCTGACTGTCTGTGACTGATCAAACGGTTGGAAGGTTCACATTCAAGCTAACAAACTAAGTAAGTTACAATGTCTCATTGCAGAAAATATCGCTTGACAGTTCCATGAAAATTAGGCCAAGGAATGACATTCCACAAGATTTAAACAAGAGATTAAAAAAAGTCAAATAAAAAATACCTTTGATTTGCTTCCGCAGGTAAGGATCTAAATGGCAAGCACAGGGCAGGAAGCGTCTGAGATCACCCACGGTCAGTACCGGGGTGTGCTTGGTCAGATAGACCAGGAAACTCCGGCTGTCCTGGTCCAGGTCTAGCAGGGGCTCTATCTCTCTGCTGGCTGGTATCTCATCCTGGATGCTGATTGAGACAAAAGACAAGAATATGAATGGTAACAAGTAAATCCTACACGATCTTACAGAATCTGTAATGAGGCCGACATGGGGAAAGTAACAGGCTTTAACAGAAACACACCTCGCATTAAATTATGGCATGGTACTCTGCACTTGTTAAGGCAAAAAAAATAGGAGTTACAAACCTTTCGTAGACAGCCTTGAGCGGCAGTTCATCATCAAAGGATTCCTCGTTATTCTGGTAGAAGACGGCCATTCGCGACGTCCGGTAGGGCCACTTCTCTGTCACGTTCACCCAGGAGGCAAGGCGCTGCCATTGGAAGCTGATATTGTTGGCTCGCAGGAGACGACCTAAGGTGATACAAAAAATTAAAAGGGGCTAATTTCTTGGAGTTGCCTGGCAAAAACAATCACTTTGTAAATCTATCTGTCAAACAAACATTGTTGGCTTATGACTAGGACCCCTTGAACAAAGACAAAATTGGGGGACCGCCAACATAGGGCTGGATAGCTCAGTTGGTAGAGTGCTGGAACTGCAATCCGGAGGTTGCAGGTTCCAACCCAAGGTTTCAAGCTCCAGTCAATTTCTCTGTTCTACTTTGAAAAAAAAACCCAGTTAGCAGATAACTGGTTGCAAGCAATAGACATCACGTAAAATGTATGCAGATAATACATTTTTCTGACGCCAAATCTTTCCGTGCTTATAATTGGCTAAATTCTGTGCTTAGCATCTCCAGGAAATTGCCTAAGAGCAAAATGGATGTGGGATAGAATACAAATGTTGAGCTCTCATAACTTTTCAAGATTTGTACATGTAGGTCCAGTTTGTAAGCACTTAGCGAAAATAATAGGGCTTGATGTTTTGATATCTTGTACATGATTCCGTTACTTTAAAGACAAGTATATTTCAGGCCACTGCAGTTGGTAATCAGAATTAAGTAGCTTGTTATTTCTCATACTGGTGAATTCAGGTTGCACAGTACATTTGAATGATTCGCAGAATCTCTCAGAGATTCGAAAGTCTGGCCTGTAGCCGAGTAGTTTTTTTGACTTACCAGTAATGGAGACAATGTTGAGCAGTCGACTCATGCTGCGTGGGCTGAGATCGCTGAACTGCTCGTCCGACGCCAGGAGTTGCGAGACGTCCCTGGTTGTGCCGGAGTTCATCCGTCCTAGAGCCTGGCTCTCGCTGTCTTCCTTGTTGGGAAGGGCGGTGATCTGATGGCGGTCGGGTCTGGGGGAGGGCGTGCCGGCTTGCTGGGATGCCTCGGGCTAGAAGGTTAGTCAATTTAGAATAGGAAAAGTGTGAAATTATCTTGTCTGATTACAAAATACTTGCAGGGACTTACAACCCTAGTCAAATTTTGCAGCATTAAGTAGAAAACATTCCTCAACAAATTTGTGCTACGAGGGAACCAATCATAACAACATGAATCGCAATTTCACATTTTGGCTGCTATCCCTTTCTTCAGCAAGCAAATATTTTCTCGGTGACTGCAAATGTCTGGAATTTGTAAACGCTGGAAAACTGCATTAATCCTTTGTTTACAACTGTTACTGTTAGTACATGTACCAGAGGTACCTCTTTTTTGTTATTTTTCACAATTGTATTACAAAACTGAAATAAAAAGAAACAGGAAATGTAAGATAAACGTGTATTTCCACATGTTGTCAGTTAGGGCCAGTATTAAGCTTAAAATTTGGGCTCAAATTCAAACCAGTGATGTTAACAAGTTGAGTACAAGTCCTCACAAGTCCATCACAAGTCCATCATAAGTCCTCTCAAGCCATCCAGTCTCAAGTCAAGTCACAAGCTATTCAAATGGACTATGCCAAAAGGCATTCCTTTGTCATTATTCTTCACCCGTTACTTGTGCATGGACGTATGATTTAATAGTGACCAGACTTGAGAGAGACTACTTGTCATTGACTTGACTACAACACTGCTTCAAGGTTGTGTTAAAAGGTTCAAACATATGTAGACCACATATTGGACATCTGCAATTCTTTAAAAATGCTTGAGTCACCCGCAAGTGATTTTTCCCAAGAACAAAATCCATGCTTACATATTTTTTCAAGGATTTAAGAATAAACTGCATACAGAGGTCCACAGGTATTAACTTTGCAGCAAAGTTGTCAGCTGTTAGCTGTTAATCTGCTTTCCTTGCCTTCCGTTAAACATTTTTACCTTTTTTTTTCATACCATGCTCAGACAGAACTGTACTAGTGTAACCTGCTCTCACAAAGTGAGGTACAGTTGAATAAAAATACATGTACAAAATAAAATGAAATACAATACTGCTGATTTGAAATGATTTTATGTACTTGAAATGCTGGTTTTGTAAAGAACTTAACAGAATAGTTTCCGGAATAGACTGTCACAAAATTGCCAGGTGGCTCAGGATTCATTTTGTGGAAGCAGGTCACATTATTCACAATAAGACAATCTGTCAATCACAAAACCCCATCCACTTGACCAGATATATATTCAACTTGTGGTCACTACCTTGCCACCAAAACATACATTTTGTTCATTCTTGTGAAAAGTTTGAATTGGAATCTTGTCGCAGTTGTTTTGGGGCAAAATTTCAATTATATCTTACATGTACAGTAGAACTTTGCTATAGTTTGGAATTTAACTCATATACGAAGGTGCGTGGGTTCGAACCCTGCCAGGAACATGGTGTTTGTGCCCTTGGGCAAGACACTCAACTACCATTGCCTCTCTCCACCCAGGAGTATAAATGGGTACCTGTGAGGATCGAGGACCGATTGAGCGCTGATATCAGCTTCCGCATGGTCCCATGGCCTGATGAACGGGGTAATAATCGTAAAGCGCTTTGAGATCGTTGATACGATGGAAAGCGCTATATCAGCACAATTATTATTATTATTATAGTTTGTTCAGCCATTCGCTGTGCAATTTTACATGTATGAATGTAACTTATAGCCAAATGTTCAGTATAGTGGCCATGTTACAGCGGCATTCTACTGCACTGTACACATGCAGGGGATCACCATCTTGTTATTATTATACATGTGAAAAGTGTGTTGTCGGAACTGACTGTCACACAACATGATCTTAGTTGGGACACGTATACATCGGAGTGAATGATATGGTACAACATTCTCAAATCACGACATGACTTCACACACCTCACTGTTGAACAGAATAATGTGTTAATGAATACAAAGTAACAAATGCAGACAGGATAGGCAAGACAGCTCTTCAACAAGTTTGGTATCCCAGAAACTATATCTCCCTTAAGAAGGAAGATTAAAGCAGACTTGTTACTTTTGTCAATACTTCCTTACTAATTAAGATCAATTGTTTACACATTTTCACTGATCTGTTTTTGACATTTTACCCAGTATTTTTGTATCATGTGCATGCTATAAAGACCTACATTGTGCCAAAGCTTCATTTTCAAATCCATTTTTTAAATTTGTGTCGAAACTATGACAAATATACTATGACATATAAACTTTTCCGATATAAAAATTATCCTGCTCGCTTGGAAAAAATCTCGCAGGAAATTAAACCTTCTTGGTACGTAATTGTCAAGTGAGGAAATGCGGTTTGTTTAAGGGTACATCAAAGCAAATCCTGCAGTTTTCCCACCTTACGAAAATTGAGGCAAAGCGTTGTAGTTCAAGACGTGCCCCTGTTTTTAATACCATACATCTATATTAGATTTAGTAAGGGGGTGTTTTTAGTGTTAGAATCAAGCATTCTTTATGCAAGGTGGACGGAGGGTTAAATGGGCCTGCATTCCATGGGACATGCTACATGCCTGAACGATGCACTATTACCACCAAAAAAACAATCGGTACTGCTTTCGATTTTACCCTGATTTTCTGTGTAAATCTGACTCGACGACCGTTATCATTTTCGGGCATTTCGGGGATGCTTGGAAGACCCCATCGCAATTGCTGTGCACAGAAAAAGGTATCAATGCTTTTTAAAATTTCAATTCCGTGAGAAAAAAATGTTATTAAAAATTTCGGCCCTGTTGTAAAAAAAGGCAAACAGGGCAAGGCAAAATTTTGCAAGCTATAAGTTGTCATCTTTCAAGATGATGATTGACACTATACAGACCACACTTCTATCTCAGACTTTCAAAACAATAAGACAGTTTATAAATTGCTTTTATATTTCTCATCAAATGCCGATACTTTACAAATAGCATTTCAAAATTAGAAAACATTGTCTGAAGGCACAGTGCTTGATCAACTAACTTTACTAGTTTTTAAACTCACAACTACATGAACTGGGAAAAAAAAAAAAAATCCGGTCAAGGGGTCAAAGGTGAGAAAGCCATGATTGTGAGGAGGTCAGGGGTCAGGGGTCAAACAAATGTGCTGTAATGTCAATGGGTGCTTGCTACGGTGATCCTGGAGTATGGGTGATGGTTTTGATTTCTCAGTGAATGTCAGAAGAATCCCAAAAATGAGGCTTGCGGTCATGCTTTTGTTTACACATTGAATGACGTAGAAATGATGAGAATTACAAATGTGATGAAACAGAGCTCAAAAATACAATATTACTTGATTTTCTTTAACCTCATTGATATTTTTTACAGTCACCATTATTGTATCTTAAAGAAAGCATGTAAGGTCATCCATAATTATCAACATTTTCAAAAGTGTACAAAACATACTATTTTTGGCAGACCCCCTCCCCCCACCCCCCTGAAGAGTACTTTCAAAAATGTTGATTTTCAAAGATATCCTGAAACGAACAGTTCATTCATAGCGTTGTGATTAGTTATGGAATATTAGTGTCTTGAAGACAGGCTAGGCACATGAAGCGCTTGCCGTATGCACACGCATATGCAATTCATCGCTACAGAAAGTGGCGGCTGAAATGGGCTGCATCGCGTACATTGGTCACGAGTGCGTACGAGTAGCACAAAGCTGAATGACAAATATGGCTGCACCCATGAATCGTGAACTGAGGTATGAGATTTTTTTTTTTTCATAAAAGATCTTCTGGAAGCCCATTATAAGAAATACTGAACCAAAAATATTGATTGACATTTTTTACAAAATCGTTCATCCCTACTCCGAGTGTACGCTTTGTACGCTTTTGAAAATGTTGATCTTTATGCAAGACCCCTACATGAACGATAAAAAAACCGATTTGCATAAAAAAAAGTTGAGATATTTATGTGATGTCACTTGACAGACAGATTATCAAGACTGATTCCATGGAGCTACGAAGCAAAAAATATTGGTCGTAAATAAAAACCAAGTTACTGGTCAAAATGTTATGCAAAGAAAGTGTCTAGGACCAGTTCTCAACGTGATTAATTCTCTTAGCAATAATTGTCTGCTTTGTAACTCCACAAAATACTTAAGGTCAGTCTCTGGTCACTCTGTGAATGAATATGACTGTGCTTAGGACTGTGAGATTAATGTACCACTGTTACTTCATGTTAAAAACTGGTTTGTTTGTTGAGATAAATGCATGCGAATGCATGTGAATGGTTTTACGTTGACACACCTAGGATTTCACACAATTTTGAGTTTCACGGTTAGAATTGAAAGAAATCATTGTTTTTTACCTTTGGGTTGGAAGGTGGGATGTGATTGGCGGTCGGGCTGGCTGACTCTGAATTCTCTCTGAGCTTGATCCCGACTTCCAGGTAGAAGGGAAGATGGACCAGGTTCCTCAGGTAGTCGTGGCCTCGAATGTTGGACTCCTTGAAGACGGTGTGGAGGTTCTGATCGATAGCTTTGGCGATGATGTAAGGGTCGATGGCAAGGATGGTGATGTAGGGGGAATCGGGGGAGGAGAAGAGGGCCTTGATGGAGTCCAGGAGGTGCAGGATCTGCTCCTGCTCGCAACTGTCTAACCCGTCGACGACGACCACCATCCGGGTTTGGGAGCCCTGGAACGCGTCCACGCAGTGCACGAACTGCGCCAGGGTGTCAGCTTCGAGTTTGAGTGGCCCGCTGGCGCCCCGCCGCAACCGCAGCTGCGGCGACCAGATTAGGTTATACAGGAACTGGATGATCCAGATGGAGTTGACCAGGAGGGCCAAGCCGACCAGGGAACCCGTCACGATCATGGCAATGAAGATGTGCTGGCGGTTGGTGTATACCGCCCTGGTGTTGAGGAAGTAGTAGAAGAGGAGGACTAGGAAAGCGACGAAGCAAGCTAGGACTAGGAGCGTCAGGAGGAAGCAGGGTATGCAGCAACAACGCTTCCATTTGGTGAGACCTACCGGTACAAAGCAATGCAAGCAATGTGTAAATTAACCCTTACTCCCTGGCATGATTTACTAGGAACCATACCCATTCTGGCAAATTCCAACACCATATGGGAAACTGCACACGCCTATTTCTGACTTTGACTTCAGAGCCTATGAAATGCTGACTGTAAGAACCCACTTCAAGCTATTCCGCTTTGTACATAATGCGAACATATTGAAGGTAACTTGTTTTGCTTAATCAGTGTAGGAGTTGTTAAAAAAACACAAGCTCAGTAAACAAGATCTATAAAGTACAGTACAGGGCCCAATTTCACGGTGCTGCTAAGCACATGATTTTCTGCTAACAGAGCCTTCGTCTATTTTATGGAGACTGAAATCTCCATGCACGCGCGACCGTTAGCACGTCCACCCTGTGAAATAGTGCTCAAGGTTAGCAAATTTTTCTGCTATGCTAAGCACAACTTTTCTGCTAACTGTTAAGCAGCGCCGTGAAATTGGGCCCAGGTCTGTTAGGGATAAAGTACTATAAAAAAGAAATGTCTAACCTTCTGTGTATTTGTTTCTTGTGACCCTGAAGACCCGCGACGCCATGAAGCCTAGATCTCTCTCTACCGCTGCGCTGAGGGACGTGACTGCCTTGGACAACGGCGTCTCACCTCCGATGTTGGACAGGTGTAGATGATCACCGAATATAAACCTGAAGGTGATGGAAAGAAATGCAGGAAAAAAAAAATCACAAAATCACAGTAAGACTCCATCAGACATTTTCTTTTGTAGGGAATTAGACCAACAAAGGCTTCACGACCAAAATTGTAATCCTGTCAATCACAAGTCATCCAGTCTAAAGTTAAGTTTAAAATTATTTAAAAACTGCGAAAAAATAACAACATTCTTGTTCCCTGTTACTTGTGACATTTCTTGAAGGTGACTTAGGATTTCATTTGTGATGTCACAAGTCTGGTTGGCAGAGCATGAAAAGTTAGCCATATTTGTTTTAGTTTATTTCAATTATTATTTTGGCATTTGGCCGGGATAGCTCGCAAAAGTCTGTCATCTTAATGAGGCAGGAAATGATAGTTTCAAGGAAGTGGGAGAAAACAGTTTCTATAGAAAACACATGAAATCTGGTACCGGTAGGGACTAAAATCCTGGATATTGGCACTGGACGGGATTTGAACCCAGGTCACCTTAATGGAAGGTGGGGAGAGTAAATCTCTCCTAAATAATGGACCCTTCCTGACTGTTAATCAAATAGTGGGATCACAACTTTTGGTAGCTCAAAATCACACTGTCAAATGTACACACAAACAAAAAGTGGGCGGGGTTTACAGCCAAATCTGGAACGGTGCATTTACCTGATGGGTAGAGCCTTGCTGCTCTGAGGGGGTTGCGGGGGAGGATTGCAGTAGATCATGGCAAGGATAAGACGGAGATAGTTCAGCTGCTTGGCCAGCCAAGAGGACGTGGCTCGCATGCCCCGCCACTTCTTGCGATTGCCTAGATACACAACGCCTGTTGAAGGAAACACAGAAACAACATCGAGATGGATGGAATGACTGTTGTGATTTCAGTTCATTTCTGTGAGTTCATTTTTTTGAGGGAAAATTTCAGGAAGTTGCCACTCCTCAATGTCATTATGTCCAATCAGATTAAAAGTGAGTGTAAAACGCTGTGTTGGAAATGGCAGCTTCTCATTTCATGAAATCAAATCTTCTGTAATTGTTTTGCTGGATAGACATTTTTATGATTACGCACACCTAGTAGCAATTTCTTATTGCATAAATGTTGAGAAAAGGAATTAAATAGATGGATTTGAACCTTTTGAGCTGCAGAAAAAAATACTAACGGCACTCTGCCAACTAAACTATTCAACCCTACGTTGGCAATTTCCCAAGAAGTAACGTCTGTCACGAGCCAATGTGGCCCATCAGGCCAGCGTTTATATCCTGTTTCAGTAAAATGAAACGACTGAGAATATTTCTATTCCCCCTGGATGGGATGCCAGTCCATCGCAGGTTACTCTCCAGCTAATGCCGGTACCCATTTATACTCCTGGGTGGAGAGAGGCAAGTGGGGGTGAAGTGGCCTGCCCAAGGACACAACATGCGGCAAGCGGCTGGATTCGAACCCTTGACCGATTGATCATGAGTCACAAACCGTAACCACTAGGCCACACTCCCCAATGTCCCAAATTGTTAATTAAAATTAAATTGTTATTAATTTCGGCTTAAGGAATGCTGATTAATTTTTTGGAAACCTGTCTGATACCAAATGTTGTTTTTATTTGAAGCAGATATGCAGGCTTACCAACATTACAGTGAACTGGCAGTGCAACAGAAAATTCTTTTAAAATACTTAAAAAAACCAGGAATGGTCGGTTCATTCATGCAAAAGCAAAGAGAAGAGAATTTCATGATGTCAACAACTGCAGTGGCATTGTGACATTTGCGGCCAGCCAGAAGACTTGACAATTCTAAAAAATGTTAAATTTTTGTTTTCTCATAAGCTTCTATCTACACGACAGGAAAAATCTTTACCTAATAGAAAATACAGAAAGAAGAAGAGGGCAAAAAACACCCCGATTGACGCCCCGGGGGCCTCGCTGAATATAAAGAGAACGGCCGCGCCCAGCACGGCACTGAGTAGAAGACAGACGATGAAGACGATGCAGGAGAAACGAAAGACGGGTTTGCTGCTGTGGTTGGTGAACTGTCGCATCTCATCTAGTGGAGAAAAAAAAAACCAACTATATATAACAGGGGGAATATAAACCATGCCATACTTATTTGCAAAATCTGAATGATGTGTTGATGTGACACAAACTTTGAACAAAAAAATCTAGGGCTGTACACTGAATTATGTAAAGTTGCTCAAACTGACTGAAAATTTCAAAGGTAATGTATGTCCTTGGATGACTGAGGGCCAATTTCATAGAGCTGCTTAAGCACAAAATTTGCTTCAGCACAAAAAAAACTTGCATAATATAATCAGGTTACCGGCCCAAACTCCATGCGATGTACATTGCTTGTGACTGGTATTTAGCTGTTCTTTACTTGGCATAACAATCGCATGGAGTTTTGGCCGGTATCCTGATTTTACTAAGCAATTTTGTTTGTGCTTAAGCAAATTTTGTGCTTAAGCAGCTCTATGAAATTGGCCCCTGAGCTCGTTTAAGGCCGCCCTACCTTTTTAACTGAAAGAATCCAACTTTATGCAAGAGCAACTGGCACATCCTATGTACTTAAATTGTGAAGGTGCACCAGGCCCCATTTAAAGTAATAGTGGACAGGCTGTACCATATTCAATTCTGCAAAATCCTCTACAACTATCCACAAATCTGGGAAGTTTAGGATTAAGGAACAATGGCACTAAGATAAAATAAATGCATACATTTCTGGGAAGAGCAGAGATGCCAACTTTACAGACTACAAAATAGTAATGATTCTTCCTGCAAAGAGTAATGCTAATGTAAATACATAGGACTACAGTCAAGTTTAAGAGTAACCACAGTACTTTTCAGAGTAGCCAAAATGTTGGCGTATAGGACAGCTGGAAATTGCAAGAGTAGTTACATGCCTCAAAATAATTCCTCCAAAAGAGTAATGGTTGGCATCTCTGGAAGAATTGAGGATACAACACACTATTCAGCAGGTTAGACAGTTCTTAACCCTGGTTGCACACTGAGCAATACATCGGCTTGAACATCATAGCACATAGTCTTATGTAATTATCTAATTAGGAGACAATGGATTCAATACATTTACAAAAATATTCAAGTTGGTCCAATTGCAATTTTTATTTCAACAGTCTGTGCGTGCCTACCTTGCAGTTTCTTGAGAATGAAAGACTTGCCGCTGCCCCAGCGTGCATACAGGCCCACGGTGATGGGCGGGGCTAAGGTGGGCTCGCTGAGGATGTCAGCGAGGGCGCTGCTGCATAGATCGCTCATCTCGCTGTCGGCCTCCTCCCCAGGGGTGAAACTCCCTGAATTGTGGAGAAAAAAAAAAACGTCAATTTTTTTTTTTTTTTAACACGTGTGAAAATACTTAAACATGTCTATGGACTGCATGCACAAATACCCCCTCAACGATTAAAGCGAAAAGGTGTTCGCACTGGACTTACTTTTGTAACGAAAGTTAACGCTAGTGATTGTTATGAAAGGGAATGTACATCATTTGCTTTTGCTGCAATTTTCAGAAATAAATGGATTTGGAGGATTAGTATGATATAGCAAATAGTTGTTAAACTGACTTGTTTCACTTTTTGGGCTTGTAGATGCTGGAAAACCAAGAAAACCAATAATGTTCTGGAAGTCTGGTTCCCAGACCCCACTTAAGATGAAACAGAACAATTTATAGACTTTGGGGAATTGTAAGGTCAGAGAATCAGTCTAGCAGGCTTGTACCCCTTTCACAGGTATGTAATCAATTGCAAAGCAAATGTGGAATAACTAAATTTGAAAAATTAGGAGTCGTTTTTGAAAAAATGCCAGTTTTCGCCAATGCTAGTCGGCCGACCAGCGTTGGAAAATTCCAATTTTCTTGAAAATGTCAGCACACCAGGAGCTACCATTTTACAGGATGCTTTCGAACGTCATTCCCTAACAATCCAGTAAGGTATTTTGTGAAAATGTGATCGTTTCGTTTTTTGATGTTTGCAAATGTTGTTTCTTCCCCTTAACATTCCACTGTGGTTATTCTACTAAACGTCACAGCAAAGAAAAAAAAAACGTACTTGCTCCAAAGATTTGAGTCAGGATTCCCTTCTGGTGGTTGCAGTCTATATTGTACGGCGTCTCCCCTTCCTTGTTGGGTTTGTACAGAAGCCGGCCATCTTTGGGATTACGTAGAAGCAACTCAGACACTTTCTTGTCTCGGAAACGGATGGCTATATGCAGTGCAGTGTCACCGCGCTATTGGACAAGAAATAAACAAAAAACAGTTGCCATGGCAACACTAAGCTGACACATTTCAGTAGTTTCTCAGTGGTTAGTTATTCAAACTTCTAGTCTTGAATAGCAAGACAATGGTGAAAAAGTAGTAATAAAAATAACTTGTTTTTATAAATTGCAAATATTCACCAAAATTTACACTCAAGGCGCAATATCATTATAACCCCTGCTCAGCAAACCTACAACAGAAAGCTCAATGCTACTGTTTCGGCACAAATGTTTATTTCAGTCACAACAGCCATCTCTGCCCTCACATTTACCCATTGACTCCCAGGCTGGCAGTAGCAAGTTGTGACAAAGTGGCTTGCCCAAGGACACAAAACACCACACAGACTAGAACTCACAACCTATTAAAGTAGCCACAAGTTGCCCAATTTCACGGCGCTGCTCAGCACAAAAATTTGCTTAGCACAAAAATAGCCTGGCTTATAAAAGTAGGTTAGCCAGCCAAAACTCCATGTGATGAATATTGTTCGTGATTAGTATTCAGCTGTTGTTTGCTTAGCGTGAAAATTACATGGAGTTTTGGCTGGTGACCTGCTTTTATAAGCCAGACTATTTTTGTGCTAAGCAATTTTTTGTGCTTAGCAGCACTTGGGCCAAGATCTTGAGTTCCTATGCTCCAGACCACAAGGCCACGGCACTCCACACAGCACAGAAGCAGAAAGCAGACGGACAAAATTCTCACCTTGTCTATTGCAGAGACTTTGGCGTTCTTGTCCAACAGTATCCGGACGATCTCCCGATTTCGGTTGCGCGCCGCTCTCAGCAAAGGTGTTTCTCCATCCTGAAAACAAATTCAGAAAGCAAAGTAATTCCCCTAAAATCGATTCTCTTTTAGTTTTCACACATATTGCCACGATATTAAGAACAACAGAAGAGATGCGACATGACTAGGAGCCCAAAACACTTGGGTATGAATTACTGTCAGTGCGTACGGTATGATCGGTAACATAATCATGAAAAACTCCTCTGGACAATTTTTATAACCTTTCAAAGTGGAAAACGTAAGGATATTTTGCCACTTTAACAGAATGTAGAGGAAGATAAACTTTACAGCCCCTAATTTCCCACCGGCTCTGATAATGTTATTTTTCATTTTCCACTGATTGCTCAAGCAGCATATCTCTTGAGAAGCTTAAAATAAAAGTTCCGTGGGGGAAATGTTGCATCAATAGTTTGAGATTTTTAAAGAAGCCACTGTGTAACTTGATATTTCACATAATTGTTGCTTTTGTTGGAGATGTTGGTTTAATATTTGCCTCCGCCCTCCACTAACATCATGTTGTATGAAGTGACTGCTCGGTGATTTTTAAGTGCTTGTCTAAAAGGACTTTACAAGCTCACTCAGGTGGGACTCGAACCCACGATCTCCTGCTCACTGGTCCAGACGTCTCAACCTCCACATATTTGCTTCTGTCCTTCACTATTATCATGTTGTACAATCTGACTGCTCAGTGATTTTCAAGTGCTTGTCTAAAACGACCTTACAAACTCACTCAGGTGGGACTCGAACCCGAGACTTCCAGCTCACTAGTGCATACGTCCCAACCACTCAACCGGCAAATATTTGCTTCTGCATCATGTGGTACAATCTGACTGCTCACTGTGCTCAGTGATTTTCAAGTGCTTGTCTCAAAGGACCTTACAAGCTCACTCAGGTGGGACTCGAACCCAAGAGTTCCAGCTCACTAGTGCATACGTCTCAACCACTCAACCAGCAAATATTTGCTTCTGCATCATGTTGTACAAACTGACTGCTCAGTGATTTTCAAGTGCTTGTCTCAAAGGACCTTACAAGCTCACTTAGGTGGGATCGAACCCACAACCTCGTGCTCCCTGGTGCAGACGTCTTAACCACTCAACCAGCAAATATTTGCTTCTGCCTCATGTTGTACAAACTGACTGCTCAGTGATTTTCAAGTGCTTGTCTCAAAGGACCTTACAAGCTCACTGAGGTGGGACTCGAACCCACGACCTCCTGCTAACAAGTGCAGACGGCTCAACCACTCAACCGGCAAATATTTGCTTCTGCATCATGTTGTACAATCTGAGTGCTAAGTGATTTTCAAGTGCTTGTCTCAAAGGACCTTACAAGCTCACTCAGTTGGGACTCGAACCCACGACATCCAGCTCACTAGTGCAGACGTCCTAACCACTCAACCACCAAACATTTGCCTTTGTCCCTCACTAGCATAATGCTATACCAACTGACTGCTCAGTGATTATCAAGTGCTTGTCTCAAAGGAGTTTACATGTACAAGCTCACTTAGGTTGGACTCGAACCCAGGACCTCCTGCTTACAGACGTCTTAACTGCTTGACCAATGAAGATTGTCGGTTCGGCTAGAAGGTACAAAGATAGGATTTTCTTACCTTGTTTGGTATTTCTGGATTTGCGTTGGAGTCCAACAGCGCTTCCGTGATATCCACCAGACCCTTATCAGCTGACCAGAATAGTGCGGTCTTCTTATCCTGTTTGAAAATAAATTCAGAAACAAATTTTATATTTTGAGTGAACAAGACAGATGGTCACAACTGAAAACTCTTGGTAATCTCGAAGTTAAAAACTGTGAGTAGTGGATCAAATCAATCCTCACAACAGTAAAATGTTTAAATAAATGTACCTTTGGTCTATTGTACTAGACAAAAATGGCATGTGGTGCATATCTTGTTGTTTAACCCAGCTACCGTTCACTGAACTTTGAAATCATTTGCCTTTCTGAAAATGACACTGATAACCATTAAAAGAACTGGAGCAAATATGTTAAACAATACTTGAAATCAAAGTCAGATATACACCAACTCTGCGTAATCGAATTTTCATGTACCTACTTGACTTTGCCATTTTATCAGAAGGAGTGGAATTTGCTCAGATAAGATCCAGTATGTAAAATGGTTTTGTCTGTACAATGGTTTTGTGTGTAAATTGCCACACACGAACATTTCTTTTGCTAGCATGAACTTTGTTCTATTGATTAGAACGTAACAGTTACATTTTTGGGCTGGACTTTTTGGAGAAACACTGCATCACAATACAGAGTCTGATGTTCAAAAAAGGAAAATTGACCTTATCGTGACCCTAATCATAAACAAACTTGTTTGTGTGATCTCTAATTTTATGCACCGTTCTGCCTGAAGACATTGTAAAAGGGAACGCGAACACGAATGTGTGCCCACAAAATTGCAGAAGTTGAACGCATTTAAATTACGGCGATTTCTTCGCAAATGTGTTTGAGTGAAGTACATGCATTAAGTTGCTTTCAGGGTTTTTGTCAAGTTAACCTGTAAATTTAAAGTGAAATGCTCAATCAGATTTCTTTCCGACATGAAAAACGATTTAAAACCCTTCTAAAAAAAAATTAAAATAATAATAAATAAATAAACAAACAAATAAATAAATAAATCTCCTATTTCTGACACATACAACACAATAATATACGGCAGTGTTTAAAACCAACCAGACGTCTTCTAAGCTGTAATTTCCGTTGAACCGCGTCAAGATCTAATAACAGGCTCCTACCGTGTTTTCTCGCAAACGAGACTGGGAAGAAAAAACCGAACTGAGATCAAATTATACGAGCTCGGGTTATATTTGTCAGTTTGACGGCCGGGCGAGCCCCGCAATCAGATTTATTTGATTACTGGAGCATGAGAGTTGTGTGTCAGACACTGATGCTCCCCCCCCCCCTCAAAAACAGAGACAGCAATTATAGCTGTGATAATTCCCTCATTTTCTTAGGGGGGGGGGGGAGGGGGGAGTGAAACGGCATTTTTGGTTTGTCTCGTGCTGATTTGTCTGGTTAACAGTACAATTTTTTTCTTTTCAGGACTGGATCAGGTGTTTGGAATGTAATCACTCGTGACTCCGGCCTTGTGCGCCGTTGATTCAGGTTTTTTGTTTTTATGGTGTGCGCCGAGTTTACTCCTCCGAGCGATTCTGATCTTGTTAGGCCTCGCACCTTGCAAATTCAACTGCAAGTATATTAAGGGGGACTGAGATTCGCTGTTGGCAGCCGTTTATAAGGCAACTGCGAAACAGATGACTGCGTTTTTTTGTTTGCCTGCTATTAACGCGGATGACCACTAAAGCTTTACAACTAGACAATCCTGCTCTAAATGGTAGGGATTGCTTACAACTTGTAATACCAATCCTCTGTGTTTTGAATGCAGCTTTTTATGTACATACTCATAAAATCGTCGTTCAAATAAGACTACATGTAAATAATGAAAGGTTTGCGGAAACACCATGTGCAAATAATTTCTCAACTAAGAGATTGGTTCTGAAAAGAACCAGAGGTATAAACTCGACGTTCCGGTCAGTATGCTCTGACCGTCTTCAGGAGAGTCAGTCAGAGCATACTGACCGGAACGTCGAGTTTATACCTCTGGTTCTATACCTCTGGTTCTTTGAGTTTATACCTCTGGTTCTTTTCGGAACCATTCTCTTAGTTGAGAAATTATTCCCACATGGTGTTTCCGCAAACCTTTCACTATTTAGTATCTCCACCATGCAAAGCCTCAAATCTTACTTAAGACTACATGTACATGTAGCTATTGACATCCTAGCGAGACCGTGAATCCTCAATATAATACTAAAACAGGAATAACTACTAACTACAGCGACTGAACAAAACATCCTGGAACAAAAAAAAACATCACCACAAAAACATAATGCCAAAAAAAAATCTTCCATTACATGTACTTAAAGAGGTTGTGGAATGCTCGAAGACATTTCCATCATTTTTCGGGTATAAGTAGCCTAAGGTGTGATGAAATAAAAACGACTATTGTTTCTGTCATAAAATGAGTACAAAAGGTACTTTTGAGAGCTGTTTTTCAAGTCCTGTCCTGCCTGTTTCGACCCGAACGTGCAATTTGTGTAAAAGTCGTCGTTGCGGGCAGCAAACAAAACACAGTAAATCGTGACGTAATAAACAGGACTCCCGATGCAGAGTAGCATAAACGAGTCCTGTTTATTACGTCATGATTTACTGTGTTTTGTTTGCTGCCCGCAACGACGACTTTTACACAAATTGCACGTTCGGGTCGAAACAGGACCTGAAAAATAGCTCTCAAAAGTAACCTTTGTACTCATTTCATGACAGAAACAATAGTCGTTTTTATTTCATCACAACTTAGGCTACATATACCCCAAAAATGACGGAAATGTCTTCGAGCATTCCACAACCTCTTTAACAAGCATCAAATATTACTAAGCCAATACACAATTTGAAATGAGGTGAATTTAACCCTATTTTTTAGCCCTAACCTCACCTAAAGCTACAAAATACTACTCAGTAGTACATGTAACCTGTAGTATGCATTTCTTTCCATGCAAGTGTGCGCACAACACATGTAGTATTCTGTGGTATTTGGTACTTGGCCCAAGGGTTTAGGGTTCTAATGAATAATTATTTGAAAATAACAATTTTCAAATAGTGTCCATTTTGATAATTGGGCTCCCTCCCGACAGCTAGGCTTATCACATATATCAAACGATACTTTTCACATCAGAGTTTAAGTTAAATTCTCCAAATCATTTTTTATACTGTTTCCCAATTTCTATCTGTATGCAAGTACATCTGTAATGATTCAGTCCACAAAATTATTAAAAACTTTTCCTTGTCAAAGCATTCAAGTACAAACTTAAACACGAACTCTTCTTATAATTTTCCTAATTATAATAATTAACTGTGCTTCAGGATTTGAGGGTATTTTCCAAAATTAGATTTTCCGCCGCACACCGTAAGGCAAAAACAACAAACTCCTAGAAAAAAAAATAGTGCAACGCCCCATCACCAGGGTAGCAAGGTGATCTGCACTTTTGCGAGGAATTTGTTTCAAGGAAAACGGGGCTGCCGAAATGCAAACTAGGAATTTGCTGGTAGAGTGGATAGGTTGGAAATATAAAATATTGACGGTGGAAATGAAGGCCAACTGGCAAGCTGAATTATTAGCTTGTCTAATATTCAAATAGTCAGGGCCAATATGCATATATTACCCTGCCTCAGGTCCAATAGTTCGGGTAGAATGCCAAAATGAATATATTACATGTGCACCAGTTCGGTTGAATTTTGATGTACATGTACACTCCACGCAATGGTATGCAATAAAATGACAATTACAATTCATGTTTTGTGTAAACTATGTGCCATGTACATTGTGTGCCAATATACAAGTTCATTTAACCATTTTTACCAAGAGTACTTACACTATTAACTTGAAAATAGAATTGTATGAGTCGTGCATAAACTTGTTACATTAAGTATGTGTTTTCTGAAATTCAATCACATGAGTCAAAGGGAGATGCAAAATGCACTTACACTGCCCTGGATGTCTACGTCTGCGTATTTATCAAGGAGAAGTTTCACAATGTCCAGATGACCTCCTTTAACAGCATGGATTAAGACTGTCTCATCATTCTAGAGTAGAATAGATACAGTAAAGATTAAAAAAAAAATATGTCATAGTTTTCAAAATGGTTTTAACCAGTTCACGTCAGATGACGAGTATACACGCAATGAACAAGGTCGGAAATATCTGTCTGCGAGCCGCTTGCAGCGAGCGAGCCCGAACAATCAGGGTGTGCTACCCACAGATGACGGCCTAAACCCGTCTGGCACCGAGGTTTGTGAAAAACAATCCCGCGCCTGGGTCCGGGCAATGTCAAAATAATCCCGGCGCGAACCTGTTAATATGTCAACATATTTAAGTAGTCATTCTACTGTCAACAAAATATCAGTTATTACACACGCATAATATTAGTTGTTATATCTTTAAGAAAACCTGTTTGTGCTGTATAAAAACAAATGCTAAGTGGTTCAGGTTTCCTTGACCATAAATTAAGTTTGAATGTATTGTTTGTGAGTGACAAATTGATGGTACACAAAAATATCCGTATATGGGCAAGTCAAGTATTATGTAATGTCCATAAGACCTCACTGAATATCTGAAAATTTCTTTTTCAAATCTTACACATCCATCATCTAGTAACGCTGGAGGAGATTACAGACTAGGCGTTTTGGATCATTTCTCTGAATCATTAATAACATATCATTGGTTAACTGCTCTTTCACTGACATTACACTTCTTTTCATAATGGTAGAATCACCCATATATACCCATGTATGTATTGAGTATACACCCTTGCTGCAAACGAACCGATAAATTGTTACACCGTTACGTTTCCACTTTTCTTTGACAATCCTTTACAGTAAAACCCACTCCCACACTGACATTTGTTTTCACTGGTAAAGCCTCTGATTTCTCACTCAACATACGACAGCTGTTCATATTTTTGTGGAACCCAAGACTGCAACCTTACCCGCTGTCTCAAAATGTGTTACATGACATTTAAGGAAAAAGGGAAAAAGGAAAAGAAAATTATGAAAAGAATACAAAAACTTAAAGGGCCATGCAATCTAATTTTGTTAATGCTATCCCTGAAAGTACACCTTTCTGTAACATTTAACCTTATTTTCAATGTTTGTTTTGCCATTTTGAATGGTATTTTGGTGCCTTCTTGGTTTTTATGCTAATGCCAATTTCCATATTCATGACCAAAAACTGTGATGTCATTCCGGGCAGAAACCTTAACATTTCGGCTATTTCAGCACAAAAAGTTGCTAGAATTTTGATATTTTGCTGTCATAAATGTTCTTTTCTTTGATAATTCATCTTGATCTAATCTTTCAGTACAGACGGCCTTGTGCCGCGGGCAATGCCAAGTCCAATAGCAGTATCATTCCAAGACTCGAGTTAAATTAACGGCCTGCCAGCACTGACAACAAAAACACCAGCCCAGACATCTGCCTAGATTGGCTCAATACTCGGGGGAAATCTAACTTTTAGCTTTGATAATGATTCAGAGTCAGCAAACCGTGATTGTTGACTTGAGAAAGAAAGAAAAAAAAAAAAAGGCGGAGAGAGGGGGGCAAATAGATAAAATTGATGATGGCAATGTTTGGCTATTGTCTCAAGGTATAGATTGGCTGGATAGACTAGAGGGATAAGTGGCCTGGGAATAGACATTGCGCATCCATCTTTTCATGTTTAAGCAACGTCCCTCCTGGGTCCTGCCTACTTTTGCGGGATGTGGTCTAGCATAAATCTTCTGGAAATGTTTTCAAAATGTCCCTGCTGTATTAACTAAGATGGGGGACGAGGAAAGATTCTGTGGGTGGGAAAGTTTTAACGGGGGGCAATATAATTGGGTCAGTGTGCTTTAAAGCAACTCAAGACATATTTACATGTAACAGTTTACCTCCGAAAATGGAAAACAGCGCCCGTTAGAACTTGTCACAACAGACGTACCGGTTCTTTGTAACTGGACAAGATGATTTTAGGAAACCTTTCAACGGAGTGATTGAGTGAGAAGCCATTTAGGTTGGCAGACAGGGACGTTCTTGATGGAAGTCATGCACACAATGTTTTGTGCAAATGCCTGTCCCTTATGATCTCCATGCACTTCTTGACTGAAAATTTTGAGTTGATATTACCCTTTTCGAGAAAACGGTGAAAAATCATGCGCCACCTTTTGATCACGAAACACGATTTCGTCTAAAGCACTCTTTATTTCCACAAAATCAGTCGATTGACTGATGGTTTGAAATCACCTACATTCCTTGATTTCTTCTAAAAGACAGCAAGCCAGACGGAATAATTTCACGAGGTGTTTAGTACCAGTGTGATCTTTAATCCTCGTAAGCTTTTATTGATAATAATTGGGTAGGTCACTTTTGGGGATAAATGCAAATGATCCTATGTGCCTTTAAGTCTAGTCTGAAACCCTACCTTGTCCTGAATGTTCATGTATGCCGACTGTTCCAGCAGTAACTTGACCACCTCTGTGTGACCCTCTTTGGCAGCGCAGCAAAGACTGGTCATTCCATCCTGAAAACAACCAAAATAGGAGGCAGAGACAAAAAAAAAAAATTGATTCAACAGAAGATGGATAAAGATGCAGTGATGCTTTTAAACCATTAGCACCTATACTACATTGTATAACATTGTATAACACTGTATTTATTCACTGGAGAATCTACAAAACCATAGAGTCCTCAGGCGATTTCGGGCGCTACAGTGAGTAATATGCAGGGCGGTTTCAGGCGCTACAGTGACTAAAGGGTTACGGAATTTTTTTCCAGAGTGAACTAAGAAAATTGATCAGAATTAAGTTAAAACCAAGGTCTTCTAGGGTACCATGCTAATGCTCTATCAACTGGCTGCAAATACACTGAATTTGCCTAACTTCAGATGACAAATTACATGTACATCACTTGGCAACTTGTTTTTTTTTTTGAAAGTTTGTTTTTATATTTACAATCTTTTACATAATAAATGTATTACTATTACCGAAATAGGTACCTTAGGAAGACATTCCCATAGGGTTGTGTACACAAATGTTCAAACTTTCTTGACCCCTAACCCCCATTTTACCTTATCCTACCCCCTGACAAATTTGGGCACATTATGTTTTGGTCCACTAGCAATCGATCTAGCCTATTTGCAATGGTAAAATTTCGCCCCTAAAAAGGAGTTGTGACATTAAGGAGACATTGAAATGTCTCCTTAATCATTGAAATGACATTGAAATGTCTCCTTAATCCACCTTGTCTCCCTATAACTAATGACGAAAAAAATGTCTCCTTAAGGGTTTCATTTACAGGAATTTCACAAACAAATGCTCATTTTATTTTTCACCCTTTAAAATCCAACTACACAGAAGCGGCTATGTTTTTAATTCCAAAACAGCATTTGCTTCAGGAGCACGTGGCAATTAGACACAGCAACTTTCAACACGGACACACAATTTGAACTGAGAAGAATGTGCAGCTTATGTTCCACATGAATCACAGCGCCAGACGTCGCTAAGCGTCGAGTGATTCTCACCTTATCCACGGCGTTCACGTTGGGTTCTTCGTCCAGGATCATCTTGACCACCTCGGTGAAGCCTCCCCTTGATGCTACGATCAACGCCGTCCATGCATTCTGGAGAATTACAGAAAAAAATTGCACCACAATCGACTGTGCATTTAGTGCTCACTAACATGTTAAATCAAATATGTTATGACTTTAAGAATGCTCTTTCTAATGCAATTGACCTATCGCCGTTTGCGAGTTAGCCACGCCCCTTAGACAACCCTATGGAGTTTTTGTACACTAAGTTCTGTTTGTCTCAGATTTGGTGCGTTCCGCGTCCATTTGTATATCATGTAATTGGACAATATTTCACAAGCTGCGTTGACGCGATTCTAACCCAATTCTACCCTGAGAGGTCAATTACATTGATCAGTCAATGAATGTCCTCGGGACTCAATTTGTGGGATGTTGTCACAATTATAAAACAGAAAAAATTATATTTTATTTACTTGATGTAACATTTGTTTTTACAAAATTTGAAGTTGTGGTCATGTGATGCCAACTTCCAGCAAATGGTTCTCTTCTGCAATGCATGTATATCCCTTGATATATGAATGGCTTAAAAGTGTTATGTTGAACGCAATCGGTGGATCTCCACGATCGGTCGATCCACTGCGCTATCGGCTGATCGTGCTGCAATCGCTTGATCGCACCGCCATCGGTCGATTGCCTTTTCTTTCTAATTCTCCGAGGATTGTTTTTTTAAAAAGGGAAATAAAGTCTGAGATTTTCTACACGATTGACTGATTGTACGTACAAGTGCATTTCTGCGCGATTGAGTGATAGCGCAGATCCAATCGATCGCGCCCAGCATTGACATATACTGTTTAATGTGGGCACAATAACATGCAAAAGATGCTTAAATGTTTGAGCACCCTTGCGGTTACCCGCTGGTATGACGTCACAGGTAACATCTATACATTACAAAAATGATTAAAAATTCATATGTGAAGTTTTAGACACACTCCTCTGAACAAGATTTTTCCATCATTGCCAGTTTGATAAAGAACCAATATCAAATTTGATTCCTAGAAAAAATACTGATTAGGAAAATTATGTTGGTTTTAAATACATCTACATGTAAGTATGGAATAAAAACACATTATAATCCTACACAGACTCCCGTACTCCCTTCTCACAACCCCAGACGAGGACAGATTTCCTGCCCACTCCGACAAGTCTGATAATGCACGACATGAGGGAATGCAGTGGAGCAGAGAAAGGCTCATCCGCACGAGAAGTGCAAGCGCAGGAAGTCCGCAGATGGTCACGCAAGAATCGCATTATCGACGTCTTTAGCGAAAAAGACAACACGAACGCCTGCTGTGTAGTCTGAACACTTGCCTCAATATCACATTCACATAGTTAGTCATTCTATAAATTCTGGGTCCAAAGTGTGACATTTTTTTTTCCTGTCCCTGTTACCTTGGTACTTTGTAATTTGTCATTCAAGTATCGTGAAGCATTACTTCAAATGGTTTGCATTTGTTGGGTAGGTAGTTTGCTATTCATAATCACTCTTGGAGGATGACTGCATTAAGAGGTGCGTCAGAATTATAAAAATCATAGATGCTTGACGTAACAGACCCAAAATTTATAGAATGCCCCATAAATGGAGTCAATGAACAGCTAGGATTGTCCTTCTGACCTTTGACACTGGGATAACTCAATTTGAATATTAGAGGAATCTCAATAAATAAAGGTGACACCAAGCCTACCTGTTGTGTTGTCTGAGCATTGCCGCAATGTCACACTCAGACGTGGAGTCAGAAAACAGCTAGTGCCATATTGTCTATTTGACCTTTGACACTGGGTCAACTCAATTTGAATATTAGAGGAAACTCCATATATGACAGCGAGCCTACCTGTTGTGTTGTCTGAGCATTGCCTCGATCAAACACTCAGATATGGAGTCAGAGAACATTCAGACCGTCATTGTCCAGATGACCCCAGACCTTGGTCAACTAAAGTTGACTAATTAGGTACACACAGTGACGCAGATAAGCATTGTATTCTGAGTGAAATTGTACTTCACAACTAGGCGAATCGCACTTAAAGATGGTTCATTATAGAGCAGTGCAATTTATAGAATTTCAAATCGTTAGGTTGACCGCTGTCCTCATGTAGGATGGCAAGTCTCCAGTTTAAACTGCTTTGCAGTGCTGACAAGCCATTCCATATCCGGCTGTACCTGAATTACTCGGCTACGGCTTAAAATCACATAGGCACATATGGAAACTGCTGAAGCCATATCCACAAACAAGGCTATGTCCGAATCACTTGGCTGTGGCTGGCATTAACACATGAGTCTATGGGAAGTGGTTGCAGCCACTAGCCAGTGGCTTCCATAGGTTCAATACTGCTGATAGCCATTTCACCAAGATGTACATTCGGCTATTGAGACAGACCCAAACCAAGCATGTCTTGCAAGCACAGTAACATGCAGCACCTGAATTGCATGTGTTAACTCATCCAGTTGCTTCAAACATGTGTGGCAAGTGAAGCAGGTGTGTGGAGACGGTCTGTAAACTTACCCAGACTTTGATCAGATTTCACGCGACGAAAATACCATCTGGAACATTCTAGAATATATCCATTTATCCTCCCTCTTCTCCCCTGACCAAATAATCCGGGCACAGGCAGGCTTCGTCAAAATGTGCTCATAATTTCATTAGATGTGAGCCAACCCAACAAAATGAGGCATAAGTCGCCAGAACTGCGTTTGAGTAACAGGCTTTTCAACAAAACCTTACAAATTGGAAGTCGTCAGGAATAGTCAACTTTTTCATCCAAAAATGTCCGTTTATCTCAAGATTTCAAACTGACGGATATACCAAAATGAAGCACAAATTGTGCGCTTCCCACTACATGTGAAAAACGTAAAAGTGAAAAATTGTCCTTAAGCCTCATTTTGTTGGAGCCGGTCACACACAATTCGTCAAATGCGAAAGAGACGCAACTTCGTTCAGTTTTGTTTTCAATTCAATAACGTGATTGACAGCGACACACTTTTAAGCACTTACCATGCCAGCTAGGTCCACATTTGCGCCGTGGTGCAGCAACGCTTTCACGCAGCCGACGTGACCCTTTCTTGCAGCCCATACCAGTCCTGTTGTTCCATACTACGAGAGAAATTGCAGAAAAGAAAATAAGACAAATGCCTATCACATCTCTTTTTAATAACAGAGTGTTGAATGTTTAACCGGCAAAATTGGAAATACATGTATAACACTGCAAACATTGATTGGGCGAATGCAATATTAAAAAATACGCAAACACTTATGTGCAATACAGTACTCAATTACGTGAATGTTGATTTAACCATTCCTTGTTGGGAATAATACTTTGCAGATGTCTTGCACTTTTTATTAATCTTAAAGGGCAGAAGGGGTGTAACATAGGTGACTGGAGTAGGTTTGTGGTTTTTTTTTTTTTTTTTTTTGCCTTTCATTTCTGGTGTCCATGGTTCGAATCCTACTAGAGTAACATGAACAATGGCTTGTCAGAAGGCAATTCAAACTGTTTTTAATCGACTCTGATTTGATCCAGGAGTCTTGATTCTGTAGGCAATTAAATACAAATTGACCAGCCAAAATATTACCATTGGCTAAACCTCCAAAATATCACTAATGAACTACGCCAATGAATCGCTAACTTGAGGATATCAAAAAGATGTAATCTCTCTCTAACATATGATCAATCAGAGATAAGATATCTTGTTAAGTGTCTGAATTCAAGTCTTGGGGCTACTGGCAGTTGCGCTCACAGGTAGTCGATTTCTCAAAAAAGGAATCACAGTGCTGGTTTTTTCATTCAGATTCAATTTGATTCCGACGTACATTTGCCCAAGCCTTCTGGTCAGATCTACATGTAATGTGCATTAAACTACCATGACTGAAACTTGACGCTCTTGTTTTTGTCGGATGTGAAATTCTGAGAATCGTTGGCTCATTGCCAATAAAAACAATAAGAGTGGGGATGTTAAGAGTGGATACCTTATCAGCTGAGTTTGCCTTTGCTCCGTGACTCAGTAGACATTCTACAACACCAGTCTGGCCTCGGCCTGCTGCCCAGATGATCGGGGTAACTCCATGCTGAAAAAACAAAACAAGAAACACTGTAAGACTGTGTCCGAAACGGGCTTCCAGAGCTACCAGAACAGCTACGTCTATTGTCAACGCGTCCCCGCGTATTTTCAATGGGCGTGGACCTAAACCTACCTCTAGACAGTTGATTCGGATGCAGCCTATTATGAAACGAGGTGTTCTGGGTACCAGACTCAAATGTTTGGTTAAGAAATAGCTGTTGATGATTTTTTTTTTTTTAACAAATGTAATTATCAAGTAGGTAACTTTGACAATTGTTCAACAGAAAATGGCACAACTTAAAGCTGACCAACTGAACTTAAGATGCTGAACAGGCTTTGATGAGAACCGTCGTAGATGTAAATGCTCAGGACTACGGGCCAAATTAAGGTTTCAATCGTACATGTGACCACTGGCTTTAACGCATTCCTTTGGACAAACAAAATACGTGACAGGGTCCTAGTCCAATAGAGATTGCTTACATAATCCAAAATTCTGTCCAATTCTTTGCTCACAAATGCTGAATTCGAGATTAAAAAATTAGACTTTAAGAGCCCTTTTTCCTAAACAGTTTGGGGGGATGTTTTGTTCTATAGGTTCTGATCGTACGAGGTCAATGAAAAAAAACCTGTGACCATCCAGTTTCGCCATCATTGGCCACCACTGCAGTAGGCAAGCGTTTGGTTTAATAGCAACCACGTTGTGAATTGTAAACTAGACAGTAGGGCTTATTTTCACGTAAAATAACCACAAAGTCTATATCGAATAGCGTAATGGTCACTACCTGTGCTGTGTACGGTTGTCATAATCATGCCCACCCAGCACTGGGTGTTAGCTCTGTGTTTTTCTCACAGTTTTTGCCATCCATCACAGCTTCAAAGGCTTGCCTACTGCCTACTGCGCGCTGCACTATAAGATCCTTGCCTATTACAATCTGATGCTGACTGTTCAGTACCCAGATGTACATGTGTAGGCCAGGTCGTGAAAGAGCCCAGGTCGTGAAAGAGCCAGGTTGTGAGAGAGCCCTACACATGTTAGCTTTGGACCCTGTAAATTTACAATTCAGTTGTGGTCTGCGCATTTTGCGCACCTACATAGCATTGATATGGCACCTCTGACCCGTCTTCCTTGTATCATGGCGGTAACACAAGGAGCAGGCCTCTATTTATCCTTTACCGAATTGGAAATGAAGTATTTTGGGCTGCCGCTGCTGTATTACATTAGCGGCGGATTCCTTTGGCCCCATTTGCATCGCATAGCAACCCGAGCCGGCCGTGATTAAATCTTTGGCTTGCAGATTATACGGACCCTCAAGACATCCGTGTACTCGCCTCTGAGAGGGGCTCAAGTTGGAGAAACTGTTTTCTTGGAGGAGGGTGTCAATGGACGAGTGACACCACTGGCACCTGTCAGTTCGCTTCTCAAAGTGTTCGTAAAGAGAAGAGCTAACCCCTGTGCACTTAAAACCAGGATTCACTCTACGTCATTCAAAATACTTCGTTGTTCTGGAAACAAAGGACAACTCCTTTGTATTCTGACTGAATGAGAACATCAAGCCCCATATAAAGTGATGATGTATGCGCTTTACATTTCCCAATCCTGCAAAATCCTTCAGAAAAAAAAAACCTAATGGATTTTTGAAGGACCAGGGTTTGGACTAATAATTTGAACTTTCATTCTGTAGAACCGTGGATAAGCTTCATCTTCACATCAATTTTTGTTTTCAATGTCAGGTTTTTAATGGCAATGATCACATTTGATTCGTGACTCGGGCTGCCATTTTGGAAATCATGAGGGTAACAGGATGTCACGGATGTGCAGGAACGACTAATTGGGTTCCCTGCTAATTTCTTTCTTAAAAACTGAATTGGTTGACTTACTGAAACGAAACAGGGGAAAATTCACGTCACATTTGAATTATAAGTAGGCGAATGTTGAAGAGTATTTTGCATTTTGACACTAGTGGCACAAGACAGTTCTAACTGGTCAAACACAATGGTGGTTTTTGTGAGTCAACAATTATTTTCTGCCAAGTTACGTGTAAGGACACCTTTTTATGCCTTTAAAAGAAACAGTTGATAGCAGGGCAGTAAGTTAAAACATTGATTTCAAAAGCAGTTTAAAAAAAAAAATCCATTTCAAAAATGCTGATAAGTGCAAAATTTCCAAATAAACACATCTTATCAAAATGATAAGCACAGAGATATAATGTGCCCACGGGCTATGCGCGGCGTATTATGAATGTTTGTTGCGGTCGTGCAGGAAAGACTGAATGATATCCCACAAGTCAAAACAAATCATTATGCTCACTGAGCATGTGTAACAATGGCCAGGGGGTCCCATCGACAATCTTACTGAACAAAAATCTGAATGGAAAAAAAAAAAAAAAAAAAAAAAATAGGCTGCACTAAAAGCAGTGCTCATCGCTTCGGGGATTATTGAGATTTTCCAATACGCTCCGGTTTCAATCTCGGTATTAAAATCCTCTTTCTGTAAAAAAAAGGTAATAAAAAGTTCTTCCTGAATTTTTCTGATTTAGTCTCTGTCTAGGATTATTGTTTTCCCTTTCTTTTTTTTAGCTTGACTTAAATGTGAATGGAGAAAAAAGTGTTTGATATAGGCAGGCAAAGGAAAATTTGTGTTCAATAACAGACCAAAGGAACCACTGACAAATAGTTTAGAGATGGCGTGTTCAAATTTATGGCTGATACAGTTTATTTTCATTGGTCGACCCCTGACGTTTTGAAGAAGTAATTTACTCTTTTGTGTATCATTAGTTCTCCCGTCTCTCTTTCGACAATATCTTAATTATTTCAATGAATTTCAAAAGAATCAATAACGAGAGGAATGTGACTGTTTACAAGTATTTCAAATCACAATTAGATGACACAGGTCTTTGTTGTTGCAAAGACACTTTGAAAAAAAATTAACAAAAAGTCCTCCTCTTGAAATGTTGATTTGTAAATACTTTTTAAGGCAATAATATGTTAATACCTCCATATGACTGTGACCATGACTGAGAACATGCAGCAAATTTATATGTATATCCTGCCAGAAAATCATCACTGTTTGGGTTTGCTCAGTAACACTATACATCACAGATCCCTTTTATTACAACAGCAGATCAAAATAATAAATCAATTAAAATTATTTTTTTCCTTCGAAACACAAGGACGATCAATTAAAAATAACAAAAACAGAAGCTGCTGTGTGTCGTCATTCTGAGCCGGCTGCAACTCGAGACGCGCATTGATTGCAATTAAAAATCATAACGAAGCCCTAAGTAGCCATCCCGATGACGTCATCAACCGACGTCGATATCAAGACAACGCAAATAAAAGACAGCATCGGAATACATACGCAGGCTAATGGACATGCCATTAAATATTCCAAAAACTCATCAGATTCTACACAACATCCCTTCCTGAATAAATGAAAAACAAGGGGCCCCTGGTCGAACGATAATAACAACTTCGTAAATATTTCCCAGGAAGTGCTACAGGCATAAAGCGGGAGATTTTTTTTTTTTTTTTGGAAGACGTATTCTTTACGGGTCATTTCGTGCAAGTTGGATATCTGTACACACATCACGTCTATCGATCCTCGGGAACATCTATGATATTGGGTTCTTTCGTGCGCGATCATTCTAGCTTGTCAGATTTGGGCAGGGAGTGATGACGTGGGAATGCGCTCATTAAGCGGGTAATGTACACATTTGCCTTTTCGGTCATGCAAGATTGAGGGCCGCAAGAGGAATGTGACATTTTGAAAAGCCAATCATGGGATGAATGTTGCAATGTTTTGATGGCTTATAGCTAAAACGCTAGATAAATAAACGCCATCTTTACTTCAAGGCGGCTCTGGTGATTGAGCTCTGAAGATATTTGTCCGTTTCCCAGAATCTCTGTCAAGTTATAAAAAAAAATCCTGTTTAATGAAGCAATCTATCATGCCACTTTTTTATGATTAGCTTTACTCAAGGTTTACCACTATTTCAGATTAACTTTACCCAGGATTACCTTTTTTCTATGTTTAACTTTACTGAAAGATTTACTATACTCACAAGTTAACTTTACTGAAAGATTAAATATACTCACAAATTAACTTTACTGAAAGATTAACTTTACTCACAAATTAACTTTACTGAAAGATTAACTTTACTTACTCACACATTACCTTTACTGAAAGATTAACTTTACTCACGAAATACTGAAAGTGTAAGATTACTCACATATTAACTTTACTCATGGACCAATTTTACCCAAGAAGCCTTTTCACACTATTATCTTGCCTACCCGTGTTGAAATCAACCCAGGTCTACCATAAGCACAACTGGGTCCCATTGAACAAGGGTAAGCAAGGCATACCGCTCTGTGTGTACACAGGTCGGCTGTAGATTTTGAGATTTTCTACCCAGGTAGAGCCTCTCAACCCTGGTCTTACCCAGGGTTGGATTTTACCTAGGTAGAAGCCATGTTGGATTCTTGCTAGTGTGAAAGGCGTTTCCGAAAGATCTGATATTTTGGAAAGTGTGAAAAGTCTTTCTTCAGGAATTATTTTCTCCTAATGATACATTCTCACCCAAGGATGAATTTTTATGCAAGGACCCCTTTTACTTGAGGATTGTCTTAAAGTATTGCAAAATAAGCCTGCACTATTCTGACCCGAGCTAACGTTTCCAGTGATTTCTCATCAATCGTTTTCAATGGAAAGAAGGCGTTTCAAATTTGTCTGTTGACGGTTCGAGTCAAAAATTTCACTCAAGAAATAAACACGGCAATAAAATAAAATGGTTGACAGAAGGAGCACTTTCTCCTCGACAAATCGCATAAATCAATGATGGAAAGAAAGAGGGCAAAACATCATCCTACTCTCAGAAGGACACTGACTAAAAATATCCCTCTGCAAATACGACAAACCTTCTTTAAACATAAGCTCTCTCTCGTCCCCTTTCTGCTTAACAACTTACTATCAACGATTTATCACTGCATTCCCCCCCCCCCCCAATGGAAAAACAGTAGAATCCTGTATTGGCCTACAAGAGTCTTGATAAATATTGGTTCTAAATGGTTCATCCCTCCACAGGGAGAGATTAGCTGAACGGTTATTAAGCGGTACGGCTGATAGGTCTGAGCTGGTATTATACTACTGGGGGAAAAAAATAAATTACTGTCTGTTCTTAATGGGAGCACGGAGAAGTAATGAGGTGCATGATCTACATTTGCTTTTTGAAAGAGACTGTGCTCATTTGAGTTCATGTTTGTAATACATACATTCATCAAAACAAGAAAAAACGGCAGAGAATGAACCGTACATGTAACTGAATACCTAGACCTTGTTAGACATATTTGTTCTAAGGGACTAATAGTGTAGTATCTAGAGCAGTTATAAATGTCTGAATTAAAACTGGTAATGGGCCTGGTCGACGCCAATAATGGCTAAAGTCAACTCCCATTCCTTATACCAAGACAATAACGAACTGCCCCATAATGTGGTGACGGCCTGCAAAAGAGTGTGCGTGTGTGTGAGAGTGTTTCTGCATTCAATAGGGGATGATGAACAATAGAGGACAATAGGGTCCCCAATTCCCGAGAGGTCCCCAATTTGGGGGTGTATACAAAACATATGGGATGTCTTCCTAAAAAGTTAGGGTACAAACAAAAGAGAACAATAGGGAGTCCCAGATTGAAAGCAAATTCACACTTGGGCGTGTGTGTGTGAGTACGCATTCAACAGGGGGATGTTGAACAATAGAGAACAATATGGTCCCCAATCCCAAAAGGTCCCCAATTTGGTACAAAAAATATGGGAGGTCTTCCTAAAAAATTTGAGTACAAACACCGATTTCACGCAAATACACACTTGTGCGCACCTATTTATGGTGTAAATCGAGGACACATGCGCGACATCATCGATGAATTGAGGACAGGAACCAAATCAAGGACTCCTCGGTTAGAAAACATGTACAAAACCAATGAGAGCTGTTGCAAAAAAGTTATAACCAAAGGAAAAGGGAAGTGGAGCAATAGACAATCCTCGATTAACACCATAAACAAACATGTGTGTGTGTGGGGGGGGGGGGGGGGGGGGGGGAGGAGGTTCACAGGCACGTACACAGCACTACTTAAATTTGATTGGCTCAATAGACAAAACGGTAACCGGCCTGTCAAATGCACTCTAGGGAATGCTCGACTCCGATTCCCAGGTACCTGCATAAATTGTGAGGTTGTTTCAGTATGCGTACATGTACAGGTACACGTATAATTTGTTAATGTTTATGGATTGCAAATTAACAGCAATTGAGTCGATATGCATAAACAAAGGGAGGTGATTCCCTTGATCAACGACGATGCAAATGGTAAAATGGAAATTTCATGCGCAAAAGTCAGTGTTCATTCAAAAAAATATTCCGGGGAAGATCGTCTCTAAAAAAAAAAATCGTAAAAGGATCTACATGTAAACTGAATATTTTGTTTTCTGAGGCGAGCTCAATCAAGGCCATTTGGTGTGGTTGAGTTGTGGTGAACATGTATGTCTCTAGTTTAACTGTAATCTTACATGTAGATCCTGGTTGTCTGTGGTGCATTGCAATTGGAATGGCTACTGATAACCAGTGATGTGAACGACCTCGGTATAGACGAATCCGGGCACGTGATCACTGCACACTCACGAGGCCAATTTAACGGAGAAACCGTTGTGCATGCTTTTGTTCAAAGCAACTTCTGCATGACACATTATCTGAACAATAGCTAGCACAATGCTTTCGCCATTGAAGGGGGCCTTCGTCACAGAATTGTGCACCCATCGGTCTATAGACTGGTCCCAAAAAGTGAACAGGACTATCCAACCATGCTATTGTGTGTTGGATGAATGTTAGTCAAACAATGTTTAACTGTACTTCTTGAACTTGCTTCTTCTTCTTGGCCTAAAAAAGGTCAACAAAGTTTATAGACAGTTCTCATGTCACGGTTCTACTGTTCTCAATTAAACAGAACTTTGACATTCTGAATGATTTGAACAATTCAACCTACGTGTGCTTGGACGTTTGGCGATGCTCCCAGCTCTAGTAATTCCTCCGCAACGTCAGCATGGCCCTTGTAACTTGCCCACATTAACGCTGACCAGCCATTCTGTCAAAAAAGGAAAACAAAGAAAACAACTTTGATTTCAAATCAGAAATCAACAGATCAACTTTCCGGGATATCAAACTTAGCATTCATGATACAACAGAATCAGTTGTAACATGAGGTAAACTCAGCAAGTTACTGATCACTTCCAGTAAACACAATGTCGTGTGTAGGCTTCATTATGTGTTCATGTAATCAGTAAAAATATATGGCAATCCATTTTAAAAAACAAACCATACACATGAACTCTATGGCCAAAACATACACAGTGAGGAATACAACATCAATTTGCAACATCAATTTGCAAGGAGTAGGAACATGGTAGGTTTTAGCCCCATAACTGTGGCTCAAATACTGGGGTTCCTCCATATTGTGACCAACATGGTCAGGATAGCTGCGATCTGATACACCGTGCCCTCTGGAGACATGCCCACAATAGGGAACAAAAGATTGTATACGACTCCACAGGGCAATTTCTATAGATGAATACGTCTCCACAAGATTTTCACAAAACAGATATATGGATTTTACTCAAAAACTGGGAATTTGCAAGGTGGGTTGCTCTGTCCCAAATGGAAGAGTTTTAGAAAAGGAAGATTAAGTTTGAATTTTAGCCAAGGAAATTAATTCAGGTTAAAATAAGAGCATTTTGAAACTACACTTTCAAACTCAAAAACTTTACTACACGAGAAAAAAGAAATGTCTCCACAAGAATACAAATTTCAGTATGTGCGTGTGGGGAAAAGTTGTGTTTAAGGAAATGGACATCGTGACTATTTGTTTCACTTGATATTCATTATGAAAGATACTTACTTGGTTCATAACCAGGAACAATTAACAGTGATGATCCCTGACCTGGAGAAAATGCGGCAGTCATTTTTGGACAAACTCTCTGCAAATTTGTGCCTGAAAATTACAGGATAAGTAGCTCCAGAGAGACAGAATTCAATTTTCCCTAGTTATTAACTGAGTAAGTGTCTTCCACAGTGAATATCAAGAAAACAAAATGGTCCCGATATTGATTTCCTTAAACACAACTTTTCCCCAGACGCAAATATCCCTACTGTGTGGCACACAATACGGAGGAAGTACAGTACTTGAGCCACATTTATGGGGCTAGGAAGGTTTATGCAACAGGATAAATACGTACATGTACAGACAGCAAACATGGTTGAGGAGACAGTTTTGAAATTAATGTCTCCAACAATCTGTACTACTTCCTCCAAAGTAGAACAGCTTGACAATTTCACAGACAAATAAATTCTTCATTTCTCTGAATATCTCTCAATTTGACGTGAACCGCAATTAGGATTTGGCCCTGAACAAACATACTATGTTCAACTGAGACGTCCAAATCATGGTTGATGTCTCGCCAACAGACATCCCATGTTATTGTTGGCATGGCCGGTAACCAAGCTCATGTGGTGACGCTGATTAATAAGAATGCCCGGCTCCCCGCGCCTCATTCTCGCTTAGCGGGAAGTCGTATTTTGAGCTGACGAGCAGACAGGAGCATAAATTCGACTTGACAAGCTGCAGCACGCTGGGCTTAATTACAAATCATAATTCACGTCAAAATGGTTTCCGCTGTCATGTGACTGAAAGCAACTGGCAACAGTACATGATTAAAGAAAGGACGGTATACAATCAGAGGAGTAAAATGCATGTAGGATCTTTTGCTTTTCATGCATTTTGCTCATTTCCAATAATACCACCACTCAAAATCCAAAGAAAAATGTTCAAAACCAAATACCTGTTCACAATTGTATGACTGGTCATTTGAAGTGGTTTTTAATGGGTCAAGGTCTGTGTATTTACATGTACATGGACAAAAATATTAACCTAATCAACTGTTGTGAATGAGACCGAGATGTCAAAATGCAGCCACCGGTACCTGCTTGCATGCGTGACCTAAAATCAACCACGACCCTATAATAGACGACATGAAAACATGTCGAGCGTACACGAGTTGCATTATTAATAAACTTAGCTCGGAGGCAAATTAAGCACGTCGTGAACACGCATCATCTGAATGCAAGTCAGCGGAGATTTAGGATGCCCTGACATGTTTTTGTTTTTCCGGGATTGCCAATGGGTTTTTCTGTCCCTGCCTGATTCTGCGAGTTTTCCCTGGATTATCATTATGGGATTTTCTGACCAACTATAAAACTAAACATTTCTTCCATGCATTCTCATGTTAAGTTTAAACAGGCTTCCATGATACAGTGCCAGAAATGCAACGACTTTGTGGGGTTTTTTTCACAGGAAATGAGAGAGAATTGTGATCAACTTTTAGGGCCCATCGTGAGGACTAAGTTTTTTTTTTAAATTTCCTACCTGATTCTGTGGGTTTTCCTGGAATATTTTTCTGGGGTTTTCTTCCATTTCTTTTCTTTAACCAGATTAAGATTTAAACGGGCTTCGATGACACAGTGCCAGAAGTGGAAACAGCATTTTTTCTCCAAAGAAAATAGGGGGGAGTTGTTATAAACGTTAAGGACCTAACACATTAATTTGTTCCAAGTCCCTCCCTGATTCTGTGGATTTTACCCAAAACATTACCCCAGGGTTTTCTTCCTACCTCTAAACCTCAACACCTCTTCCATGTCTTCGCTTGTAAGGTTTAATTAAACAGGCTGATAAGCTACAGTACCAGAAATGCAGTGAGTTTTGTTTTATCAAAGGAAATAGGGGAGAGTTGTTCTCAAGCTTCAGGCCCCAATATGTGGATTGAGTTGTTGTTTTTTATTGTAAAGTTCTTGCCAAATTCATTTGACTTTTCCCTGGAATAGTATTCAAGAGTTTTCTGCTGACCTCTAAAACTGATTATTAAATATTCATCTTTTTTTCTTTACATTTCTTCTGAGTTACACTGCCAGTAACGGCAGTGTCAGAAATAGAAGGTGGTAACGAAGATGCGAAACGAAGATGATGAATCGTGCCGATGACGTCCCCTGACTAACAAACCCTTCCCGAACCATCACCCAATGCTGCACTAATTACACATTCTCTGACACATTCACAGCTTCCCGGCAACGACCCCCTAAAGATATGCAATTATGGCTCCTCGCGGAGCCTTAATGAAAGACTGACTTTATGGGCCCTTGGACGGCCAGGTCTTGAAATGTCTTCCATTTTTGAGATGCCTCTCGGAGGAATTAAAAGTGCATTCCGGTACAGTGGCACAAGCTGCAGTGTCACCATAAAATGACACACTGAATACGTATGCGAGAGGCACTTGGCAGTGACAAGTGAGTTGAGCAGATTTTAACAAGTAAAGTAATTACGATGAACGCCAATTATTTTATATTGAGACAACAGAAGTACACCTAACAGAATTAATTTTTTTGATTGTTATACATTTCTTTCCCCACCCTACTTAAAGGGTCCAAAAAGTGATTATTTCTTAGGAACATATTTTGTGCAACTTTCTACTTCTCTTAAATGTATGAAAACTATTTGACATCCCTTTTTGGTTAATTTTATTGACAACTGCACTTTTTTTAAACATTAACAATTTTTCCATGCTTTTCAGGACAAATGAGAGAGCAGTTGCTGTGATGTCATTTCAGGAAGACACTTTTCACTTTACGGGGCTGTCTGTTCAAATCTTGAATCCGAAATTTTCTCATTGAAAACATTTGTGAGAAAAATTTGTTTCTTACTGCCATGTACTGACGCGACAAATCACCATAAGAAAAGACAATTTAAGACAGCGAAATATCGAAAATTCTGGCAACTATTGGTGCTGAAATGCCTGTAACATTGAGGTTTCTGCCTGAATAACATCACACTTTTGCTCATGATGGAAATTGGCATTAGCATAAAAACCCCAAAAGCTCCAAAATACCCTCGAAAATGGCAAAGCGAAAATTGAGAATAGGGTTAAATGGGACACAAAAGTTCATTTTCAAGGATTGCATTAAAAAAAATTACATTGCATGGGCACTTTAAATTTATGAAATTTATCGAGCGGATGGAACACAGCTAGAAAGGTAAAGCAGTGCACAGTAGAATAGACAGGAGTTATTAAAGCACAGGGCATGCAAATAATGCATAGAAGAGCATAGCAGACTAACAGATCAGGCTCAATTTCATGGCATTGCATAACCGTTAGCAAAAAACTCCATGCCTACCGTAGTAGAAAATTCTGTGCTTTCAGTTAGCACATTTCACGGGTCAGCGAAGAATATTGGCTTACGCTCATGCGTACATCCTGTAACCAAGGATTCTGTGCTTACAGGGTTAGCACAGAATTTGTTCCTAGCGCTGTAAGCACGAAATGGTGACCGTAAGCGCGAAATTCTGTGGTTAGCAGAGCCAAGAAATTGAGCCCAGCTCAAAGTGCACAGCACAGCACAGCAGACAGCACAAACAAATTTGAGATGCAACAAATCTCATGGGCTCTGACTAAACAGGAGGCCAGCTAGTTTTCTGCATGTTTATTTCAACAATGTGGCCAACCCATCAACAGTGAGCAATCTGTGAAGATTCCTGATTTGAATGTCTCATCACCAGACACAAATCAATACCACTGCCATTTTACAGGACTGAAACCCCTGACCACAAGGAATGTAACTGTTATGTGGTTAGATGTTAACAGAATTGTGGTTGGGTGGTTAATGGTCAATACAACAGTTAACAGCTAAGTTTTGTGGTTAAGGATTTCATTAATCCTTCTTCACACAAGCAGACATATGCTCCTGCATCAATTGCCTATAACAAGCCCAAAATCAAGAGCTGCCAAAAGACCATTATCATGTTGCGGCCATCTTGATTTTTTTCACATTCAAATCAACGTAACCAAAGCAAGGCTGGAAGGAAAAATAGTCTGGTTCCTTTTTGCACAAATATTATTATCATCCAGTACTGTTATTGGATACAGGGAACATGCCTGAAATGGTGGCAGCATGGTAAAGGTTTATGGGCCTTATTCACGAGTTGGCCATTTTTGTCGAGTTCCTGAAAGTATTTCATTAATTGTTAACTGTTAAATGGGATGGCGCCAGACTATTTATGCAGGCACAATGCAGCCTTATTTTACTGTCATTTTTTTTTTAAATATTGCTTTAAACATTAGTGAATGTTTAATTACAAATTTTAAATTATTAGTTGAAGCAGACTGGAATTTATCATAAATGAACTTGCTTTCATTTCTCTTCGCAAGTTCAAAAATTAAGATTTTACCTAACTTTCAATTCAATATGGCTGACTCAAGAATAAGGCCCATTGGAAAGTTGCTTAGAAAATTTATGTGCTAGGCAAAAATCGGCTGAGTACCAGTCACTAGCAATACGAGCAATACACAGTATAACATTTGGCTGGTAACCCAATTCTGCTAAGCAAAAATTGTTTGCGCTTAGCAAATTCCATGCTTAGCAGAGCTCCATGAAATTGAGCCATGGAGACTCTAATAAAAAATGGTTTAGCATTTCCTTAAACATGACTTTAAACCTGGACCATGTGGCAAATCTGCACTTTTCACTATGGCCATAGCACACGTATGGCATACAGTGTTGGAGTAAAGCTAGTTTACACAGGAGATTTCCAATGTCTATAAACCGTGCTTCTTTCAGTAACAAACATCGGAGATTTCTTTCTGCTTAATCATCAATCATCAGCATCATTTGGGTATCTCATTTCCATCGCCAAATATATCAATTTAACAGATAACATTAAACACGCCTTCTACTTTTCAAAAGATGACACTGATAGATGAAGTCTTCGCGAAAGAAGCTATAAATTTACGATTCGGCGCAATTAAGAGGCAGATCTTGCACTGATTGATTCAGATAGCTCTAGGATGTGTGCATCACCCATTAGATGACCATTATAAAGCAGTCCATCAGCTATATTTTTAATGGTCACTGCGCGCAATAGTCCTTGACTTGGCCAGCTGTTTATTTAGATAGATGAGATTATGACAAGCGGGGGCAAATTGGTGTCCAGTTAAATGGGGGGGGGGGGGGAGGTGTGGGTCTACGGCTCGTTTAGCAGCGTGAAATGACACCAGGGTAATCACCGGGGACAGCGTGTGTTTGTGCAGAGTGACTGGGGGTAAGATAGGCAGCGGTGAGTGACGTTGAAATCAAGTAATCCAGCCAACTTGACTCCTCCAGGAATGGGCATCTTGCACGTGGGAGGTGAGGTGGAAGTGGCAAGGGAGGGGATGGGGCGGGAGTGGGTCATTCCCTCCTGAACAAAATTTCAAAATTTAGAAAAAAAAAAATTTCTTTGGAAAAAAAAACAAACATCTTAACAAACTATCGCTCACTGTTCTCTGTTTGGAATTTTATTTTTAAGCTAAGAATTCATCAAAACGAACTGCATGCATTTTGCCAGTTGCATTTGCAAGTCACAGATTGCTCTCTTGAAGTTGAACACTGTGCAGCAGCAGGATGCTCTTCAGATGATAATAATGACTAGTCAAGGAGTCTCCTACTGCATCTACACAAGTACATGCAGGTCACCAAGTCGCGAGACAGAGCAATGCCCATGTCGGCGACCCGACCGCCTCCAACAAGAAGTGCTCTTTCTTCATTGACCCGAAATGGGAGACAGATGGACGTGGGGGGGGGGGGGGTGTTGGGGGGGGGTGTTGTGTTCGGGGGGGGGGGTGTTGGGGGGGGTGTTGGGGGGGGGGGGTGTGTTCGCATATCCACCACCCAACTGCCCCTAACACATGTACAAACATTACAAGCAAAACTCTTTCTCATTGACCCGAAAAGGGAAACTGATGGATGTGGGGGTGGGTAGGAGCTGGGGTTGGGGGTGGGGGTTGAGGGGGTGTGAAGGGGGTTTGAAGGAGGTTGGGGTGGGGGGGGGGGGGTGAGGGGTGGGGGGAGGGAGGGGGAGTGAGGAGGGTAGGGTGGGGGAAGGGAAACGCCACATCCTCAGTCCAACTGCCCCTAACACATGTACAAACATTGCAAGCAGTGCTCTTTTCATTGACCCGAAATAGAAAACAGATGGGGTGGGGGGGTGTGGGACGGAAGGATCGTTAGTTACAAATCAATGTTGGCATGGGAATACTTACAACATCTGTGTGGTCAATCTCGGCACCCTTGGCCAGCAGTGACTTGACGATATCCAAGTGGCCTTCCTTGGCCGCAAATATGAGGGCCGTCCATTTGTCCTGTGTGGTTAATTTTTTTTCAAAGGTAATCGAGAAATGTAACCTGATTAAGGATCACCCTGAAAAAATAGGTCACTCTGATTACATGTATATCTGATGGCAATGGCCTTGGGGAGAAATTTCAATGCAGAAATTTACAGCTCGTTATCGAAGCAACACGCTCAGGGAAATATAATTACCGTTTCGCTTGTGCATACCACAAGATGGGAGATACTTTAATTCATTTTAGATACGTTTCTCATTTTGTGGAGAAGAAATTAAGCAATTATTTTGATGCGGTGTGGATAACGGCGCGTGTCAGCTGCACAGTACAGTTACATTTGTTTGTTGGTGAGCTCTCTATTTATAACTCAAATCTCTCTTAAGCCCACAAACCTGGCAAAGTGAGTTGAAGCAGAACTCCAGGTGCTTGTAAAATGATACTTAAATTCTTGGAATAAAATTTTCTCAAGTCCAACAGGATGCTTGTCATCCTTACTGGATGTGAGTTAGGGGATGAGGTTAAAGGGAATGTATACATCATTGGCTTTTGCTGTAATTTTCAGAAATGAACTATTTGAGGGGTTAGTATAATAGATCAAATACATGTATTGTTACACTGACATGTTTAAAGTTTTGTGTTCGAAAATGCTGGAAAAACCAAGAAAAACAAAAATGTGCAAGTAGTCTGGTTCCCTGACTCCACTGAAGATGAAATGGATCAATTTACAGATGCCGGGACATTGTACGGTATTAGGGAACCAGTCTAGCTGGCCTGCACCCATTCATGAACATGAAACCAATAGCAAACAAAATTTGGACTGAAGAAAATGGTAAATTTGGAGCAGTAGTGAAAAATAGTTAGGTTTTTCCTACGGTGGTTGGCCGACCACCGTTGGAAATGTATACAAAATGCAATTTTCTGGAAAAACCAAGAAAAACAAAAATGTTCAAGTAGTCTGGTTCCCTGACTCCACTAAAGATGAAATGGATCAATTTATAGATGCCGGAAAATTGTAGGGTAAGGGAACCAGTCTAGCTTGCCTGCACCCGTTCATGAACATGTAACCAATAGCAAACAAAATTTGGACCTAAAATGAAAAAAAAAGAAGGTAAATTTGGAGCAGTAATTGAAAAAAAGTTAGGTTTTTCCAACGGTGGTCGGCTGACCACCGTTGGAAATTTATACAAAAATACCACTTTTCTTGAAAATGACTTCACAACAGATGCCATAACTTTACAGGATGCTTTAGACTGTCATTTACCAACATCCTAGTACGGTATTTCGTAAAAATTTGTTTTTTGATGTTTGCAAATGTTGTATATTCCCTTTAATCTTAAATTTTGAAAATTACTGGTGACAATGGTTGAGAAATAGTGAAAATAATTGGTTCTTGACAGTCTAGTAGACGGGTGTGCTTGGCCCTACAACCATATGAATGGAACTCCGTCAAAAGATATGAAGATAATTTAATCTACTCTACAGCTGTGATCAAAGTCAATCACAAGTCCAATCACAAAATCAGGTCACATGCAACACTGAGAAAGGTATGCCTAAGGAATGCCTTGACCACGGTTCATTTGAGCGCTTGTCCGTTGACTCCAGGGGCAAGTTCGCGCAAGAACTTTTGTTGACCAATGGTTAACCATAGTTCAACCATAGAGCAAGGTCCTTGCTCTATGGTTCAACTAAAGTTAGACCAAACTCTGTCTAGTCGACGATGGTTGACTACGCTAGTCGACTATTTGGAACCAGCCTACCGTGGCTGGTCGTGCAACGATTAATAGCTGGTTATCAATAGCAATTTCCAAAGTGCAGAGGGAACCAATTATCAACAAAAATGGCGGAAAACGTTACTGTGAGCACTAAATTTCATTTTCATTGCACAGTTTTTCCATACATTTACGATTATGTCACTTTTGTCACCATTGTACAATAAAATTGGTGATTATGTAAGATGTCCTAAACTATACACAATCACATTTGTGTAAATAAAGAGAAACAACAACTGTTAAATAATTGTGCGACCGCCATTTTTGACGGTTGTTGACATGACAATAGTTTGACTAAAGTCGTTCACACTTCAACTTCAGTGCGCATGCACTAGGTACGTCACGAACCAACTACTAGTTAACCACTGATCCCTGCTCGAACTTGTCCCTGATTGAATGACTTGTGATAGACTTGTAACAGTTTTGGGACGACTTGAAGACCTGTAATGACTTGACTACAGCTGTGGTTCATGATTTAAAAACTAAATAGCAACAAAGCCCAAATTTTAATTTGGGAACATAAATACATTCAAAAATGGGTTTTGCCCTTCGCTGACGTAAATTTATAAGCACTGCATACTCAGTGGATCTGAGAGCTTGCAAAAACATTTTACTAGCTCACTGAAGTGGGACTCAAACCCAAGACCTCTTGCTTGCTAGTGCAGACTTCTTATCACTCGACCACCGAGCTTGCCGGGGTCAGCTTGCCAGTTCGAATCTGGTACAGATTAGGCAAAACCCTGAATTTACATCTTTACAAAATTTTTTGGACTACCCACCTCGTCTATGGCTTTGATGTCAGCCCCTCTGTCCAGCAACTCCTGAACCAACTCCAGCTTACCGGCCTGTGCGGCACACATTAGGGCAGTCTGTCCTCCCTGAAAAATAAACGGAAAAAATACCAAAACATTAGAATAAAATCAACAACGATTAATCCTTCAATGATCAAACAGAACTCGAGGTACTGTATGACCTGTACATTTTGTCTTTCTCGAAACAATTATACTCATCAATGGCCAATTTACCACTTGTACACAAACTAGTATGTTTTTGTTAAAGCTGTGTACCTGAACTGTAAAATTCAAACTTTACAAACCTTCAAATTTTACGAGTCGCTAAAATCCTGAAAAATGCTGCCTGTCCGAAGCCACTCAGGGCTTTTCAATTCTGACAGCTTATGCTATGGTCACTAACGGTTTACAAGCGTGTACACTGCCCAACTGTTTATTTCGACGATTCCTTTGAAATTGTACCCAAGACAAAATGTCTGTGACCAGGGAGAACAGGCATATCCGATTCTGAAAAAAAAAAAAATCATCATCGCTGACGAGTTGCAATGGGTTGACGTACCAGGCTCCGGTAGCCTTGCAGCAACTGCCATGTCGCGGGCCCAAACACGCTGGAGTACATTATCCAATGTAAACGACATGTATCTGGCACAGGTAAACGTGTCAAAACACTTGATGTCAAGCACGGTGCGAGCGTGGATGTAACTTGCTCCCAGCCACAAATCAAAATCAATGTTGAGCCAATATGGCGGTGTGGGTGAATTACATTGCGTATCGTACATCACATCATTGCCTTAGTAGTGCATGTACATCATGTACAACTTTCCAGATTTGCTCTTTGAATCGTAGTGTCGGCCACATTCTAACAGAATTTCCCTTAACATCTGTGCCCACTGCATGAATTGAAATACCCAAAACATCTGTGTTTTTTTTTTCCAATTGCCTTTTCCTTTATAGAAAAATTTTCATGCCACAGAAATCACATAAATATTCATAGGGTGGATGCGAGTGACATTTAAATTAACTTGCAAATTCCGGAATCCTTTAACGGGTTTATGATTCAATTATCCAATCTCGTTAGGGCTTCAAAACCCGCCACTCTGGAATCTTGTTAAAAAGTCAATTGCGGGATCTTGTTAAACTGGAAAGATTTGTCAATAAAGTGGTTGACATACCACATTTTTTTTTTCTTCAAGTGAGACACATGGCTCGATACGTTAACTGTCAAAGTACTCACTGTTGTAGAACCGATCCCCGTAGCACCCATGACTACAGGCAAAGAGTTTTAATGGCAGACCTAGATTTTAACAACCCCTGGACAAAAAAATTATTCCGTAACGTCTTCATTTAATTAAAGTAATGCATCAAGTCACTGATGCAATGTACTCCGGACGTATGGCATACATCACAGATACTTGAAGTCAATCGCAGTGCTTTTTACGAACTACCAAAAATGCAATCCATTATTGCACTCAGGCTAGCCAGATAAAAAATATGGTCCTTCCAAAAAGGTGACGTGATAATCTTGCATTCCTTAACAACTTCACTCTGTAGTGTGCCCCCAGAAATTACGAACACGAATTTTAATGTGCACTTGTATGTTGCATTCAATCAATGGTTGACAGCTGATTTCACAACTCGTACGACTGTTTTCGGTTCTTGGCAACTTCGGTCACGACCGAAGCCTTGGCACGCTCGGGATGAAATTTCACCACTTTAATGGGCCATCGACCGCTGCATGGATGTAAACATACATGTACGTGTCCAAGAGAAATGGCTCCGGATCCATTCGACGGAGATGTTTTACTGGGGGAAGAAAATGGGCCTTTTATTGCCGCTCTGAACCGACCTGGTTTTCTTAACAGTCTCTTTGCACTGCAGAGATCATTTTTAATACTATGCCTCAATTATTTCCCTTTTTTTAGGACCTCTCTCGTACTCAGCACAAATTCAAATGCAAATGGAAATTTGTGACATCACAGTTTGTACCGGTATTTACACTGCGAATGCACAGAAATGTTGAACACACATCAACTTTGGTGAGTTTAGTTGGGAATGTGTTGTTAACTTGACACCAAAAATTTGCTTCACATTCACACCTACATAACTTGTGAGGTACTAAGCTTAAAAACAGTTTTCTGGAGATAAAAAGTAAGATTCTTACACAAAGCGATGGCTTCTTTCTTACAATACAATTTATATTATTAAGCTGAAGAATGTTCCAGCAACACACAACGACTTATTGACTTTTTGCGACTTAAAGGGAAAATACAACATTTGCAAACATCGAAAAATAAAACGACCAAGTTTTTACAAAATACCTTACAGGATGTTGGTAAATGACAGTCTGAAGCATCCTGTAAAATTATGGCACCTGGTGTGAAGTCATTTTCAAGAAAATTGCATTTTGTATACATTTCCAACGGTGGTCGGCCAACCACCGTAGGAAAAACCTAACTATTTTTCACTACTGCTCCAAATTTACCATTTTCTTCAGTCCAAATTTTGTTTGCTATTGGTTTCATGTTCATGAATGGGTGCAGGCCAGCTAGACTGGTTCGCTAATACCGTACAATTTCCCGGCATCTGTAAATTGATCCATTTCATCGTCAGTGGAGTCAGGGAACCAGACTACTTGCACATTTTTGTTTTTCTTGGTTTTTACAGCATTTTCGAAAACAAAACTTCAAACATGTCAGTGTAACAATAATTTGAGTATTATACTAACCCCTCAAATAGTTCATTTCTGAAAATTAAAGCAAAAGCCAATGATGCACATTCCCTTTAATTTGTGACAATGTTTAGGAAACACAGTTTGGCTTTACATGTACACCAATTCTGATACCCATGGTACATGTTTTTAAATCTACATTTACCATAGGTAAGCAATGACTCAACCCACAGTGACAATATGGGAACCAAAATGCCTTGAATTTTGAACCACAAATCTTGAAACCTGATTCAATTTGCTTCCAAATTCAAAAAGCGACGAACCCTACCTCAAACCAGAAGCTCTCATCCCATGCTATATCCATGTGGCTCCTAGGGTACAGTCCGACGTTAAAAAGACGTGCATACTCATGATGTTCCCAGTGCTTTAAATCCAAAACATTTGTGTCCCCTCGGGGCTAAAATATTCATCAGTCTACTGAATAAATATTTTCTGTGCCTGGGGTCCTCCAGGGCGAGTTCAGAGACCCAAAATGTATGTACAATCACGACACCTGTTTATGTAGACCTGCCAATGACATGTACATGTACACCGTACTTCCAACTTCCAAAGTATTGTTCTGCATGTGGAAAAACAACATCACCTGTGATACGTCCATTCAGCACCAATGTGAGATCCTGATGTAGAATTAGTCTGCTCTACCAGAGTTCCAAGTTGTAAAGCAGGCACAAAGAAGAAACACCACAATTCAAATAGCACTGATCAATTTTTGAAGACAACCACTGTAAGATTACTCAAAAGTTCCAAAGTTAAGACTTAGGGGGCCTACACATCCAGTAACACAAATGTTCCAAAGTACATGTATGTTGAGAATATCCAGTTCTGGTTCAATTAGTTTTCCATTTCCACTACCTCTCAGCATCAAAAGAGCATCGATCCAAAATCATCCAGTACAATGTCCCACAGTACATACATGTATGTTGCAGACGTCCAACTCTGCAGCATGAAGTTTCCCGGTTTCACAACTTCACTCTGAGCGTCAAAAGCATCTATTCAAGAACATTCGATCCATCCTCGCCAGCCGACACTGTGGGGAATGTTAGTCGTGCACTTCACGTTTCACACTGCATATCGAGCTATCCGACAAATATGAAGAAGGGTACTTTTAATCAAACATCCACCTCAGTCCCCTTAGGTACGTCTGCCACTGTTACTGCGAAACAGACTCAAAGGGATGACTGCCATCAGGTCCTTGTGGACAAAAAATCGTCCTGGGTCCATGGGACCCGAGTCTCGAATCACCTGCTTGCCCGCTGGATGCGGCACAGTACGCACTAGAAGTGGTTTTTGCTGGCAACGTCCTCCGTCCTAGCGTCAGGGCAATCAAGACCCAGAGTGCAAACAAAAAAAGTCACAGCCAGGTTCAATACGCAGCCATCTCAGCATGCACCCACGCAATCCAAACAACTGGGGCTGGAGGTCTGAAAAGAAGCATCAGGCCGGATCGACGGCTCGCGCACTTCCTCGACTGAGGGACAGGACAGGCTCGTAACTCTTTGGCAAATGACCGTGCACTGATCAAAGATTATCTTTTCTCTTCTGGGAAATTATCTACCGCGGTTAGAAGTGGTTAGTGGTGGTGAAGAGGAAGGGGGGGGGGGTGGTGGGAGAAGCACCCCACGGTTTAATCACAGGGAGTGATATTGGACCGCCATGCATAACAGCAAGCTGCGCAGCGGTAGTAACCTGATCACGCCGTCTCCGTGAAGACTATACTCTCTCTCTCTCTCTCCCTCTCCAGCCGAGCCCAGATGATAACCAACGCATTCTGATGGGTGGCCCAGGCCGTATGTTAAGAAAACACTGGACACCACTTGCGGTAGAGCCGGCGTTCGTCAAGTGCTCGTTTACCAGTAATGGTTTATTAATGATTGAATTAATGGTACCCTACATGGTATCCAGTGAGCACTAAGCTAGCTTGTTAAAGGAGAACGTGACACTGTGCATGTAGCTGATACACGCAAGTGAACAAAAAAAATCTAATGGAAAAGCCAACATGTATAAACAGGCTGATGAATTGAGGATATATTAGTTTTGGTTTTCCAAGGTCGTACATGCGTCGTATAAACATCAGTAAATGCATTGTCCATATGTTTATTAATCACTGAAGTGATTGTAACATACAGACACATGGAATCTCGTGAAAACTAAAATAAATTGGCTTGTTAAAGGAGAATTTGACACTGAACATGACGAGGCCATCAGGACTGGCTCATATGACAAATTCACTAAACTGACATTATATACCTGAGCTTCCTAAGTTTCCACACGTATCAAGTACAGATGGTTGAACATTAATCATAGATCTACACATGCACGCAAATTACGACCAGATCTATGATACAGTGTCAGTGCCAAT